ACAATAAATTATTTATTTTTCGGTTTAATTAGTGTAATAATTATGTCAATTGGTATTTTGTATTGTATCTAGGCAAATATTTCTAAGTTTCAAGGTGACCTTTAAGATGGGTTGGATCAATCTGGTCTTGATGCCGGCTCGATATTTTCATAAAAAAAACACATGCCGGCCACTTCTGAACTATCCCGGATCTAATGGCGTTGCCCGTTTTTCCAGAAGTTTTATGGTTGTAGAGATCTCAAAACTATGGGGCGCCGCGCGTAGTATAGATCTTGTACTTAATAAGTCCTTGGTTAAAGTGTCTGTCAGGACATACAAACGTTTGAAAAACACCTGGGCCATTTCTCGCGGATGAGTTATCTCCATTTGTAATCGCCAGTTACGTATCGTCATTTTCTGTATTACCAAGCATCAAGCGTCAAGAAAACGTTCTTAAGTAATGAATCCACTTTTTTAAATTGTTTTTGTAATCACCAAACAAAATAGTGTATTGCTATGCACACTGCGGTTCCCTGACAGTGTTAGGGAACCGCAGTGTGCAGCCTAACAGCGCATCATGAGTAAATCTCCAGGCCGGGTCATTATTCATTACTGCTACGTTCTACAGTGCTTAATTTAAACCTAAAGCTTTGCTTAAACCCTTAAGCTTTGCTTAAACCCTTAAGAATGCTGCAATAACGAATAATGATCCGGACATTTACATAATTATGCAACACGATAATAGTATAAAACCCAAAACCAACACAGGCAGTAAAAGCTTATACAGGAACCGAAGCAGCCCATCAGATGGTGTTTTAGTTCCCATTTACAAACACGCCGTCAAAAATGGCCAGCTTGAGAATATCAACGCATATGTTTGTGATTATGACCTTTAGTATGATGTTGTTACTGTGTCAGTCAGTACAGCTTCACCCAACACGGCTGTTGGTGTAGTAGCTGTAAACTATCCTGCAGCAACAATATGGACCATCGTGTATCCAATCAATAATTTTGGCATAATTTTTTCTACCGGGCAATTGGTAGGTACTAAGTGCGTAGGTGGGTTGCTGTGGATACTAAGCAAGGAAGCACTAAGTAGATCCTTATGGACGTAAAAATTACTTAATACAAGGTAGCCTCGCGCATCCGCGCTCGGCACTTAAGTACTGGATAGTATTGGCTTTGTTTTGCAAAGGGTCATTATAAATATATAGAGGCTGACGTTCGGACTTTCTCACGTTCTGACAATTTTACTTGTTCACGTCCTGACGCTCTGACGTTCTGACGTTCTGACGTTCTGGCGGTCTGACGGTCTGACGGTCTGACGGTCTGACGGTCTGACGGTCTGACGGTCTGACGGTCTGACGGTCTGACGGTCTGACGGTCTGACGGTCTGACGGTCTGACGGTCTGACGGTCTGACGGTCTGACGGTCTGACGGTCTGACGGTCTGACGGTCTGACGGTCTGACGGTCTGACGGTCTGACGGTCTGACGGTCTGACGGTCTGACGGTCTGACGTTCTGACGTTCTGACGTTCTGACGTTCTAACGTCCTAACGTTTGACGTTCTAACGTTTTAACGTTCTAACGTTTTGAATTTCTGACGTTTCGACGCTCTGAAATACATATGAACTTTTACATGACGTAATATAAGTACATATTTTACCTAAAGAGCAAGTATTTTTGTGCATCTGCTATAATCTCCGTGGTTACAGTCATTATATTAATCGTAAGTACTTTTTATTGCTGTGCAGTGAATACTTCTTCGAGTACTCTTTACGTTCCTATACTTAAGACCTGGTGAAACCATCTTCTGACCATTGGTTAATAAAAAAAAACAAAAATCTATTGGCAAACCTATGGAAAATATGGAATTTTTTAAGACCAAGCTGGACTAAAACTGACCACGCGTTGACGAGTCTATAAAAACGGCGCATAAATACGTTTTGGTCGGTAAGATTGTATGAATACAAGGTATGCCTCGCGCTCCGCGCTCGGCAAAACCCTCTTGGACGGAAACTAATATTTGACTCCCCACGATTTTTTCTTGAACCTGTGACCACTGGCTATTTCACCTTTTTCATTAAATGGTCCGTGCAATTTCGATTTTTCTTTACATTACTGCACTAATTGCTGCCTCCGTGGCAACAATTTGTTTTACTCGTAAGAATGTACTGTAGTACCTCGCTACCACTGTACCAGTAAGTATCTAAAGAACGTGATTATATTAAGTACTCCATTTTCTATACTTTTCTAGAACCTGTCAAATTTTCTTCTGACCAACGCTTTCAAAACAAAATCAAAATTCAGAAGGCACACCTATGGAAAATTAGGAATTTTTCAAGACTAAGCTTGACTTAAACTGACCACGCGTCGATTTATCCATAAAAACCCAGGAAAAATACGTTTTGAACGGTAAGATTGTATGAATATAGAGATAAAGACAAGATAAGGTTCTGACAAAACGCCTACTTCTGCCATATAGTGCAAATTAAGTACTACAGACTAGTGCTCTAGTGGTATAAGTATTAAGTACCCAGTTACATAGTGCAAAATACTACCGGGTTGTAGTTTTATTTTGATAAACATAGCGAATTACTTACGATTACTAAAATGCGCATTATGTACAGTCCATGGTAGTTCAAAATGTCCCAATTATATGCGTAGTACGCTTTCAAACTGTAGGTAACTATCAGCTCCGTTCAACCCTCTACTCTACAACACTCTACAACGTGGTCGTCCGTGCCAGCAACGCTCGGCGTGGCAGTCCTTATACTAACGTAGCCGTCAACACAACGTGTTCAGATGATCCCAATTCCCTTACGCTTTTAGCCAGCCGACGGGCTACTTTGTCTCCGTGGTTGGTTGCCCAGTTAACAGCCAGGTGGGCGCTGTCAGTGCAGTCCGCGCCACCAGCTACGCGATTTCTAGCCTTTCTCCATATTTTTCTATTCAGTCCTCCACCGGCCAGATCACGCTCACCAACGCCCCGCCTGGCAGCGAGGGTAGGTACAAAGTGGTCAAATCTAATTTTAAAACTATTACAACTAATAAAACCAAACGTTTTAATTAATAAATACATCGGATCGACAGTGATTTCTCAAAAAGCGGTTTTAAGGTTTTAATGGTTTTTACTAATATATAGTTTTGATAGTCATTTTCCAGAGGGCAGTTTTAAGGTTTTAGCGGTTTTAATACTAAAGTACAGTTTTATCAATGATTTTTAAGAAAGCGGTTTTAAGGTTTTAGCAGTTTATTACTATTATACAGTTTTGGCAGTGATTTTTCAAAAAGCGGTTTTAAGGTTTTAGCAGTTTTTACTAATATTTAGTTTTGATAGTGATTTTTCAGAAAGTGGTTTTAAGGTTTTAGCGGTTTTATTACTAAACTATGTACAGTTTTATCAATGATTTTTAAGAAAGCGGTTTTAAGGTTTTAGAGGTTTTTATACTGAAATACAGTTTATCAGTGATTTCTCAGAAAGCGACTTTATAGCCAGGTTAAATTTCGACTTTATAGCCATGTGTCTTTTATAGCAAAGTTTCAAAAGGATCGGGTAATAACCAGACTTTTGGTACACAACAATGCATTTAAACTATTCGCCCATTTTAGTTCGCCATATCTCGGCAACCGGATGTTGCGCGCGCAAACGGTTTTCTGAACAACGTATTACAAATCATTTAGCTTTAGAATGGCACAAAGTATTGCAAAAAAATTTTAGTGTATGTATCCCATTTTTGACACTATGTACCGGGCCATTGTCCTTAAGCTGTCTGAGCGGGGGAGAATTTGTTATTGCTGGCATCTTACTGGTGGTTCATTGTTCTTTAAATAAAGTTCTTTTAATAATAATAAGTTATTGTTCTTTAAATAAATAAAGGGGAGGTTGGCTGTGCAGGAGATCGTTCTGATAACCGGCACAGGCGTACCCGCTCGGGGGCATTCGTTAATGCTTTACAAAAGCTTGAGCGTACAGAAGGGGCTTGCAACCTCCGTCAAATCATTATCAGAACTAGATTTCAGTAAAAACTGCTAAAACTTTAAAACCACTTTCTGAAAAACCACTGGTAAAACGATATATTAGTAATTAAACCGATAAATCTTTAAAACCGCTTTCTGAAAAATCACTATCAAAACAGTGTAGTAGTAATAAAACCTTAAAACCGTTTTCTGGAAAATCACTGTTAAAACTTTATATTATTAACAAAACCGCTAAAACCTTAAAACCGCTATCTGAAAAATTGCTATCAAAACTCTGTATTAGTATTAAAACCGTTAAAACCTTAAAACCGCTTTCTAAAAAATCACTGATAAAACTGTATATTAGTAAAAACCGCTCAAACCTTAAAACGTTTTCTGAAAAATCGCTGTCCATACTATATATTGTTGTTTTTATTATTAAAAACTGTTGAAACCTTAAAACCAGTTTTCGCAATATCACTCATCTCATACAGTAATTTATTTCTTTTTATTTTTAGAGTTTTATTTTAAGAGTTTTTGAAGTTTTAGTAGTTTTGAAGGTTTTAAGAGTTTTAATGGTTTTAAAGGTTTTAAAGGTTTTAAGGGTTTTAAGGACTTGGACCACTTTGTACCTACAGAGGAGGGGATGCACGGACGTAAATGCCGGTATTAGTCCGACATTTTCGTACTATGTACATAAGCATTCCGGCTCAATACTTAAAATACTTCTATCAATGAGGTCAACACAACGACAGTTAAGTTCCTTTGACTAATTTTGGCAGTTCTAACTTTGGTACTTTGATGGATTTGATGAGATCGTTCGTGTGATGCATTTTGGGATTGTGTGTGAAAAAATACCCTAGGTCAGTTCTCACTCAAATTTCACTTTTTTGTTGGCTGTCCTCGAAAACTGTCCCATGACAAACAAAAACAGTTGCCGTTAACGGTTTCTCGGAACCGGTTCGAATAGCACGAATGAACAACAGAAGAATTCAGCACAACACGAACAAAACAGCATTAAGTTATTTCAACAGGACTGAAAAATTCAATAAAATGCTAAAGAATACAATGTAACGCTAACTGTTTGGAACGCTGATGCCTCCAAATTCCAAATAATGACCATCTAGGCAGGGCGACAGCTGCATCAGAACGCCACGATTCCTCGTTGAATAAACCACGTTTCCAGCTCGGTGTCCGACCGCGCCCAGCACTCGATTTGTCCGCCGCTGTGTGGCTTTGACCAAAAGACAGTGATCGTCTGGGCACAGTACGATGGTTCCTCGAGCCCCTACTGGTAGTTCGCTTCGGTAATTTGCACAAATGGACTGTAAAATAACTTGCCCAGCTTGTGTAGAAAATGACGACTCGGCGCCGATATGAACGCTCCGTTGTATTTCCAGATACAGTACGCATCAGCATCCGGCGAACAGTGAAACTGCAGCGAGCACGTGGAGGAGAACTGCCGATGGTGAAACAGTATCGTGATATCCAGGGGCTTCTCGAAGATGTCACCGATGTTCCGCGGTCTGGGCAGCAGCGCGTAGTACCGCAGCGGACAGAGGTACGTCGCTGGGCAGCGTTGGTAGCAGGTGTACGTTCCGGTGCTGTTGTGCGTGACATTGGTGATGTCCAGGCTGTTACCGTGGCCGCGCACGCTGATGTCCGGCCCCACGTATCGCTGGCTGTTGTAGAGATAATGCGCTAAGACGAAGGGCTTTCTCTGCGTCCACACAATGTCACCCGACAGTGATGCCAGAGGGTCGCCAACGCGGCATGCCAGGGTCAGACGCTGGCCAATCAGGGGCCGCTCCACGCCGGGCTCGGGCTCGGCGTCGTGCTGCATGGCGTTTGGATTCGGCATAGTAACGACGTTGTGTTGAGCTAGTCGTTCGGCATCCAGAACAGATGCCAGCACTGCAAACAGCTCAAGAAATACAGAGACGACACATTAGTTCAGGAAGATCATGAATCAACAGATAACTGTTTCTAACGGGAAACAGCCTGAAAGGGCGAATTTACCAAAGCTTTACCGTTCTACCCGTGGAGACCTACAAGTGGCCACCCATGTTATGTGAATGAGCGACATACCTTCAAGTGACCAGGCTTCAATTATTTTACCCTAGAACCGATTTTCTTCCGATTTTTTGGTACAGCACGTTAAATACACCTTACTCTTTATAGAGTACTTCGGTTGAACCGTTTTATAGTTATGTGCGTCGTAAAAAACCAGTGACGAAACGATTAGGCCACAGTGACCACACCCCGAGAGCCACTTCACTAAACCAAACTTTCTGCGCCAACCACCGCTCATGTGCGGTAAACGTTCCCGGGTAGCTGTTTGAGCGTTGCTGTTTAGCTGTTTAGCAGTTACCCCGGTCTTCTACATTTGCAAACATAGTGGCTAAATTTAGAAACTGAAAATCATTTGAATTAGCGACATGACATTGGGAACAGAAAATACATGAGCACGCAACACCTGCGATGCTCGAACAAAAACTTACATATTAACTCATCATAGGAGGCACTTGGTGGATCAGCGCTTGCAGGGTCAGGGCTCACAGGTGAAGCTTGGTTTCTCATAAGAAAACGTCGCCTGGAGATCACTGCCATCAGTGCTGCGTTCCCGCAACCTGATTCAAAATTCATCCCAAAAAACAACCACACGAACAACACACTGCGAAACCGACAAGTCGGTGCCATTTCTCCTTTCAATATCGAGGGACAACTGATACCACTCACACCCACAGAAAAACAAATCAAAAGCGTAAAAAATAAGTGAATTAAAACCTGATTACACTAAACAAACGCAGACGAATAAAGGTTTGCACTTCGCACACTAAATTCTCTGGCCTAAATGCTTTCAGTTTTCCAAATTCGCGTTTTACGTTATCATTACCGACCACGAGCCGTTACGTACGTAGGCACGTACGGATCAGTTTTATTATTCTCTACCTTTATAGTGGCGAAATATCCACGAACCACGTGCAGGCAACCAATAACAAAGCAAATCCTCCGTTTTGGCGCCCGATGATTTGCTGGCATCTGTTTCCGACGTATTACTAATTCATAGATACGCACAATGTGCTGACCGACAGATTGTGCGAATCATACTGTTGCCGGTCACTTACAGTCTTACTCGTACAATCAGTGGACCACTGGCATAAGCAAATAAAGCTTTCTTATGAGTAAATGTCAATAAGGACGTATAACAATTCCAAGATTCGATTTCAAAGAAAAAGATCAAAATTCAGCAAAACTAAAAAAGTATGAGGCACCGGGAATCGAACCCGGGCTAGCGGATGTCTTAATGGCTGCTCAGCTCCGGTCCTCGGCCTGCGCCGACAGAGATCCGTTTCGAACCTTGAGACGCGTTTCGCAAGGTTCGATGCCGAACGGCTGCCGGCGCGGCCGAGGACCGAATTCTGAGTTGGCATTTCCAATCAAGTCCGCTGTGACTACCACTGCACCATACCTCTAATCGCAAATTAGAAATTAAGAAGATAACTTTCGGGTTATTCTGTTTACGATCACCGGTATCGGCACACTGTCGTATACAGCAGATAAGCACTATCTTGCGCGGACGTTCATGTCTAAAAGTGGCAATCGTGACATTAATTAAAGAACAGAATAAAATTATATTGTAAAAGCAATAATAAAGTAACATCTTAATACTTATAGAAAAGATCTGTGTTCCACTTATCGTATTCTGTTCTTATATGACATTTTGTACAGTTCTCTAACAGTTTGTGTGACCTTCGTGCGCTGCAGAGCTCGAACATTTTGTAATGCAAGGCAAAGCTACATTTACCTGACTACTGGAATTATAATGTACGCCAATTTTATTTTAGACCGTATAGCCAGGTGAACTTTATTCTGTATAAAGTCACACGTTTATCCACAGCATGCACATTCACATTTCACAGCCAATCGAAGGCTGTTCCTTGAGCAATTCATGGCGGCTTACAAAATGGCGATGCAATTAAAAAATTCTTGGAAGTCGAATAAAATTATCGAGAAGCGGTGGCTGCGGTTGTCGCTGATTGGATTATAGCCAGCACGACACTATAGAGATCCACCACTGGTGCCAAGCAGTTCTTCCAGCGGATTTGGTTTGCACTGGCATAGCCAACATCCTGCCGGTGTGTATAACGGACCTGCAAGAGTAAGCGAACTACTCACATCCTCAACTACCGTAGCTGATATCCATGTTGAACTCTCAAAGCGTTCCCTTACCCCACGGACAGAAAACTCCACAAGCGACAAAGGGGCAACGTGTCCCTTGGTCAGACGGCACTACAGCGCTGGATACCATGTTCGCTGTCATAACTACAGCAAGCAAAAGAATTACCAAAGCCATTGCTCGCATTTTGTTGCCCTCAGACTTTTCTAACGGGAAAATAAAATAAACTTTAACCAATCCGAATATGTCACCGATCCAGCCAGTTTGCTCGAAATAACTAGAGTCCAAATCTCGAAACTGTCGCACTACGGAAGTTTTGAGTTCATCTCTTTGTCGCTAGCCCTATCTGCAGTATCATCTGCCAATATCTGGTGCAGATATATATTATAAATATATATATGAATTATCTTTATTGTGTTCTTTTGTAAAACTTTGCCGTCAGGTGATAGGCTGTTTGACATACTACAGCTATCCGGGTAGGTACCCTTTTTCAGGTTGTTAGAGCGTACAGCAAACTTGATGCCGTAGCAATCACATTAATTTATGCGCATAGCATTGATAACAGTTACTGTTATGTCAAGCGATGCGGCATGTATGAAAGGAAACATAAATGCGTTTGAGAATTCGCTACAGGTGTCTTAATAAATTTATTGTATGATTGTGTTTTTTATCACTAGACGCAAGGAAACTAAGTTAATAATTCATAAGCAAACTAATGGTAATTCTAGATGTGGAGAGATTCACATTTAAACCATAGCCAGATGGCCATCATAATTTGCAGCTAAGTGTCAAAATTTACATCGAAATCGGGATTCAAAATCATTCCGTGCGCTAGCATAATTTTGCGGAATTCGGTAGCAATTCTGACGTTACGATATATATGATGCTTTTGAGAACGCATTTTCTAATATTTATGGTTTAAAACCGCAAAAAAAGTTCAAGTACACGTGCGTCGAAGTTTGTGTTACCTTTAGAAATGGAGTAGCTTCCGTTTTCTTTCTATGGAATTTTTATCGGGATGTTACAAGATATTACTCAAACGCTTATAATAATATCTCTCGCTTAGCTAAAGGTACATCGATGTACATAAATTATTGGTTGTCCTTCTCTAAAGTAGGGGCAGACGTTGATCAAGATTGGATACCGTATATTACAACGTTTGGCATCTGCTTAACGATATTTACTTGCCAACTGCAGTAAGCACTGACCGCTAAATCAAAATAATTAGACATAAAAATATGCTATCGAATCGTGTCGATAATGTACAGTCTTGGAAGAGGTCATCAAACCATTTTTATAACGGGTGCGCTATAAAAACCACATTAATATCTCTCTAAATTTGAGTTTTTCCCCACATAAAGTAATCCCGCACAGACACACGTTATCTTTTCATATCGCAATCTCACGAGGAAGAAGGAAGACCATCACGTTGGATTGCGAAATGCAGTCGCAGGCCGCACCGTTATAAAACATCGAAAGTTTTTAAACGTTTCGTTGGGTAGCTTTCGTGCAGTGTAGTTTAATTATCGATCCGCGGCAGGCATTCGCTCAATCCCATATTAGCTATAGACCGACCAGTTTACCCTCGCAATTGTCATGGAGCCACTCAAAGGTCAGCAGCCATCCGGCATAACCGGGAAGCTCATCATCACTTTGGTGGCTGCCACACTGGGAACATATTTCACCATTGGTTTCGGTGTGTCCAGCCTCAACGGACCCCAGAACATCGTTCTCCAGTGGATCCGCGATGTCAAATGCCGGAGCTTTGGTGGCGAATTCGGAATGACCTACAACAGTATTAATGATACCGAACACGATCCCAATGTTACCAAAAATCTCTGGTGCAGACCGTTTCCGGCCACCGAAGAAAAAGAAATGTTAGCCGAAAATACGGAATTAAACACCCTGTGGGCGCTGATTGCATCCGGGATTTGTACCGGCGCGGTACTAACGGTTCTAACCTGTTCTTCGCTGATCCAGTGGTTTGGTGTGCGCAATACACTGATCATTAGTGCTTCGATATTCGCCGTCGGTTGTATATTATGTGGATTCTGCAAAGTAGCTGATTCTTGGCCGATGTTGATGGCCGGACGAATGATTCTCGGAATGGCATGCGGATTGGAGACGACCGTTGTCGCCATGTACATGTCGGAAGTGACCCCGATCCGGCTGCGCGGCGCAGCTGGAACACTGCCAATTGTCATGTATGTTATCGGCTTAATGCTGGCTACCGGTTTTGGATTTCCCGAAGTACTGGGGACGGAAAGTGGCTGGCCGGTTTGGCGGGAGCGGCCGCGCTGCCGTGCATCGTTTCGTGTATAGTTCTGCTCAAATGCCCGGAGAGTCCGCGTTTCCTGTTTATTTCCCGCGGGAAGAAGATCGATGCACAGCAAGCGTTAGTGTGGCTGCGCGGTACAACACTGGTTACCGAAGAACTTGACGAAATGGCGGCGGAAGCCGCTAGCCTGCGCAACAGTCGAAAGGTCACTTTCATCGGACTGTTTACGGATCCGTTCCTGCGAAGAATAGCTTTACTGGCGGCTGTTCCCATGTTAGCACAGCAACTTTCAGGGTATAACTGTGTCGGATTTTATTCTACATCCATATTTGCCGGGATCGGTTTAGACCGACGGACTGCCTTATTTGCTACGCTTGGATTATGGAGCTGTTTTGCTTTAGCCAGTGGTATATCGATGGTACTAGTGGACCGTCTGGGACGCCGGATATTATTAGCAATTTCCGGCTTTGGTGTCATTTTGGCATTGGTCATGTACACGATTTTTGCCACTATGGGTGACAATGGTGTGGGAGAAGGGACGAAACTAGCCACGGCTCTGTGTTTACCGGGATATGTTTTGTTTTATGGCATCGGCGTTGCATCCGTGCCATGGATATTAGCCGGTGAACTGTTCACGCAGGAAGCCCGTAGTGCAGCGACAACGCTGGTTTCAGTTGTCTGTTGGCTGGTTGGCGCGGTGGTCTCCAATTTGTTTCCTTTGATGGTTGTGGCCATGAGCCATTATACCTTCCTTATCTTTGCCGTTTTAGTTTTAGTGTGTGCCGTTTATCTCTTATTGAAATTGCCGGAAACCAAGGGTCTGACGGTCGAGAATATCCAAAAGAAACTTCACTCGGGAGGTCTTTAACTACGAAGACTAACGCTGAGATTCGGTGCTTCCTCATTTACCGCTTATTGCGCTGTATACCGTATAATTAGTTCTCAGAAAATACAAAACTTCCAGTGGCCACTTTTATTCATAATCCAGTGAGTAATATATACTTTTCGCAAGCTGGCGCTTTGCCTTTGGATTTTGATTGTTGACTGGCACAAGCCCTTCAAATATTTGTCTGCGCATTAAATGCAGCGCTTTTTCTTGTTAACCAATTTATATGTTAAAATTATTTAAGTAACGGTCTCTGCTATCGTCGAAACACATTTAACGGGATAGCAAAATAAAAATTACAAACTCTTTGTGGAATCCCACTGTCGGCATTTTCCATTAGCTAAAATTGTACTTCAGAATTGTTGTTGAATATATTGCATTGCTTAGTAAGTTGTTATGTACGCACGATTTACACAATCGTGTTATTTTTTTCAGCATCTAATCAATCGACAATTTGACGATTGCCGTGTGTTGAATACATATCACAGTCATATAATGTGAAAAGTTTGTTGTTCATCTTGACGAGTTTGAAAATAACAAAACACACTCGATACGCATTTCAGGGAAACCATAATTCATTGATCGCACCAGTGATTTCATTCAGAATAGGTAAATGGCATAATTAAATTAAACACATGCGTGTTGTCCATCTATCGATATTTTAGATTGTTTGGCAGCGAAAACAACAACAACAACGCAAATTAAACTCCGATTCCGGATACAGTGTCACCTGATGTCAAATTAAAAATGCCGTGTCATATCAAAAATGGTTGAAACCAAACTGGCTCTGATGCTATGCAGTACGTACGCACATCTGTCAGAACATCTACATTTCTAAATGTAACCGTTAAGTAGACTTACAATTGCAAATTAAGATGATAATGACCACACCAAATACACGTTTCTCCAGAACATTAAATTTTAAGTTAGCTCAGTTTTCGGAGCAAGCATGTATCAGTTATGTTTAAAACATTTACTTACTGTCAATCTTCCTATTTATGTCTGTTTTTTCTCCTCATCGCCATTTTAAATAACACAAATGAAATAAACCGCTGACATCACGATAATGTGCGTTGTTTGGTCGATGAGAACGTACTCAGTCACGCAAGGATTAGCTTATCGAAGATGTCCATTTTTTCTTCGTGTTTCTGGTCACACGCGTTTGCGGTAATTATGTTTGCTCTCCAGTGCAGACACATGTGATTAATTATTGTATGTTATTGTATGTATAGCCGGAAGCCAGCCGTTAATAGTTTGATTGTGGACGATGTTTCACATATATAAGACAGTTTCTCCCGCCAGTTTGCTCGGCGTCGTCTGTGTGTCCGGTGTATGTACTCGTACATAAAACAGAGAGTGCGGAGTTCCAGCTAAAGCTTCGATTCGGTGCCTAATTTGTGATTCCACTTTCTTATTCCGGAAAGCTGCCAATCCATAATCATGCACCTGTTCGCTTTAGCTGTTCTCGCTAGCATCTCCTGTGTGACCTGTCTTCCGCTGCTCGGTAAAATCTTTGGTATTTCATTGTGGGCAAAAAGGAGCCATATAATTTTATGTCATTAAATAGTATTTTACTTTGGAAATGGAAACTGTGGTAGTACTGTAGAAGTGTGTTTGAATTTATTATATTGTAGAAGTCTTAAGCAGAAGGATTTTGGTATGCTTTTTCAGATTTCAGCAGTAGATTCAAAAGATCTGTGAACGATCTGCGAAATCGGGCCCTCCTGGAAGCGAACGAGATTGCCGATTCTAAAGACGCCGGTAAGAAATGTAACAAAGCCAAAAATGTATTAATGCACAGGAGACGTATATCCTGGACTCTCTTTAATTGCGTATAAACAGAGTACTTACATGAAAGAGTACTTTGATGCTTCCTTATATTATAAGAAGACGTTACTTAATTTAAAACAAAACCCGCAGACTACAACACATGTACGTGGGCATTTTTCTAGCAACTCCAATCTCCTCGGCGACCATCACACATACGATCAGCACAGTATACACCAAGGACGAGGCACGCCGGCAGCACTATAAAGAAATGTTGACTCAGTGCAACGATACCGGTAAAGTCAAAATGTGTTACTAACATAAGCTTACTAATTAATTAAACAATTTTTAATGGGTTTAGAGACCGACGACGATCCGGATAGCAAGTGTCCTGGATGTGAATTCTCCAGTGATGCCTTCAGTGACCCTACAATGCTTGACAGCAGTGATATGAGCAAAGTGACCTTAGTCAGCGCGATGGAGGGCCTGTGTCGGTCAGACGAAGAACGGGACGCCAGTTTGAATATGATGCTAGCCAGTCTGATTTCCGGTGGATTCTCCGGTAACCGTCGTACTTATGTATTGTCGTACTTATGCATTCCGTACTTATGTATTGTACAGCAAACCACAAAATAAAACACAAAGTAAAGGTCTACTTATAATTATTATAGATTCGGTTATGGATGGTATTAAGCAAGTGGTTGTTCTCGCGACCAGCACCAACACCGAAGATTACAAGACGCCAACCCTGTTTACCTACTCTGTCACCGCCGAATTCAGCAGCTGATTCTGCTACATAAATCTGTTCAAAACTGTTTGAGATTTTTCGCAACTATCCTTGCCAAAATGATATTCGAAAATCCAACTGTGTAATAAATAGTTTAGAAATTTAACTATGGGTGCATCCTCGAGAAATTAATTTTGTTCTCCCTGTTCCTCGGTATCTCATCTGATAAATTTGCGCATTAAGCAAAATGAATTCGAACGACGCTGAATATTTCTGATCAACAATCAACAACATTACTCGTTATCAGTTTTCCACGCTATCAAAACACCATGATAGTCACACACTGCCGCTTAACCAATGTTCTTGTGAATAAACCAATAAAGTTATTATTTTGATAATCACGTTATATTGGTGCCGCAATTCGTTGCCGGTAACTTAAGGCACGTTTTCACCTTACGGCTTTACCGTACTACGTTTTTTCTAGAGTGCGACTCCTTTATTAAATTTCCTATACCAATTTGATAAATTGGTATATGAAATTTAATAAAGGAGTCGCAAACTTTCACTAAAATCGTTAGAAACTGTAATGGCACAATTTTAGTGTAGTATTTGCTTATTTTGATGAAATTCGAATACGAAGTCTTCCACGCACCTGCGGTACCACTAAATTAACGCCAAGACCGCCACATTAAATTCACATTTTAATTTTTAATGCAATCTTTAAATTCATGCCGTGTGCCAAAATTTTGTTATGCAGTCATTTCGAAAGTGAGTCAGGTACACTAGTCTGACATGCGCGAAAACCAGATCCAGAGTGTGTCGGACAATTCTCGGAGAGACCAGTCTGAAAATTAGGATTAATTAGTGCAAGGAACATTACAACAGCTGCCACAATCTGTACAAAATAACCACGCCATCGGTACCGTGTACCCGTCGGCTGTCAAACAAAAAACGATACAACAATTAAAACCACCACGACGTCATTTCGTACAATTACACAAAAAACGGTAAAACAAAACATCAATCAACACTCCGTTGCGCTTTGCATTTCCCATCAGCAATAGTGAGTTCACGACAGTTTCTGAAAGGTCCATGGTCCGCGGTATTGTTGATGTGGGGGCGATAGTGTGCAGTCGGTGCGAAAGAGAGAGAGAGACACACAAACTGGCAGATCAAAACGATTTCCCTTCTCTTCCGTGGCGTTAGGTAAATGCCGCCCGGTCGCAAAAGAAGAGCAGATAAAAGCCAACAAAATATTCCCGCACCCGTGCCTTCAGTTATGATTATTTACATCCTGGATCCTTTCTGCTGAAGGTACTATACAATAACAAACTGGTCAGATTTCAGTGATGTTAAACTTATTTAAAACATGGAATAAACGAAACACTGCACTTTCATATAATACAGGATACTTCAGAACAAAAAACGAAATCAATCGACAAAGTGAAATTTACTTGTCGCAAGTCAAAAAACATAGCTTTACTTTTCAAAAGCGAACTCGTATATTAAGACATTATTACGAACAATAATTATTATTAAAATTATATCTCTGGCGCCAAAACGTCTGCATAATTCTTGTCACGATGAACGCCACTGTACTACATTTGTTAGTCAAAGCCAGAATATTGAACTGTGCCACAATCAAATAAGTACCGAAAAAATGTAATCTTCGCATCCTCGAACCAAACAAACCGCTAAACACGTTTATCTACACTAGATTTTCTAAGGACGCAGTAAAGATACGCTAAACGCCCAGAAAGAAAACTGGACACAAAAAAACATAATCGCGCCAATTCTTTTCTGCACCCACAGAGTTAAAGGAAGCAAGCAAGCCGCAGGAGAGTGTTGTTATAGGTTTCGAGAAACCGGCTGCACTATTGCGTTCTAAATGTCTCACCTTGCCCCGATCCGTGGGTTCGGCCTGCTTTTCGTTGGTCTCCACGCGGGTCGGAGTGCTGCGCGATACCACACAGAGGAACTCAGCATGATCCTCATTCCCGTACGTGTACGAGGAGCCGACGTTGATCAGCTGCTCAAATTTCCATCCATCCGACAAGGTACTAACCATCTGCGTCAGCTCGTCCTCATGGCACTGCAGGACCCGGTATACGCGTTTCATCGATGCCTACACACACAGAAACATTCACACATTAACACACATGTATCTGTATATATACACGATCGATTAGGGTCATCGAAAAAAGATCCCAACAACCAATTAAATTATCAACCCCGAATGTCACTCAGCAACCTTTCTGCCATCACCATACCGGTTCCACTGAAAGGAGGAGGCCGCTACCGGACCAATTAGGCTAACAAGCCAGTGATAATTGGCAGAAAATTGTTAACCACGTTGGCCGTGACGCGCTCACTGCCGCAGTACAGTTTACGTTCACATACCTTGTCCCTTTCACGGTCCCGCTCCACAATCCGGTCTTTCACCAGGTAAATAAGGTCTTTTATGTTGTAAAATTCGGCTTCTTCAAGGAGACCTAAAAAAGCTGGCGATCAGTAACGTGATTATCATCGGATTAAGGACAAAACAGAAAACGGTTTATTCGTCTGTGTACTCTCAAAAGTCTCTCATTATATTACGTAAATAAAACCAGTTACCACAAACCTTAATACAAGTTCGTTTTTACGATATTACATTACGTATAGTACGACGATGTCCCGATTCAGTGTCTTATTTTCAGTAACGACCTGGTTCACCGTACGTAAGAAGGAACGTATTGTAAATGCGCAGTTGGTTGACGAGAAAACACATTCGCAACAGTGACTTGGTTAAACACTCCTTCGCAAACACGAGAAAAGCGGAAATTGCTCTGCCGCAACAAAAGTAAAAAAACTTCGTCAATATTTGTCAACGCTTTTAAAGGAGCAAGGCCTTGTCAACAATTCAACGAAGATCCCTTGCGGAGCTCTTCATTCAAAAAAAGGATAATTCAAAAAAAAAGAAATTCGAAGTGATTTCAATAATCGACCTAGACAGAGGAAAACTGTAGTCCAAAAGTGAATGTCGTAAGCCACAGTAGCTATGGGTAACAAATAGTGGACGGGAGAAAACCGCACACTTCCGGTGACGTCCGCGCCTTTATTCTGCCGCTCCCAGTCCACCCATTTGAGAGACTAAATCTTCGTTTGCCCTCCAACAATGACATTTACAACGGCAAAAGCAGCAGCACAAAAAGCACATCACCGTTTCACTGCAAGCATATGTTTTACCTACATTCCGGGACGAACGAAATGCTACAGAATTATTTTTCAAAATCAATCTGCTGCACGGTAATGCTTAACACAATAATAATTAACGAACACTTTCGTGCAAATAGCTAAAGTATACTGGCCAGCATGCCACTGAAAATACGAAACGCTACAGCACCCTTGGTTGACATTTCAAAACAATTATCGTGAATATTTTTAGCCGGTAAGACCGTAAGAATACATAGATGCTTCAAGTGGTAGCTCTGCATTTCAAGAGGCATTTGGCGTATGCCAATTACGTCATATTAGCACTGGCATCGTCCATCGCGTGCAGTGGATTTGGTTATTAATAAGTCCTCCGGGCCAAAATATCACCGTACCGTAGTGACAAATAACCGTGATTAACTGTTTAAACCACTGTTGACAGAAACCTCGCATCCAATGCACACATCTCAGATATGCCGGTGTTTAGCATTTTAAATTTTTAAGAGAGTCACTAACTGCGAGAATCACATCACGTCACAACCTGCTATTTACCCAAAAACAAAATTAAACCGACTGCAAATACGCTAATTTTGGTGTAAAAGCTAATATTTAACGAAGCGGTCGCTGTCGAAGACGCACTATCCGAATTCAAGATCCGAAATCTTTTATGGTTTTCAATTCACACCTGCTGGATATGGTAACCATTCCCCTTCACGTACCAACTGCAGTGCACTGGCTCATAAAATTCTGAATTAGCGTCTTTTTCAGAGCCAGCCTCAGGGCGACAGCGTGCGAAGTCAAAATATTTAAGTTTAAAATCTTTTTTTGAAATTCAAGCTTTCGAACCACATTACGGCAGATACGAACCAGCATACTGAACATAAATCCTCATGCAGTTAACAGATCTGTTATTTTTCCCCAATTTATTGTGGGATGGGAGAGAAATCGTTTTTTCGCGATTAAATTTATTTTCTTTAGGGTATATTATGTTCTGGTCAAGTCGAATAGGATGACGCTCCGAGAACAAGTACCTTCTTCCGCGAGATTCTTATCGAGGACCAACTTCCCATGTCGAAGGAAATTGAGAACAGGTCCAAAGTATGTTGCATCACGATCAATCAGATAGGCTCCCGTTTCGTCCTGTAAAGGAAAACAACGGATTCAACTTCCAGCACAGTCCAGCACATAAACAAAGTGAAATTTATTTCTTTCCGGTTTTCGAATGTCAGATGACGATGTATCCAAGTTACACCAGTATTTACCGCCCCGATTCTGTTCCCTAAAGACCACCACCGAACGCGAGCAGTAATGCTCTGCACTCCGACATTGCAATTAATCTTATTTATTTCTCAGTATGATCCATTTCGGCGGCGGGGACATCCCATTGTGGCGTTCCCACAGAAAACTTCTACTTTTGAGTCACTGCAGTATGAATGTAATCTGAGCCGGTTAGCAAATAGTTTCTTCCTGCACGTGTAATCTTTAGCGTACCACGTTTCGCTTTACACATGCCATCGGCCTGGCACCACTTCAGCATGCTCCAAACGTTCTTAAGGGTTTTGGCCCGGTACATAGCGCTAAAATCGTGTACATTGACGGGAATATTCGCTTTCGCGCACTTTCAAACACCTTTTTGGGTTGCTTTTTGACATTTTGTAGCCAAATGATTGGTGTGCATAGGCGTGAAATCCGTTTTCGCGCGCAACATCCGGTTGCTGAGTTATGAGGGTAACAAAATTCCAAAAAGTTTAAACGTAAGTTAAAGTTACGATCGATTTTGCGTAATACATAACCATGAAGATCGTTTTGACACGGATCCACTGTTCTAGCATTTTTTTCAAATTTTAAAATGAATTTCAAAAATTTTAAAATTCATTTTAAAATTTCAAAAAAATCGTGGAAGTCTGGATCCGTGTCAAAACGATCTTCATGGTCATGTGCATTTACGCGCAAAATTTGAAAGGGATCGGTCCATAATGAGACTTTTGGTACACTTGAATGCATTTAAACTTTTTGGAATTTTGTTACCCGCATAACTTCGCAACCGGATGTTGCGCGCGCAAACGGTTTTCTCACCTAGGTATACAATTCTTCTGGCTACAAAATACCATAAAGCAATACTGAAAAGTGTTTGGGAGCGCGCAACAGCGAAAGTTCCCCTGGTTGTACACGAATTTGATGCTATGTACCGGGCCAAATCCCTTAACTTTCAAAAAAGTGCTCTTCCGTTAAATTTCCCGATAAATCAATATCTGCGGGTGACGGATACAAGAAGCTAGTTACAAATTTATTACCAACTATGAATTAATCAATTTTTCAACAGCTGAAAGTATTGCGCGAATTATGTGTGATCCATACAGTTGCGGAGATGCAATTATTTTTACTACGGGACTGACAGAACAACGCTCATTACTGTTAAATAAATAAATGTACTAATAGATTAAAATAAAACTAGATAAAATCTAAACAAAGATTACTGATAAACAGATAAAGCGATAAAAGGCTAAGCAACTACATAAGGGAACAAACGCAAGTATAACAAAAGAATCAAGCGGTATTAATTCGATTAGGAATGATCGGTTACGTCAGAGCTCCCATCACGCATAGGGCATGGAAAAAACGGGCATTTGTATGAATACTTACGTCTTGGGAGTGGTAATTAACTGTCGTGCTAGACATAACTGCCCAACAACTCTCAGGCTGCCAAGTTCTCCTCAAAGCTTCCGTGCTAAAAAAGGCCTGAACTTTACTGAAAGAATGCATCCACAAATGCAGTCAGAAAAAAAAACAGCTTTCGGCAGAGCACCGGTTTGAATGAATGAAGTGCAAGGCTGCGATAAAAATGACAACTGCAGATCAAGAAAAAATCCTTAATTGTAAGCTTGCCATTTCTATCGCCAATTTTTTTTGTGGACAGTTCATCAGGTATATTTAATTATGCACCTATCCTGCATATTAGCGCCTACAAAATATTTTTGTACTGTACAGTTGTAGTTATAAAACGAGTACTGTATATATATCTATGCAACCGACACAGTGCTTTCTTATACACATTGCACAACCGGTATTGTCAACGTTACTTAATGCAGTAAGAAACTGTTGCATTCAAAATCTCGAAAGAAAACTGAAATTATTACTGTTCACTTTTCGATTCTCAGTCCATTTAACGAACATGAAACCGAAGCCTTCACGTTACTTTCAATCTCCTAATTGACCAATCCAAGCGGTGCCCATTTCCTAAATGCAGATTCCGCCATTTCGGGAATGTTCCCATGACACACCAAAAGGGAAAAAATCATGCTGCACGAAGCTGATACTGACATCCCTCAATCACTCTCAATTTGATAGATGCACTCTGCAGTGGAGACTCCATAATTCAATACCAGTAATTTTTGACACGGCAGGGCCAAACCCGCTGACACGGCAGGGCCAAACCGCTGAACAAGGGGTAAGATAAAAAATATCATAATCATATTAAAATATGCATGTCAAGCAGTTCTAACTGGCTCAAATAAGAATCTGGTTATGCGTACACAATTCCGGTGCTAAAAAGTCACACATTTACTTTGTATCTATGCCTCAGGGCAGCATACAGATCACGTAAATACTGATACTCTCATTGATATTAAAATCATAATTATATAAGATGCAGTTACACAGTACATTACACTTCTTTAAATGAGAAAGCTTTTCTATAATCTGTAGATCGACGCTTCTTGCAGCTTGTCAGGTGTTACTTGCAACGCTGAATTCGGAATTTCAGCTTTTTTACGCAAGCAACGATAATTTTAACTTCCGAAAATCCAGAAGAAATATTTTACGAAATGCTGGCTGCACCGAACCACTTAAAACAACAAGGCAGTTTTTGGATGATCACTCACGTGTTCCGTAATTAATGTTAGAAGCCTTAGTTAGCTTACACAGCTAGCACATCACAACAACATTTTTAAAAAACTGATAGCGGAAGGCTAAAGGTACACTTCGAGAAACTGACACCTAACAGCGATACAATTTTTTTACAGTTATAAATAAATCATTAAAAAATCAAGATTTTTATATTTGCCAGTTATACTGTAAGCAGTAAGCTGAAGTAAAAGTGACTGTAAAACTGTAAACAAATGATAAATTAAATTATTAAAAATATGCTCTTCAAGTGTTCAGTATTTCGCTTTCATCGTATCACGGAAATCTAGCGGCATACCTGGCAGGATAAGACAGAAGCGATCTATTACTATTTACCTGATCCGAGCTGAGATCCGGATCGCCATGGCACAGTCTGTAGAGGAAGCTGTGGGGATCGCGGGCAAGCGTGACTTTGGTCGTGCAGAAGTGCGTCCCACCGACATTTAAACGGATCCATTTCGAAGATGATTTACGAGCATCCGTTCCGTTCTCCATGCCGCCCGTATGATTGACGGCCATGCACACGCTGTACGCACTGATCCACAACGATCAACAAAAATGGGGAGCTCGTGTCCACAGCGATGAATAGCAGCAACAATGCCCAGCCAAAGCTGATATAATCCAGGAAATAAAACAGCACACGGAATAGCAACACAGATTAATTAAGCACCACAACACATGTAACTGCTCGGTAGCGCGATGCAGTAGTCCAACAGTGAGCGAATAGACCTGGATATGACGGAAAACTCAAAACAGATTTTCCTTGCTTAAGGGACTGGTAAAACGGGAAAAGAAAAGATTTGATCGATTCACTCAGACGTGGAGATGTTGTCGCTCTCTCCCGTTCTGCGCTTACAAATACACCGAGTCAGGCAGGCTGAGCTTGATTTGCTTACAGCACCCTTGTCACCGATATATTCGTACCAAGCGGGCTAGCGGCTCTCCGTCTCCACAGAAAACAGTGCAGGCAGAGAAGGGAAGAACCCGATAATCATATTGTGTGCTTAGGACGCTCCTTGGCCATGGCACGTACGCGCTCATACAGACTTGCCGTTTCAACAGAGACGGTTGTGAGAAAATGCGGAAAGAAGCAGATGAAAGGATGAGTGCCAGTGGTGTGTGCTCCATAGTGCATACGGTGCATACCGCGCATTCCATTTCCATTGCGAATAGACAGCGGAAGCGTACGCGGTACATACGACTGATACGAGTACGATTTATTTACTTGGAGTCTGGACTCTGGTTTCGCCTACTCTGCTCTCCTAAACAATATAAACATTAATAAATGCTTCTAATTGACTGCCATCACCCCGATTGCGCTAAAACTTGTAAATATGTGATACACCTTAACTTAATCGCTTTATATTGTTAAATCAGTAAACGTTTTATTTATTAAGAAATTGTATTTTCTACTTCTACCGTAGGCGAAATAAAATGTCAGGCTGAACCGGCAAAAACTTATGTCATAGTGTGTTGTTAATTTTTTACAGTTATTGCCTTTCTAATAAACCCTTTATAGCGGTAGTTCGCTAAAATCATGTATAGTGTAATAATCATTTTAGTGTGTTTTGTAACTGCTAATGATTTATTTGTGAAATGATTACGATTGACGATTGCCTCTTGATTATCTCTTTAAATCTTAACATCCCCCAGTAATTTTTTGTCTATGTATAGTTTTTGGACAGACTATTGTATTGTGTGTGTGATTAGTGATAACTTATAAGTTAAAACTGTATTGTATTTTTTCAAGGCTTGTATGCTAAGTTCCTGATTAATAATCGTAAATACCAAAATTATAAGTATTCTAAAAAAATCTATTTTATTTACTTATGTGCATCGTGTAATAAAGTGGACTAAATTTCAAGCAGTGGTGAGTGGAGCCCATTGTTGATATACGGAACGGAAGTTCCATTGTGATCAGTGCCAGTGGGGTCATACCTGGTCAAGGAGGCCGGACTGTCCATTTTCGGCCAATGGCAGACAAAGGTATGCCATTCAACAATTCAATCAGCCAAGCCTGGATGACGTGATCGATGAAAGGTATGCCATCAGTAGTCACTCTCTCTACTCTCTAGAGTAGTGATCGATCTTTATGATGGTGCAGCGGAGTGTTTAAAAATTTCAAAACATCGATATCATTCAGTTCGCCATGATCCTACCCTAGCAGAAAGGGTTTGTTGTACTACAGTACTACTGTACTCTGTATTTTGATACCATTTTGCCGTAATTTATCGCTTGTTGCGCGGATTCCCCTTGTATCCCTTGCCCTGCTTCGTAAAATGGAGAGACTGCTTTTGTTAGCGACTTAATTTGGACGGCGCAGTAGAAATTCCCAAAATGTTCTGTCCTTAAAGGCTTAATTAGTTAATTATCTGGCACGTTGCGATCCGATGTTCCTAATCATTCTTCTGTTCTCCGCATCCCAATGCGTCTAATCAACAGACCGCCATGTACGATATGGGTGTACGGCGGCAGCTGCCACTTGTTGCTGCCATCATCATCATCGCCTTGCTATGTTTATCCCAGCCCGTTAGGTGCCAGCGACCGCGCATGACAGGCCCAGAGCCTGTCAGTCGCAATATCACTTTCTTCACTCCCAATCAGAATGATAATAGCTTCCTGCGTTCGGTGGCCGTCGAGTCGCCGATGGTGACGGGCAACCGCCTCCAGAATGATCTCTGCTCAACCAATAATCCCTGCCAACATAACGCCACGTGCCAGACCGTTCTCGGGAAGACGGGAGAGGTGTCGTTTGTCTGCCTGTGTCCCGTCGGCTGGACGGGACGCCTGTGTGATGTGGATATCGATGAGTGTGCGGATTCACAGCTCAAGTGCCTCAATGGGGCTATGTGCAAGAATTTCCCCGGTGGCTACCAGGTAGAGAAAAAAACTTTAGGTTTATCATTTAAGTACTCGTTTATGAGGATACTGCATTCGTCTGGCTTTTGTACTGCCTTTCTGTTGACGTTAGCGTTTTTTTCCACAGTGTAGTTAGTTTTATTTTGGTTTTATTTCAGAATTTTTTGAAGTTTTGTTCGTTCTACATAATAAGGATTAGCTTACATGTCAGCGTTCGGAAACAGTTGATAACTCGTGATTACTTATCTCTCGCAGGATTTATAATTTTATCTAATTTCTACTGCACAGTTTGGCATTGTTATGCGCACAGCAACCAGTGATCAATTTAGATTGATCGTTTTATTGTCTCGCGAAATTTTTGAAAACTTTTTTGAACTGACTGTACCGTTGCCGCTAGTTTAAACTTGTAAAAATAATGTGTAAAGACGGAGATAAAGTGAGCTGGTATAGCTGCACTTGCTCTCTACGCGCTTATGATTTTTTAAGAAGGTTTTGTGCCGTACTGGGTAATTGCTGTTTTTGTTCTGATAGTGTTTTTACAGCAAGATTCCATCGCTCAGAGTTTTTCGATGCGGTTCTTAATGGTTTAGATTTTCCGCTTGGCTTTCAAGCGGTTTACAGTGTGCTGATAACGAAGAGTTTCTGTTTGCAGTGCTATTGTGTACCAGGATATTTAGGAGTTCACTGCGAAACTGAAGCGAACGAATGTTTCGCGCATCCTTGCCAGAATGAGGCCACTTGTAAGGACAGGCTCAATGGATATGAATGCCTTTGCCAGCCAGGTATAAATTTTGAACGTTACGATACTGTACTTACAAATCTCCAGTCGCGCGATATGCTCGTTTAGAGTGCGTGAGATAATAACGTAGCGTATCGAGGTTAAAAAAACGTTATGAAAAGCGAATCTCCTGCTAATAACAGCTACAAACACCCCACAAAAATTTATTTTGCTGTCGTTAAAGAACTTTTTTTCTTTTTTGAAAGGTATCTTTAATTAATTTGGTTTGCAGCCCTTCGGAATTTATTTAGTTATTGGTATTAACCGCAGTTATTTTTTGGCCGTTAGCGTTTGGCATTTTTAACAATTTTTTTCACTGTTTAACAATTAATAAGTTTGAAATGGCTTATCAATTACGGGTGCGAAATACAAGCTTTATGTTGCTCGAAATTTGCCTATCGATTACTTAAAAGGAAAAACATTCCATACATTTATGGCTCTGTTATTCTGCACTCTACATGTAATGGCATTGTTTGAATGATATTTTATTGGAAGGTCGTATTTGATTAGCAAATATGACCCACATAACCCAGTTGTTGATGCTTGGTTGACCACGTGTAAACACCGGCATATCGATAACTTAATTATTCAACCATTTAGGAACGCAGTTTTCAGTTTTTTAATTAGGGGTGCGATACTTGGTATGTTTTATTAATTCTTAATTTTTATATCGATCATAATGGGAAGAAATCGTTGGCTTTTTCAGTTATTTTCACGCTTTCGTCTGATGATTTTCCTAGAGTAAATAATCAACTGGAAAGGAAATACCAGTTAGCTGGCGTTAGAGCTCGACCAAGGCCGTGGCTTGTGTTCACTCACACGGCTGTCGAATGTCCAGTTAACTGCTAAGGTTAAAGATTGGCTAACTGGAATTTCCGCTACCGGCATGATTTCTTGACCAAACGCTTGGTGTGGAATCAATAGTGATAATTGTAGCGAATATGGAGAAACATGTTTAATTCATTCTTACAGACCAACCGGTTTTGTTTACTAGATGGTTCTTTAAAAGAAGCGTTGATAAGTTTACAGTTTAAGCAGTGGTGGGCGACTCCAAGAGCACAATTTCAAATTGTAATAAGGAAATATTGGGGGAGTATATCTTTTATTATGAGGTCATTTTTGAGAGCTTTCTTGGTTGTTTTCTACTGAATGCCCGGTCGATTCATACAACCCCGTTCGATGAAATGCACGATATTCGGCAGTTGTGATGGTGGTATTTGCATTAATGTAATAAAATTTAAGGGATGTTTTTGTTGCAACGGAAGGGGTGTGATATCCAACCGGATGTGGGCTCATAAAATCTGTATCCCATCCCTTATCGCACTCCTACCAGTTTTCCGATGACTTTAGGCTAGACATAAGCTTGATAGTTTGCATCGCGGTTATTTTTATAGCTGTAAGACCTGGAACCATACAAGCGCTTGAAAGTTTAATTTATCAAGAAAGTTGCATAGTCATAGTACTTAACGCGGGAGATTTGTGATCTCGTTCGTAATTGACTTAAAAACGGAAATACCGCATGTCCATGTCCCGATTATTTAAATACACTTATGTGTATCGAAAACGTTTATGGTGGAATTTATTTTATTATGCCTGCGTTTTCGGCCACTCTTTTTCCGACACGCTCAAATTTTAATATCTTGCTTTCCGATTGAAGTATGTTTTACTTCTTGATGTGAATGTACACCGGGAAAATACAAACACAAAAATGCAAAAACACATACAGTACATCCACGATTCCGCAGGTTCCCTACTGCGTTGCGTGGCTTTCACACACTGTATTGCAGGGTCATGCTGATATGCTAACTCTTGGTTTTCCACCTTTTTCGGTGTCGTAAATTTTTCATTTTCTAGAAAAAAGGGGGTGTTTGGGTAGCGCATATCGTAATTAGTGGGTACACTTTATTTGTATAGATATGTTTTCTTATTTTATTCGAATACAGTGTATCAATGGTGTATTGACAATGCAAGGAATATGGCGATATGCGAAGGTGGATTTGTTGTTGTACGTAGATAGGGTTGTACCGTTGTATTGTGTTTCTGTATTTTGGCGTATTAAAAGGTATTCGGTACGGAACTGCCTAATGCTTTTCTGTAATGCAGGTTTCATGGGACGGAATTGCGAACGCGATATCGACGAGTGTGCACCGGGTCCCTGTTTGAATGGAGCCATCTGCCATAATCTCCGGGCAGCCTATTCGTGCGTGTGTGCACCGGGTTTCACCGGACGCAACTGTGAAATCAACATTGACGAATGCGCCGGTGGACCCTGTCAGAACGGAGGTCGATGCATCGACGGCATTAATAGGTATTTAAGTGCTTTGATTGTGGTCAGGGAATTTAATCGTCTTTAGTCAGTTAGCAGTAGCGGTTAAGGCTGTCTGAATTGGATTTAACTGGCCAAAAAAACGTTAACCGCGTCACAAACAGTTCATGCTTGTCGGCGCATGCAAATTGTTCTGCTTTGTGGAGCGCATGTGCGGCAGGTTACCTAATATCGGCATGTGCTCTTCACCGGTGCGAAAGCAGTTTTTTTTTCGCTGCATAACTTGGGTAAATCAAGTTAGAAGTCTTTTGCAAATTGATGACTGCCTTCGGAGACAGCGCTTTTTGGAGAATTTTTCCTGTTTACTGCTCCATTTCAAATAGACAACATTGCAGTTTAATTGTGGCTTCCGAGTTTTAAGTTTTTCCTGCTTGTACCGCTTTTGGATTTGAAGTATTTCCTATTTGAACAACCACAATACAGTTCAAGAATTTTCGGGATGCGTATTTTGCTGAGAGTTGTTTTAACATGATTGAAAAGACAGTAATGTGGCAGTGTTTCGAGACGTTCATTGGCAGTGTTTATTATGTCCATCCACTATTTTCGACTTTGTTAAGTAGTCACACCTCACTGGGTTGATAAAGCACATTTTTCCTGCACCTGCTAAACACGCACATTGTTGCCGAACAAGTAGATCCGTTTTCTAGTGGCACGAACATAACAGTTTTAAAGGTGCCACACTTATCTTACTGATGGAAACCATAGAACACCAGTACTGTATACTTATTCGCGAATCTCGATGCATTATCCCATGTGGCGTTTTCTGATCGCTACCATTCATCTTTTTCCCAGTTTCACCTGCAACTGCGTGAACACCGGCTTCACCGGGCGCTTATGCGAGACGGAAATCGATGACTGCGCCAGTTCTCCCTGCCAGCACAATGGAACCTGCACGGACATTGGACGCGATTACAAATGCCAGTGTTTTGATGGGTATTTGGGGAAGAACTGCGAAGTGGACATCGATGAATGCCACGATCCTTTTCCACCCTGCCAGAACGGCGCGACGTGCTATGAGCGGTCCAACGCCAGTTTATACATTGATCATAACTTCCTGGGATTGGGAAGAGCCTTTTCGTATAATAATTCCGCCGGTTACGTGTGCTTCTGTCCCGCGGGATACACCGGGAAGAATTGTGAGACCGAAGTGAATGAATGCGAAGCTTTGCCGTGTGTCCATGGAAGCTGTACGGATCGGGTGAATGGGTACAATTGTACGTGTCCGGAGGGATGGGAGGGTGTCAATTGTGAGAAGGATATCGATGAATGTTTACTGGGAAAGATGTGCGAGGAGACGGGGGTCTGCCAGAATCTCCCGGGAGGTTATCGGTGTAACTGTAAAGAAGGTTATGGAGGAAAGCGGTGCGGGGTATTGTTGGCGGGATGCGATGATAAGACATGTACCAATGGGATTAAATGCCCGGCAAATTCCAAGTGTAAGTGCTACGGGTAATCCGCGACTCCGCGTTACTTTTGTTAATTGCTTATACTCGCGTATTTTCATCTTATTTTGCTTGCAGCTACGTTTAGTAATTAGTTTATTCGGCTGTTATTAGTCAATTAATTTGGTGTTTACGTACAGACGTAATTACAACTCAATTTTACACAGGATTTTACGATCAAATTCCGGTAGTTTTTTTATTTGGTCTTGATGTGGCTAGGGTTAATCGGTACGTTTGCACGAATTTGTTGCATATGCATATTCCTTATTGTAGCATTTACTTAACAAAATCATAGTGTGCTCGTTTGTTTTAGTGCATTTTATTGGTGCAGCCCCAGCCGTTTTGGAAAGTTTGGTTTGAATTTAAATGTATTGATATGAATGATTGATTAAACATTTCGACCAGTAATTTTAAAAAAAATTATGATTTTGGTAATAATTACTTAGGAACTTCTATACAAATGGGGAATTCGAAAGACTCATAGAACTTTCGGAAGTTTTAGAGTGTTAAACAGTTCCCGAGAAGGCAGGTTTTTTTATTATTCAGTACTTTTCCGCATTTGGCTTACTGGGCTGGCTTTCCATAAATTAGTAAGGGAACTGTATTCATCGAGATTATAAATTTTGACTGGTATATTAGTGACCCGCGAGCGACTAATATTGCTTTAAGGAGCATTAAGGCAAGTATTCAATTGTTTTTCTATGCACGAGCATGATTTGCATGAGTTTTCAAATAAATATTACGACATGTGGTGCGGTATTTTCTTACATGGTCAGCGGTTTCGGTGACGATGTTAAATGAAAATATTGATTGTGTAAATGATACCTTGAGTGTTGAATGGTTGGATATGTGGTCCGAAATGTGGTACTATGTCGACGGTTTTTCTTGACCGCTGCGTCTCATGCTGTCTTGTGGTGTAGCACAGACATGCCTTCCTTGCTGGCATAAGGAGTTCTTAATGAACACTGGAGTGCGGTGCGTTTTCTATTGAATGTTTTACCAACTGTTGTTGTTGAACGGTTTTAGAAATTTTCATATGATTCGAAGTGTAAATTGTGTCAGCCTGGATTTAAATTTCTTGATAAACTGGCTATGCCAACCGCAGTAGAACCGGTCGCTATAATGCTGAGATTGTTGTTTAGCTTATCAGGTACTGTAGAAATCGTGCTTTATGATGCAGTACTTGTTCTAAAATCTGATCATAGCACTACTGCAAATCTTCTCTTACTACAAATTTTGATTTAGCGGAATTCATGTATTTTGCATTGGATGAGTATAATTAATCTGTGTGATGCATAATCTTTGGTGTGAACATGCGAAATTAAGCGAGTACGATATGACTTACATAATGGCGGTAATGATAACTTGTGTGATTGAACTCATTACAGAGCAGTTGTAGTGGTCCTAGTGGATAGGCACCGGTCTAGTGTTTGCTTCACGTAGGTAACTGAATATCTTAGCCGAGTCGTTTTCAAAAGAACTTTTAGTAGCCAAATGAAGCTATGTTTTTTTTTATCTTTTTCAACAGCTTTTACAATAACAATGGGAAACATCGGAGCCACTCATTACATCTAACGGCTCTTAATTTTTTATCAAATAATCTGTATAGTTTTACAGTCTGGCTTTACATTTTTAAATTGGCACTGCTAGTTTGCTAGAATGTTAAAATATACTGGATTTCAGGGAACATCTTTATTTTGTAGGTGCCGAAGGTGCAACATGTGTGCCGTATCTCCTGGCGGAGGATCCCACCCCGTCCACGACTTCACTTGCCAGTGCCCGGCTGGCCGGGCGGGCCGACTGTGTCAGCATTCGAGCGTGGCGGCGTTCAGCACGGATGGTTTCCTGCAGCTACTCAATCAGACCTTGACCAACGTGTCCTTTGACTTCCGCACCACCCTCAACGACTCCCTCCTCATGGTGGCGGTGGACAGTACGGCCATCTTCTCCCTGCAGATCGTCCACGGGAAGATGGAGCTGGCCATTGAGCGGCCCGGGGAGCGGAAAGCGGTTACGTGGGAGGCGGGCGTAACGGATGGGAAATGGCGCAGTGTGGCCGTGGGCATTGAACAGGGGCTGGTCACCAGCGTGTTGGGGAATCGCAATGGGAATCTAGCCGGCGATATGGTCAAGGAGAGGGTGGAATTGGTCAACAGTCTCCCGGTGGGATTGGTGTTTGCTGAAGTGTATTTTGGAGGATTGGAGCACCGTGTGCGCTTACTGGGCACCCCGTTTCAGTAAGAATGATCACTTTCTTCGTTGTCTTAGGTCTTCGCAGTAGCTGCCTTTACAAAGTAATATCCGTAATATCATAAATACGTACTCGTAATAGCAGCGCCGAACAAAGTTCTGTTTTGGCAAGTTTTCTTTTTTTCAAATGTCCGTACGGAAATGCAGACAGAATAAATACAGAAGCTTTTACGGAAATTTTACAACTACTTCTATTGAAGGAAAGTATAAAAAAATTCTTAAGTAATTATATAAGTGCGGAATGTTGACAGAATTTGGGGGGCAGTTCTGGGGATTTTCCCATCTGGAGAACAATACGGAAAACTGAAACAGTTTAAAACAATGAAAGCCTATGTTGAAAATTTTGAAGAAAAAATTTTTGTAAAATTTGAGATTCCGAAAGCATAACTGGATGCGGGTGCGAACTATTCTGCATAGTTATTAGTTACGTTACAAGTCGTGATTAGTTTACCCGTAAACCGTATAACCGTGTAATTTTAAGCCTAGTTTGCCGGGTTTAATAATGTTTTTTTGTATCCAATTATTATCTCAGTGCTCACAAAGTTTGGAACTGCACGACGTTTACAATTAAATGACCGTAATATATGTCTAAAGAATAAACGGGAGTTTTTTTGTTAGGCCGAATATGAACGGGTGTCTTCGCGATATGAACATCAACGGGCAGGTACTGGTGCCGGCCGAGATGAGCACAGCCACCAAGCGGCGTCATGCGAGCGTGAAGACCAGCTGCGATCGGAAAGAGCAGTGCAGTCCCAACACATGCAATCGCCGGGGCCAATGCTCGGATTTGTGGAACCGATACGTCTGCCACTGCGAACGACCATACTACGGATTGTCGTGTGAGAAAGGTACGCTGAGAGTGTGCACGGTTTTGGCATGAATGAATGCCAGTTGTGTTTTTTCCCTGACTGAACTTTGGCACGGAAGTGTCAGGTTACGTCGCCGCTTGTTCGCTAATCGGTTGCGTGTTTCAAACACAGAAAAAACAAAGTGCTCTTGTGTTCGGAAAGTGCACGCTTATGAAAGTTATTAAGTGTTTTGTTGTTGAATTATTTTGCTCTATTGTCCATTCAAATAATTTCGCGCTTAAATGAGCTTTCGTTTTTTGAAACTTTATTTTTTTCTCTATTAAATCATACAGTTTTTCGAAAGTTTGGCATGCCTTGTAGCACTTTGGTTTATAAATTTGCAGAATTTTATTTTTTATCGAGTTAACCGGTTTCACGTTATTTACAATGTATTTTTCTCGTTATCCAGAAATAACCGCTGGGACATTTAATCGCGAGGCCACCAAAAGTCTAATTGCGGTTAATTTAACATCTGCGGACCGCAACATTCTGGAACTGAATGGCAACATCTCTTTCCGTCTGCGCACCCTAGAAAACAACACGCTCATCTTCTACATTGGCTCCTTATCGGGCAGCAGCAACATGTTCCTTCGCTTAATCCAGGGACAGTTGGTCCTGCAGGTCAAACTGACCGACTCCGTGGACACCATCCATGGACCGCCGAAATTTCTGAGCGATGGCAACTACTACTACGTCCACGTGGAGCGTGTCCACACCATGATCCGCATGTGGGTGGACGGCGGGAAGATGGCGTTCCAGCCGCTGGGTTCCGCCAGTCCCTTGAATGCCGAGGTCCTGCTGCTGGGTGGGGCGGTGCGCGGCGCCTTGCGGCCGCACAAGGTTAAGCGCCAGATCTCCAACGGCGTGAACGATGATAATGTCGTGGATGGAGGACTCTTCAAAGGGATACTGCAGGATGTCCGGCTGAACGGGAAACTAGTGCCGTTCGTCGAGATGTCGGATGCGGGAATGTTGGAGGGACTGCCGGCGTTGCTGCGCGATGTGACGGTGAACGAGGTCACGGAGGGGGTGAAGAGTGATGACAACTGTAAGGTTAATCCCTGTGAATATGGTGGATCGTGCCAAGTCACGTGGAACGACTTCCGGTGAGTCTTTTTACCCTGTCGATAGGATGTCGTTATGTAATTTTGATGGGTTTTTTTTTCGGTGTTTTTCAGATGTGTTTGCCCAGTTGCATTTCGCGGGAAGCTGTGCAATCTGCCCAATTTTTGCCTGTCCAACGAATGTCCGTCGCCCCATGCGCAATGCAAAAAATTGGAAAATGAATATGAATGTACGGCAGATGTACCATTTTGTGATGGCATAAATTAAAAATTGATTGCGAAAATGTTTATTTCGTCGATTGCGAAAATGTTTATTTCATGTATTTCTGGCTAGGAATAAATCTGGATAAAATCATCATAAAAAATTTGGGAATTTAATTTAATTAGCACTCCATACTGTGTATTATGTGTACGTAAGGATTAAGCTCAGGGTTAAGGACGCAATACAGTTGATAATGCGGTTGCATATCGTTTAGCGGTCTGATTCACCTTTATGGGTAATCGCTTGTCAGTTTTTTACTGTGGTCTCAGGTCTGTAGATGAGAAGTGCAGCTGTTACGAGCTATATCATTTGATTTTTAACGTTTTCAGGTGCAACAAACATTAGCTTCCTGGACACGCATTCCTCTATAGCGTATTCCCCAACCCAATACATCAGCCCGATTCCGTAAAGTGTCCTTCCGATTTCGCACCCGCTTAACGGACGCAGCCAACCTGCTACAACTCATCAGTTCTCAACATTATTTGAAGATCTACATCAAAGCCTCTCGCATCCAGATTGAATACCACCTTTCGGCGTCCCCCTCCGCCATCACCATCGACCGCCCGATCAACGATTCCGTATGGCATACATTCGAAGCGGAATTCCTCCCGGCCACCATGAATATCGCCATCGATGGCCAGTCCTTCAGTCAAGACGTCCCCAGGATCTCCCTCAGCCAGATCCTCCAGGAGGACAACGCAGTCGTGCAGGTGGGTGGGGGCTTCATTGGGTGTCTGGATGATGCCCGGCTGGGGAGTTTTCTACTGCCGGTCTTCCCGGAGGTGAAGAGTAAGGCGGTGGCCGGTGTGAAACGGATGGTGAAGATGGCCAAGATGGTGGGCATGGAATACGGATGTAAAGGGGTGGATGTGTGCGGCCAGCAGCCGTGCCAGGGGATGGGGCACTGTGTTGATCTGTGGAACGATTATAAATGCCAGTGTGATCCGGATGTGGACGGCGCGGTGTGCGGTGAGGCCGGCAAGCGGAACCGTATTGATCCACGGGTCCGGGTTGGCGGCTGCGAGGAGGTGCAGTGTCATAATGGAGGCCTGTTGAACTGCCAGGAGGGAAATGTGACGGAGGCCTACTGTAGTAACTGCACTGAGGGATACACCGGCAAATGGTCAGTACCAGTGCAGTTTTATGCATGAATTCGTACTTTCTCGGAGAATATTATTTTTCGACATAGCTACTTGAGATGTTTAATATAGCAGCACTGAAATTTAATGAAATTGTTTAGAAAATATTATTTCATTGTCACATTGTCAACTAAGACACATTGTATAATAACGGTAAATAGTAATTCAGTTGTTTTTGGGAATGGTAGTGGATGTTGGAAATAAATTTTTTAATATGAATAATTCAACTTTAATTATTATTTTAATAATTATTTGGGAGTGAATAAGTATTGGGTTATTTATTTTCGGATGACTTTCCTGTTTTTTATGTTGGGAATTCTCTTTGCAGGTGCGAGGTTTATCAGGCCACAGCCATCGGCACCGGACCAGACAATTTAGCAATAATTCTCGGTGTGACTTTGAGTTTTGTCGGACTGGTGGTAATCGGAGCGCTGGCGGCCTTCTGCGTGACGGCGCGAAAGCGTCGCGCCGAACGCGGTACATATTCTCCCAGTCGCCAGGAAATCTTCGGCTCCCGCGTGGAGATGGGCTACGTTCTGAAACCACCGCCGGAAGAGCGGCTCATATAGTATCCCTGAAGCGGCTAGTGACGTCCGCTTGACCAAAAATGACCTTTCTTCCATGAGTTTCGTCCAGTTGAATCCGTCGTTTAAAGGAAATCCAGAGTTGATTTTTTTGTATTGGTTTTACTGTTTTTATCTCTTTTTTCTTCGGGGATGTGGTGTTTGTACTTTGAAGCCGTGGTTTTTCCCCCGTCGTTGGCAGCTCAGAGCTGCATGCTGATGGTAATCTGCTCTGGTGTGCTCAAGCCATTTCACCCGCGTAATTTCCTAGACAAAGGAGTGGCGGGTTGAGATAGTTTTTTTAATTTAATTTTTGTACATTTACTTGTATGTATTTTATTTTTTTGGCGGCTATGTTTACTGTTTTGGTGATGTTTGTGAGGGTCTGAAAATTTCGATGTTATTTTTGCAGTCAATGTGCATTAAGGCTGAAAGCAGATATGCAATAAAATGAAACGTTTGTGCTTTTTAGCATTGAGAAATCTGTACTGAACATGCGCGCTTAGGTAAATTATTTTTTTATAAAATGTTTTTGTTCTGTTTTCCATCAGTTTTCCATTTACAGTATTTTCCATTTAATTGACATTTGGCATGACCTACTAGTAATTAAATTTTTTTCCATATTATCCAACCCTTAGCAACCCTTGTCAAACGACATTTTTCGGTCAAATTAATGTTTTCTCTCTGTCTACGTCATTTTGCATGGCGTTTGTAGAAATATTTATTCTTTTTTGTGGTTCACGTACTCCATGCTATGCAACACATAATCATGCTCCGACGTATTTCCCTCCTGCTGACCCTTCTGCTTATAAGCTCCATCCATGCCAAAGAGCGACTGCGTCGCCAATTCGCCCAGACCAGCGTCCTTAATGAGAATGGCGACCTAGTCCTGCCCACGGAGGGTAAAGCCGAACTGCAGCGCCAGATGGCCCAGTTCCCGCTGGAAGCCTTCCTGAACCGGCTCCGGCGTGCCGCTCCCGAGATGATGCGGCAGTTCGGCATGATGCCGGGGATGTTCGGGATGATGCCGGGCATGGGCGGCGGTATGCCGGGGATGGGCGGTGGAATGCCCGGTATGGGCGGAGGCATGCCCGGCATGGGTGGTGGTATGCCGGGAATGGGCGGCGGAGGGATGCCGGGGATGGGTGGTGGTCAAGGCGGAGGTCAACAGCAAAGCCAGGAGCAGCAGTGGCAGCAGGCCTGCGCCTTCGCGCCCCAGCTGAACCTCTTCAATCAGCCAGCCGTCAACCCCTTCCCCAATGACCCCTGGTTCGCCTCGCAGATCCAGTGGCAGAACCAGCTGAACGCCAACGCCATCAACCAGTTCCAGGGCATCTGCTCCTTCGTGGGCCAGCAGGGCGGCGGTCGACCGGGCGGTATGCCAGGTGGAATGCCGGGTGGAATGCCGGGTGGTATGCCGGGTGGTATGCCGGGAATGGGCGGTGGAATGGGCGGTGCCATGGGTGGTCGTCCCCCCAATCCTGGTGGTCGGCCCACTGGTGGCCGGTTTTAAGAATTACTTAAATAAGTTACGCACTCGGATTGTGTTGCATGTTGTACCGGCGAACTGCGTTGTCTGTATGTAATTGGCTAATTGCTCATGACGTACTTTGATTGATCCGCCAGGGCGTATAATATGTGAAAATTCGAATAAAAGTAACGACAGGAGTATAAGTACATATAACGTTATAATTACATTACAATAATTATTACAACGTCCGATCTTTTTTTGTACACACTAAATATTCCCACTCGCAATATTACAGTATCAAAAAACCAGGCCAGACATCTTGGGAATAGTTTTTGAAATACCAAATAGTTGCCAGTATGTATTTAGAATACCGCAAGTATCACTTTGTCAACCTTGCTGCATTATTTATTTGTTGTAGCTTTCGAGAAGTAAGAATCTCACCATGTCCGGACACTTGCTACTGTATAAGCAACGGAAACAACGTCTCAGTTTAGGCATCTGAAAGCTTTTCAAGATGACCTCTTCTGTGCTCTGCAGTGTGCTATACCTTTTAAAACCTTTTTCAAATAAGTAAGTACTCAAGTTAATTTTCATGTGTCCTGTTACTCCTGTGTTATTCCCCGGAATGTTGTGCCGCATATTCGTATCTTTCGCGATAAGGTCGTGGATGTCTGTCACAGTCGGTTACGTAACCGGACGGGTATCTGCGTCTAATATATTTGTTGGTGCTCCCAAAATTTCCGTAATACTGACCTCTGCAACATACACACTGCATGATTTGTGCATACAGTGAATACCCTCATGACACAGACTAGTATACGTATCTCCAAAAATTTTCTTGATACTCGTATAATATACAAAGTAGCACAAGAACGTGTAAGTTGCAACCGGTGTTGAAGCATCAGCATCACGATGTCATTTGCGTACAGCAAATGTTAGTCGGGTTTACATTTTCCAATATTTTTAATCAGCTTAAAAACAGCGGTTTTTAAGATATAACTGCCATCGTAATGCCAGAAAAGCTACCTTATCCTCTTTTATAAAACAGAAGAACCATAGTAATCATTGTGCATGCTTTTAATCTAAGGACACAAAAATACTTCTAATTAGTAAGCAATATTCTTAATTTTGCTACAGGTACAACTGTTGACTGGAATATCGGTAATCTAACCTATAATTATTTGTTCCAGGATACAGATTTCCTGCTGGAGGGTAAAAAGTGTATGTGGAATATTGCAAAGTTGTGCCGACGAAGGAATTCCATGCTTGCGCAATGGGGGCAGGAACTGCGCAAATCGCTATCGCTACCTAATAAGCCAACATGATATTATAATTAACACTTTTAAGCAAATCGGTTTAATATCGCTTTCGTACTTTAATACTCAAATTGCTTAAGAAAGCATGCTTTAAAATAAATTATCATAACAATTTCATAGCGCCATGATGCGCATGTATACTTGTACATTTGGAAATACAACTTACAGTTAGTAAAAATAAGTTCGTTCAATACTTCATCATATCTGTAAGAGGTGGCGCCTAGCTTTTAACAGGATGCAGCAAAACTGCGTCAATGTTATTGAAACTTTGTACACCTGGTTTATTGAGACTCACCAACAACACCATGCGAATCAGATGGATACGCATTCCACTATTCCAGTGCAACAAATCATTAATTTTCAGGATTAACCGAAATACATTACCGTGAGACCAGCTATAGACTATAGCCTATAGGGATGTGACGTATTGCACACTTTGTAAAAAACCCAATAATTATAATGTTTTATATTTTCGGCAACTTAAATTTGTATGCCAGAGGTGGGTACATTAATGATCAGTCAATAATGTAATATCGCATTCGTAAAGTGAGCAGTTTCTAGTTCCACATATTACGAGTAATATGCAAAAGTACTACTTTAGCAAACAGCCTCTGTACAGCAAAAAATACAACCGGAAATATTCTCTTACAAAACCAAACCACTTCATTAAACCTTTGACCTAAGTTGTGTAACTGTGCTAATAAATTTCCTAATTACCGTACAATGTTTTCATCTGCGTTTCATTTGACGAATTATGCTGAATAACTAATATATTTTTTTTTATAACGGGGTGGGGCTGTTGTATAGTAAAATTAATTTGACAGGAAGACGAATCTTGTAAACGCTTAATTTCGTGATGAATCTTGTCAATGCATCTTGTTTCCTTTTGCGTGGTTTCATTCTTTTTGATGCAAAAATTCGTACTCTCGGATTATTATTTGTGTTATTTGGTATTTGGTTCAGTCATAATTGTGGCTCAGCGTATGCGCGTACCGCACAGGAATTGACAGGATGACGGTTTGTGCACCGAAATCAAATACTCACGTTTCGAGACTCGCCCCAAGGCAAACCGGCATGCATTTTGACGTGAGTAATTCGCAGCTTTTCCTTTACAGTCCGCACATATTAGATTCATACTTTTTCATTCTGGCGTCACCTTGACCTATCGTTTTTCTGTATCATTAACTTCCATATACGGAGAAAGTGGGCGGTGCTGTGATAAACACCTTATATGGTACGAATGCCTATAAAAGGAAAGAACGAAACCAAAAAAATTTTAGATTTTGGCATAATGGAAAGTGATCACTGATTATAGCGTGCAACACGTTTGCCTTTAGATCAGCGGCAGTTTGACAAAATATTTGTATTAGCTAATAACAACAGCAAATCTCTGCCTCTTCTAAAGCATTGCTGTTAATTTTCTTCAATCAGTGAGTGACTATGCCGGCGGAATACGGCCTCCCTTCGCATCAGCCTTATACGCAGCAACCAAATGTCCAATTTGTTCCTGTTTACATGTCAGTAAGCAATAAGCATATTTTCGATACAATAAATTTGCAAGTATTCACGGAAGTTTGCACAGATTTACGATTGCAAAACATATATATGATATGACTATTGCAATTAAACCTACAAATATATTCAGATGTACTCGTAAGCAGGCAGTGGTAAAAGAAAACTTTACAACAGCACTAGCTTCTGTGATAACATTGGAGTGATTTTGCATTTTTCTAACTTAGTAAAATTGCAATCAAATGGAACGAGTCAACTCGTTTTTAAAGAAATTTTCGAAAGCCGCTAACATGTACGTAGAAAAAGTTTACTACATTGCTACGCAGCCTACGCGCTTGATGTTCGTTACAAAACTGGAGCAGCGATTGCAGAGATTTAAGTGATGCGCTATCGATATGATGAATATTAAAGTATAAAGTACCTCGTACTATATTACAGGCGTGAGCAACCTGCAGCTGCACAGCAGGGAATGTGTGCGGCGTTATGTGGATTCTTAACCTGTACCGGTACACTGTTGGCCGTCTGCATTTCGGATGGTCCGTCCTGCTTAGAATTCATGGGTGAATGCTGTTCCGCCTCTGACGTTTGATCCGCTGCAGTTAAATTGTTGACAACATGCTCCTGGCACAGCCGGCAGCGTCCCTAGGCTAAACCTGTACGCTCCCTTTCCGCATCAGGAAAAAAGAAAAATGCCGACGTGGACGTCATGTTAGACCACACAACAAGCAGCGTGGACATAATTTTAACAGCATTTTTAATTTATACAAAACTCACAACGTTTTGCCAGTTATTCTTCGCACACATCGCCGTTTTTAAGCCAACTCACAATTTCCAGCCAGAGAAATCAAGGTTTTGGGACCTGCATAATACCGTTTTTTTTCCGGATTGCTGATAAAAAACTAAGCATAATAATGGATAAACGCATTTAAAGTGTGGTATTATGATTTAATTTTTATTTTCTATGTTCATTTCGCAAATGATCCATATTAGTTTTGCTGGAAATACAGGACTGAAGAAGCGCAGCTTTTTACAGGAGCAAGACAGCAACAAAGCAATTTTCTGTGTTTTTGTGCTCGCTGGGAATTTATCATAAAGAAGACTGGCGTTTCTGACTATAAAAAAACTATCTGCACGGTGAAACGAATTTCAAGTAGCTTCGAATTCAGCGTTGTCCATTAAACTCTTCACAATCACTTCCTCGTTAGCAGCGGTATTCGTCATGTCGCAGTCAACATAGTAGTCCCGTTTGTCTACGGAAACCATATGTTCTAAACTCGAAACAAGAATGTCGAAGCCAGGACGAGCTTCGGCTTTCCATTCCCAACAGGAACTCATCAGACCAAACCTAAAACAGATGGCTCATACTGAGAAAGGTCAAGGATGAGATATAACGCCGAAAGTTTGAAAATGCAGTTTATATACATTTCATCGCCAATAGCTTCTGGACGTGGCAGCCGACTGCCCGTCTGTAGGAATTTTAATAGCAAGGCAATATCCAGCTCCCGAAATATCTCCGCGTAAGGATTTTCGCCCATGGTAAAAATCTCCCAGATGACCACACCGAAAGACCACACATCGGATTTTTCAGTGAATCGCTTGTCAAAAATCGCTTCCGGAGCCATCCACTTCAGCGGCAACGGAACCTTCATTGCAGTTAACCGTATTTGATTTGAAAATAATATGAAATGTGAGTCATACTGCTTTTCCTTACGTTTGACCTTTCCAGTGTGTATTCGCTTTCGTCGCGCGCCATTCCGAAATCACAAATCTTTGCCGTCAATTCGCTATCGAGTAAAACATTCCTGGTCGCTAAATCACGATGAATAATGCCTTTCGAAGAAATGTACGCCATTCCGCGGCAGATTTGGAAACAGAAATCCACCAGATCATCAAGTGTAAACAGCGCACCGTGCAATGGCTTTGTTGTATTACTTGCAATCGCCGTGTCGCTGTTCATGCTGAGTCCCAGCATTTTCTTCCGATTGTCACGTAAACAGTGATCGAGTGACCCAAGTGCACAGTATTCCATGATCATGCAGAGTTCATCTAGAAAAATAAAACTAGATGTTAAAACACGTTTGAACAGGGTAACGTCATGCTGACCTTTCAGTATTAATCCAAGGAGATTGACAATGTTCAGATGTCGACCAATCTTGACGGCGCACTCCATCTCTTTAAAAAATTCAGCGCGCAGTGTTTCGTCGGTTTTATAGCGGAGATCCTTTACTGCCACCTCCTGGTATTCGGTGCTATTGCCGCTCTTTTCCGCTTGCTTCTTGCCTTGTACAACTATGAAGCGACCACGATAAACTTTTCCACAGTGACCGATGCCGACAATCTGTGACTCTACATCGTTCGCATGTCTCAGTTAAAACAGCGCGGTGAAATTTTGATTATGGTCCTTACTGTCCACTGTCAACCGCCAACGGGGAACTTCGTAATGTGAAAACAGCTTCTTTTTGTAATGTAGTGGTATCCCAGGATTGCTGTAATCGTTGCCTTTTGATCGCGTAACTTTTTTATACAACGAGGAGAAGTCTGGTCTTCTCGTTCCTGATTTAATACGTGCTCGTACATGGTCGAACTGTAATTTAAACGCGTAATACATTATACATCGCAGAATTATTAGCTCTGTATTTTTTACTAACTTTTTTTGGGCAAAACTTTATAAACAAGCACACCGCCATGATAGAGAGGATGATCGAAAAGGTCACGCTAATAGCAACGATGGTTGCGGAATTGGTGTCTTCCTCAATGTTGGGTTTCGTTATTGGTGTACGGTACGTTGTTGTCGCCGGTGACGCTGTTGTCGCCAATGTAGAATTTTTGCCGATTGGCCGTGTGCTGGTGGTGGTAATTGGTGTGGTCATATTTACTGCCGGTACAGAGACAGAGGTTTCGTTGTCTGTTCCATGTGAGGCAGTAGTAGAAAGCTGAACTACTGTACTGTTAGCGTTGTCGCCCACGGAAACTGTCGCATTGAACATCAACTGCGTAGTGTCGTAAATCAAAGGTTCACTGGCAGCAGTTGTTGGCGACGGAACCGACTCCGATTGGGTTGATGCGAGGGTTTCCCAGTCCAAACTGTGAGTAGTACTTCCTGTAAGAATATATATGATACATACGAGCATATACTATATCTACAAGTCAGAATAACAAAATATAAAAACGGTATAAATACAGTAAATACCAAGAGAATATATCAGAACTTGATTTTATTGGCTTTCGTCCTGCAGACTCCTATTCAATGAACGTACTGGTGGTGGTGGATATCGGCAGTCGTAGCTCACATTGAATTGTCCCTGTAAAGTCTGCACACGACGACCTAGTGCAGTGGACATCCAGACGATTTCCCCAAAAACCCTGCTTTGTGCACTGAGTGAAGGTGCAGTTTGAAATGTTCCCGCTTGGTAATCCGGACGCACACGACGACCTGAACCAGCAGCGCGTCTCCGTGGCCTCTCCAACAAACACCCCAATGTCGCTAACGTGGGAGTAACAGGGCTGCAAGGTGCATTCGCCGTCGCCATTTGTGGAAGGTACAACGTCACATCGCACCCAGGTGGAGTCCGGATAAGCTAACCCCGAGTGAGTCGTGGATGGGAATTGTGTGCTGGTATAACCGGAGATATTCGTAGTAGAAACGGTAGTTGTTTCTGCAATTTACAGACGGATTAAACCGGCGCGTTACTTACCGTATTTGAAATCCAAAACTTTTTTTGATTGACAGGTGAAAATTATGATTGACCTTTAACTGATTCCCACTTGCGCGGGCTCAAGAATTTTCGCTATCACCGGGTTTGCTAAAAACTAATACGCTTGGTGCTCGTATTTTACTGGTTAATATCAGTTTGCTGCAAGGTAACGAAGTTATCACAATCCGTGAATCCGCGACTATTCGTTATACAGACAGCTCAAACGCGAAACAAATAACCCGAAATATATCAACATGAAGATTTTAAAAATTGACCTTATGTTGTTTCCTATTATTATATATTATTCTTATACAGCATATTTAACAGACATACTGGTGATCGCGGGCACTGGAAGCTGCAGCTCACACTGGATAGTCCCTGTGATGTTTTGACACGACGACCTACTGCAGTGGACACTTAAACGATTTCCCCGAAACCCTGGTTTGTGCACTGAGTGAAGGTGCAGTTTGAAATGTTCGCGCTTGGTAATCCGGAAGCACACGACGACCTGAACCAACAGTCCGTCTCCGTGGCCTGTCCAACAAACACTTCAATGTCGCTAACGTAGGAGTAACAGGGCTGCAAGGTGCATTCGCCGTTGCCATTTGTGGAAGGCACGACGTCACATCGCACCCAGGTGGAATCTGGATAAATTATCCCCGAATGAGTCGTGGATGGGAATCGTGTGCTGGTGTGGTCAGCGATAGAAACTGCTGTTGTGTCTGTAATTTACAGACGGATTAAACCGGCGCATTACGTACCGTATTTGAAATCCAAAACCTTTTTGGTTGATCGGTAAAAAATTATGATTATCCTTTAACCGATTCCTACTTGTTCGGGCTCAAGAATTTTTGCTGGTTTTGCTAAAACTACCTATTTTAATCAAAAACTTTACTTACGGTTGATACTCGTATTTTACCGGTTAATATTAATTTTCTGCGAGGCAATGAAGTTAATTACAATCCGTGACCTTTCTCATTAAAAAATTCGAACGCAATATTACGGGAGCCACAGACAAAAAAGTAGCCCAAAATTTGCCATTACGAAATTTCAAAAATTGACCTTATGGTGCTTTTATATTATTACGAATTCGAATTCAGTCCTATAAAAACATAGTCAGTGGGCATACTGGTGGTAGTAGGTATCGTCGGCAACAGTAGTTCACACTCGATGGTCCCTGTGATGTTTGAGCACGACGAACTATTGCAGCAGACATGTAAAGTATCTCGTCGGTTTTCTAAAAACCCCTGATTGGTGCACTGGGTAAATGAACACCATGCAAAGTCTGGATTTGTTGACCCGGATGAACATGGCGGCGTGAACCAACAGTGCGTCTCCGTCGGCTGTCCCACAAACACTCCAACTTCGTTCATCTGTGAGTAACAAGCTTGTAAGGTGCATCCGCCGCTGCCATTATTGGGAGCCAAGACTTCACACCACATCCAGGTGGGGGGTGGATAAATTAAGTTCCGGCTAGGCATGGATGGGAACCCTGTGCTGTTATAGCCGACAATATTCGCCGTGGAAATGGTCGTAGTTTCTGCAATTACAAATCGTAAACCGGTGCGTTACGTACTACTGGTTAAGATCGTCAAATTAATCGGATAGAAATATAAGGCGTTTGCGCACGAGTTCATTTCTGTTCCAATTTCAAAATTATAATTGTCAGATAAATACAAACTGGACTTACGGTTGGCACTTTGCGGGAAAACATCATTTCGTCTGCGATGTACTGGTGACGTTTTTATAGATTTGCGGGGTTTCTCGTCAGATAGACTAGATGCGATGTTACCACAAACCACGGATGCGCTTATCCACAAACATATTAGTCCCAAACATATTAATTTCTGCAGTCGTAAATAATTTATTGTGACATTTTGCATGTTACGCGGAAGTTGGAGGACTTGGCTTACAAGCTTGACACAATTCAAATATTTGTGTCTGCTGCAAATCGCACTTTTTATTAATATATATATATAGAGAGAACTATTACGAACGCTTAATTCATTCGCTAAAATAAATAATATCCGTTCGAGTGATCTGACAAAAATATACAAATGAGTATGCCATAAAATTCTTTCCCTTACGTAAAGGAACACTTGCCCTCAGCTGCACAAAACTTGGCAATTATCAAATCACCTTAAAATAAACGCTGCTTAACTTTTCAATAACAGTGGACTTTAGATACCGTTGATGGTTTATCTGTATTTATGATTTTCAGGATAATAATGAACTGTAGCACCGCATCGATAGGATTGTTCTAAACACCGGCACGTACTGTATCTTAATAACATTATGGAAATGCTACTCATACTTATGGTTAGGTAGCTTGATGAGCAATAATCGGACATGAGTAGGCCTAATCAAAGTATGATAAATACAGGTAGATGCATCAAACCACCCGACAAGTCACATTGTCCAAAGATGTCATTCAAGCTTAATTGTGTCTTAATATTATGCGCATTTCGAAATGCTTGATTAATTGCACATTAAGGTAAACGAAGAGATACCGTACTCTACACTGGTTAGAAATTTAGAATATGCAGATAATTTTTCCATGGATCCTGAACTAGAAAAGTAAAGCCATAAAAGAGAATCACACCAGTGCAATCGCGAAAGACAAAAGCATTAAAAAATAAACAAAAATAGGTATACATGTTTTAGTTCCAGTAAAAATTCACAGACCATTTGCCGCGAAAGCACATCACAAAAAATTTTACACCCCGACTAGAAATTCCTCCTAAACTGTAGTGACATCCTCGACCAGATTCTTCAAAATCACTTCCTCATTAGCAGCGGAATTGCTTATATCACAGTCAATATAATATTCCCGTTTGTCAACGGAAACCAGTTGCTCCAGGCTAGATACGAGCGTGCTAAAATCGGGGCGCACCTCGGCCTTCCATGCCCAGCAGGAGCTCATCAGATCAAACCTGGCAACAAACCACATCTAATAAATATGACTTTACGCCAAAATCAGAAGCATTTAAAAGTACATTTCGTCGCTTATGATTTCCGGACGTGGCAATCGGTTGCCGGTTTGTAAAAACCGAACCAAAGCTGACACATCCATTTCCCGGAATACTTCAGCGTAGGGGTTGTCAGCGAATGTGAAGATTTCCCAGATGACGATACCAAATGACCATACATCGGATTTCATGGTGAAGCGCTTATCGAGGATGGCTTCCGGAGCCATCCACTTAATCGGCAAAGGAACCTTTAAACATTTCAAAATAGTAAATGATGCGCAGGTCAGGAATCAGATCTATTTGCACATTTGCACATAGTGCCAAAATCGTACATTTAACCTTTCCAGTGTATATTCGCTTTCGTCGCGTGCCATTCCAAAATCACAGATTTTTGCTGTTAATTCTCCGTCAAGTAAGACATTTCTAGTGGCTAGGTCCCGATGAATGATCCCTTTGGAACAAATATAAGCCATTCCGCGGCAAATTTGGAAACAGAAGTCCACCAGATCATCCAGTGTGAATAACGTCCCGCGCATTGACTTTGTCTTGCTATTCGATGATGTATCGCTGTCGCTTGACATACTTAATCCAAGAAGCTTCTTCCGATTGTCGCGTAAGCACCGATCGAGCGATCCCAGTGCACAATACTCCATAACCATGCAGAGTTCGTCTAAACAATAAAACTAAAGGTCAAAACAGTTTTTAAGCTGACAATGTGCCGCTGACCTTTCAGTATTAAACCAAGGAGGTTAACGATGTTTAAATGTCGACCAATCTTTACGGCGCATTCCATCTCTTTAAAGAACTCTGCACGCAATGTTTCGTCGGTTTTATATCGAAGATCTTTCACTGCAACTTCCTGGTATTCCGTGCCGTTGCCGCCTTTCTCTGTCTGTTTCTTTCCTTGAACCACCATGAAGCGGCCACGATACACTTTGCCACAATGACCGATGCCGATGACTTGCGATTCTAAAACAAATGATCCAGTTTACGTCGGCTTTTGCCAACCTATTACTAGTACTTGTGATAAACAAGCTTACTGTCGACCGTCAACCGCCATTTGGGAACTTCATAATGTGCGAACAGCTTTTTCTTATAGTTCAATGGCATGCCGGATTTGCTGTAGTCGTTATATTTAGTCCGTGTCACCTTCTTATACAGAGCGTAGAAGTCTGGTTTCGGCGTTTTGGATTTGATACGTTCCCGTATTCGGTCAAACTGGAACAAAACGTTTTGTTTCGGCAAACATAATATGCAAGTAAACCAGGTGCACTTACTTTATTGGGGCATAGTTGGATAAACAAGCAAACTCCCATAATGGTGAGAATAATTGAAAAGGTCACGCTGATTGTGATAATCGTTAGGGAATTGGAATCCGCTTCAGCGGTTGGTGGTAGTGTTTTTGGGCTTGTAAAAGCGGTTGTTTCAGTAGGACGCGGCGTTGGTTTAGTGGAATTGGTGACCTCCGTCTGTGCTGTGCTCACTGTGGTTGTGTTCGACCCCATGGGCTGCGAATTGTTAGTGGGGGCTTGTGTAGGAACAGTTGAATTGTTAGTCGCGTTTATGAGAGCAGTGGACTTTACAGTTACGGTTGTATCAGTGCTGTCACTGCTGTGTTCCGGTGAAGCGGTCATATCGTCATCCGCTGCTTGTGCGGTTGTGTTGCAGGTGGTAGTGTCAATACTGACACGAGTGCTTGTTGTTTCCAGTTCAAGTTCGTTCGTTCCATTTATGTGCCAGCCATAACTATCTAAGAAAAGAAAACTGATTGTTTCCTTTGGTGCGTGCCTCCTAAACTCGTAGAAAAGGATGAAAAAGATTATTAAATACATGAACAGTTGCTGCGCTCATCCGTGTTCGGCAGTTCTCTACTGAATTGACCATCTGCATAATTGGACCCCCGCTTTTTGCCTTGAATGCTCAATGCATAGAACGGCAAGAATACAGAGAATTTTGTCAAATTCCAGAAAAATTTTTATAGCCTTTTAAGGCTAACATTATTTATTTATTTATTTAGCTAAAATTTTTATAACTTTTTACGGCTAAAAAAATAATAACCTTCTAAGGCTAACGTTGACTTGAAACCCGTTGATAATACAAACAAAACTGACCGTTGTGTATGGGTAATTGTAGATTAGCGAAAACGGTGCAGTTGATCTCCCCGAAACCCAGGCATGAGGAAGTATTGCATACGATTTCCAGTCGTTTCCTTCCATCCGGTTGAGTATTAATAAGCGGCATGGGGTCGCATTCGGAAAACGTACACGAGGTCGTATTGGAATCTGGCACTACATCGCATGCAGCATCGTGACACTGTGTTGGGAAAGGATCCTGTGACGGTAATGTCACTCCAAATAAAAAAAGGTCAGTACTGCAATCATGTAAGCTGCATTTCCCGCTGAGATTGGTGACGAAACCTGTTTTACATTGGATCGATGTGGACGGGTAACCGGATTGCATAAGAGACAATGCACCGGTATCATTCAACGCGGAAGTATTACTCGAATCTGCAATCCATCCATTAATTAGTTAAACGACAGCACCAACAGCGGCCCGCATAGAACTCCGTATTTCATAAGAGTTTTACAGATCAGAGTAAACCTGAACCTTATGATTGATCTCACATCGCTCACCAGCATTAACTCAACCAAGTTTAATGTAAATTAATTATCAAGTGCCCATTTATTTTCTTTTGGTAATGTAGTACTTATGTATACTTGACAGCGGTTGATACTGACGATTTGGCGGCACTAAACTTACAATGAGAGACAAATGGAGTTCGCTGAGAGTCGCCGGATGCTGATGTCTTAGGCCATAAACACACAAATCCCACAGTCAAGCACATCAACGGTAACCGTTGGAAGCAATTTGCTATGATGATGTGCGCCATGTTGCAGATAAAACAAATCGTTTGCAAAGGATTACCAATCCAATAAAACTACCTCCGTCACTGTGTGTTTACGGTGGAAACCGAAAAAAGGTAATCACTGCGTTACTGATGTTCCGACAGAAGCACCAAACATTTGCTGCATTCATTTACCATGAACTATCAAAAACAAAATAAAGAAAGCTAATGGCAGTTCACTTGAGCACGAGTGCCAGTTGCGCTAATGACGCATAAAATAAACACTATTATTCTGTCTCGGTATAAGAGTGGATAGCAGATAATATTACTTGAGTTTTATCTTGGAGGTTTTATTAGACAACAATAAACTATGGATTTTGATAAGTTTTGTGTCAGGTGTTCGCAGATATGAAAACTCCTTTGGAAGTATCAATGTCACCCGGCAATTGCAGATACCGCTTTATCACAACTGGTACTGTGAAGTGGCACTGTCCTGCATTTGCATTGCTGCGCCGAATCAAAAATTTGCTATATATATGTATATATACATATATATGTATACAGTACATAATAAAATTTATACCGAAGTTAGACTATTCCTCTATGCCGTACTTGAAGGTGAATATAAGATACTGCAGTTCAAAGTTCTACTATAATATAAGGCAAACACACTTCTGACCAGACTCCCAAGTTCCCAGTGGGTGTGGCTGCCATTCTGGCGCAATATAGTACGAGCAATAAGGTAATCGATGTTCTGTCAGTTCTATGAAATATTAAAACAATGATTAGCGCAGTCACTTACGAATTTGTACATCGCATGCTAATATAACATTATTTTGTAAATTTGACAAAGTTTACGCACGCTTATGATCGCTTGACTGTCAACACATTAGAACCTTATCTATTGTAAAGGTTACTCTGACGTGTGGGAGTAGGATCACACGCCGGGATGTACGTACGGGTGCTGACTGTCCGCCTTCCCCCCTGCAACATAACGGATAATCTAGTCAATCAATGCTGTGATTTGCTGTTCTCTTCTACTAGCGGTGTATATGATGTCATAACGCAGAGTCTATATAAGTTCTTGTCACTTCTAATATCGGCATCAGTAGTCTAGGATTTACTTCTGAGACTGCTTTCTAATTACAATTTCCTTGCGTTGTGGACTGTGAAGTGAATTAGTAAAGAGGCAGCAATACTTGTTCTACGGAAGTACATAGTCGTTCTCGGATTATTGCTTAGTATACAGGTTTGCTCGTGACACAATCGTCCTAGCTCTTTACTGATCCTCATAGAAACTGCGACCGGAAGTTGTGGTTGGAGTGTTCCTGAGGGATTCCTGATCTGAGTTCCAGATTCGTTTGTCTTATTTCCACCATAATTTAGCTGTTATAGTTTGAGATGAGAGTTGCCTACCGACTGACAATTACAGGCGTGGAAGAGTAAAGATTGTTCATGGAGCTCTAACCAGCGTGAACGCTTATACACGACAACTCGATAGTTTATGAACGTATGATATGAATTCATGTAGGCAACTCTTCCAGAAACATATTGCACATCACAGCGTCATACGCGCAAGCAGGAACAGAAGCAGCGCAAGTCGAGCAGGGCAAAATTAAAAATATCGCGATATCGCCCAGAAATATTTCTTCCGTACTCTCGGCTTTGAAATATTTGGACCACCCGGACCGGAAGCAACCCGCATGATAACGATGTTTGGACAAGAAGCTTCGACAAAAAACCGGCGAATGTTTAAGGCTGTGCAAAACGTGTGGATTGCTTTCTTATTTAGCAATAATTGACCGGAAACAGCTGTAGCGACTAAGTTCGAGAACGCGCACACGCAATTTGGGGCATATATGGCTCGACCACGGAATCTCATGGAAAACGTCAGGACATGCTCAGTCACCAGCAAGGAGCGCATGCGTGTCATGGTCACGAGCGGTGACAACTGCAGGTGTGTGGCCAGGTGACACCCTGAATCGTCGCCGTTAAGTGAGCTTGATCTTGATACGTGGCCAAGATGTAGCGTTTGTCTTCCGGTGCGGTTCTGTGCGTAGCACTGCGAGAAGAGTAGCGCCAGTGAGGACTGACCTTTACTGACAATTTTCTATTGCCAATTCAAAACCAAGGCATACATACAGGTAACACGGCCGCTCCCGTACAAAAGGAAAGTGGCAGGCGATTCGTTAGAACACAGGTTGGTTCTACATTCCAGGAAGGTAGAGAGGAGAAGCTATCGGCTCAACCAAAGTCTGCGGCTGATCATTGATGTCTGCACAGACCTGTGTCAAAAAGAGAGCAGCTTTGCCGGCGTTTTTCTCTCATCGTTTAAACAACGCTAACTTCAAGTAGTGTATAAGTTTATAATTTTCAGAAGGGCTTCGATTCGTAGATTTTGACTTAGCAGTCGTTTCCACTACGTCTATTTAAACCACCGACGATTTAAACTAATAATGTGATAGATATATGTATAATTATAAACCCGGCGACTGAAGTAATCTTCAAATTATGTTTTAATAAAAACCGCAGAGGCTGCATACTTCATACCGATTAACAGCAACGAATTAGGTAAACACAACATAAACGAGAGGCTTTAACATGGGTGAAAAACAGCGTTAGCACATATTATCATCCGCACACCTGGCAGACACCTCCTCCGCCGGCGATCTTATCGCCTCCGCCCTGGAGGAACATGGTCTGCCCACTGTCGTTCGGAACAAAGATGGTCTGCATGGGCATAACGGTTAGGGTAACGTAGGTTGGCTGGCCGTTGACGATCTTCGTTACGGTGGTACGGGTCTGCGTCTGCCCGTTGACATCGACGTAACTCAGTCCACCGGGGATCGTGTACACTCCTTGATTCGGCACGCCGAAGATGTTCTCCCCATAGCGCATCGTTTGGCCATTGTACACGGTCATCTGTGTCCCTTTGGTCACGGCGCCGAAGGTAGCACGACCGTTGATGACCTTAGTGTACGAGGAGACCGTAACCGGATAACCTGCAAACAGTATTAAACGATTATATAGGTTCATTAACATATACAAAGTACATAACATTACGTATATATGTATTTTACGTGTTATTGCAATAATTAATTAAAAATGTTAAGAGCTTACAATTAGCATAATTAAATTTGATGATCGCCATAAACAGATGAAAACGTGTCTAGTAAAGACATTAGTTTCCGTCGCTGCGCTTCCATAGTTTTCGGTATAACGTTTCCGATTTTACGGCTGATTTAAAGCGCAAATTGCAACAACCACGACATGAAATCTATGCGCCGATATTAAATACAAATGTTGATTATAAACACGTCCGGCTGCTTACCGTATGAATCCGCAAAAGAGGTCATTGCCCCAGCCAAAGTGTACGTCCCTTCGTTTGGCACACCGTATGGATTGGTTCCCGGCGGCAATAGCCGGTTATTATAGAACGTCTGCATCTGGCCCAGCGTGATGGTTCCATACGTCGCCACACCGTCCACAATGCGGGTATAGGTTGACACGGTGGCCGGGTAGCCGCTGATCATAATGGTCTGCATGTCGCCGTTCAGCGTATACGTGCCCACATTGGGAACACCGTAAGGATTCTGGCCCGGCTGCAGCAGGCGGTTATTGAAGTACGTCTGGAGACCCGCCAGCGTGATGGCGCCGTATGTCGCTGCACCGTCCACAATGCGTGTAAAGGATGAGACCGTGTAGGGGTAGCCCTGTGACTGGAAGTACGACATGGAACCAGCCAGGGTGAAGGTGCCGACGTTGGGGACGCCGTAGGCGTTCTGACCTTGGGGGATCAGGCGGCCGGCGTAGTAGGTCTGTACCGGCACCAGGGTGATCACGCCGACGGTGGGAATAGCGTCGATGATGCGGGTGTAGGTGGACATTGTGTAGGTGTAGCCGTTATTGACCTGTGTGCTCATTGCACCTAAAACATACAAAATGCATGAGCTAACTGAAATTTAAAAAAAGCAAATGTTACAAAATCAAAATTTTAAACCGCTTCTAGCAACAGCAATGATGATTAAATAGTTTAAAAATGGTAGAACGAAAAATAACAAAAGTTAATTAAAAAAATGTATAAGGAATGCGCTTATATTACGAGGTTTGTTTTCAGTTACCAATGAAGTATATATGTCAACGATTCATTTTAATGAGATATGTTGGTGTACTAGTAATTAATAATCTCTATCGAATTTTGATTTACATACCGGCCAAGGTATATGTTCCCGTACTGAAAACCATGTACCCATCGGATCCACCGGCTTGTTTGATATACAGTTTATTGGGTTGTTGCACCGGGACATATTGTTGCTGGTTAACATTCTGTTGTTGATACTGATTGCTCTGCTGGTATTGTTGCTGCTGCTGAACCTGCTGTTGGCTGTACTGTTGCTGCTGATACTGATTCTGGTTCTGGTTGACATTAACCACTTGCTGCGGCTGAATGTCGTTGCCCACCGGCTGGGCGTCGTTCCCACCGGAGACAATACGGATGGGAATTGGTTGTACCACTTGCACCGGTTGAGGCTGGACCACCACCTGCACGGGCTGCGGTTGCACGAAGACCTTTTGCCCACTCATACCACTCTGCTGGAAATTGGACGAATCCGATGAACCACTCTGCAGGATCTTGGCAAAGATTTGTTGGTTGGACGAACCACTGGAGAAGGAGTTACTAGAAGACCCGCTGCCAAACTGATCCAACGCGCTCTTCATGTCCTGTTGAACGGAGCCGGAAGAACCGGAGAACGACCCACCGGAACCGGTCGACCCGAAGTTAATCAAGACCCGGGCAAAGTCCCCTTTGGTGAACGATCCCGACGAGCCTGTTCCGGTCATCCCGGTGAGACTGTTCAGAATCTGATTGATTTCCGACTGCGAGAGCGACGATGCTTGGAAACCACTGGACATCCCGACGGACTGGCGTGACCCCATGTTCGATCCCTGACTGCCCATGGAATTCAGGATGCGGGCAAAGTCCGTCTGAGAGAAGCTGTCACTGGCACTGCCGCCGCCGAACATCTGCAGGATGCGAGCGAAATCCGCGGACGACGCTCCCGAAGATTCGCTCATACCGCTGAAACTGCCGGATGACGAGCCGGTCATGACTCCGACCGGTTGGATGAAGCGGCCGTCCGGTTGGATGTCGTTGCCCATCACGGCGCCACCGTTCCCCATCATGTTGCCCATACCGCCGTTATTTGCCGGGACGGCCATCATCCCGGGACCGCAGGTGAAACAGCGCTTCTCCCGCGAATGGGCCACTTCCTCGTGCTGGTCGATGATGACGCGGGCGGTGGGCGTGGGTACGATGCGCGATACGTCGGATTGGTCGTTCAGGTGGGGGAGCGGTTCTTCGTGAACGGGATGTTTTTTATGGGTGGGCCGTTGGATGCTGGGTTTGGCCAGCACCGGGGTGGGAAGATCGGCCGTCTGGTGGCCGGCGCGGAATTCATCGTTCTGGGAAAGGGCAGTGTAGAGGTTGGAGGAAAGGGATGGCTCCAGGTCATCCACTGTGTTTTTGAGATCGTTGGTTTCCGCTTCGAGATTTCCTGTAAAAAATAATACATACAGAAATTCCGCTAGACCAAACTTCTTAAAGTAATTAATCGACGGTCGTTATTCACGCAACAACAATTTCGTGGGAGTGCCACTTTCCTGGTTTACCGGCTATACGCCACGAATAAAGCTTATAATTATGCAACAATGTCGCCAAACGTGTTCCGTTTGGCTTAATTTGCTTCGGCTAATTTGAATGTTCTGTAATTTTATTGCGGTACATGTACAGTTACTGAAAATTATTTTCGAGGTGGTGTGCATAAAACATTTTCCGCTTTTACATAATGTTCTCATCATTGTTCGGATTGTTGTAAAGTGTACTTGGTACTTGTAGACAATTAGTTCGATGCCGGAAGGGTTTTCGAGTACTTGGAGATTGCTCCTGAAACGCTTAAACTATTATGACACAACAACACGACGCGACTCAGTATACCTGACTGACAGTACCGTACTGGTGAATTGAACTGAGGCATTAACCAACTCAAAAACAAATGCACCATCGAATATTGACAAGGCGGAAGTCTATAAACGTGGTTCTTTTAATTTTGCATCTAATAAGCGACGTTTAATTGGCAACGAATGCACTACGCAGACTCAACCCGGTTAAACTGACCCCTTGTTGCCGGTGTATTGGGCGTCTGAAGCAACGATCATCACGTAAAATTTATTACGAAAACTGCGAATACTTATATTAGTTTCAAAACATGAAAAGTCGCGACTGTAAGACTGTACAAGAAAGAAGTATCAGGTATCTTTATATATGTCATTAGAAGAATAAATAGGCATTAACACACCTAATAACACGGCAACTTGAATACATTAACACAAAAAAAAGAGAAAAATACATATCTGTATGTATATTATTGGCCTGAATTTTTCATGCAAAGTGTGAGTTTTATTGCTGCTTTAATCAATAGATTGTACGCTGTTAAGTAAATTTCTTATACGAGTATGGCTAAGAAGCTTATTTGCGAGCAACTGGGTAATAAAACAGCATCCTTTTAACGATAAACTGCGCAAGATGCAATGAATTTTAACAAAACAATAGACGCCAATAATACAATGTATTTTTTTACATACCGGCATTTAATCCCGTTATAAGCCCGCATATACAAAAGGCAAGCGCCAGTCTTCTGAGGATATCCATGATTATAAAAAGATGGCGAATTATCCGGCCGTTGTGTCTTTCTTGTTGACACAAACCTGCAACAATTAAAGCTTATGCGTCTTTGTTGCAAGCAGAATTCCTTACATCAAATCGGCGAAGAAGGAAGAAAAACAAGTGTTTACGGCCCTTGCACAGCAACAAAGCGGCCACGTACAGTAACGTCTCGCTGCACGGTTCGGTAAATTAAATATTAAAAAAGCTTGACCATAATTTGCCTCCCAGCGGCTGAGTCGCTACCGGTTTCGGCGTACCACGGTAAGTTCATTCGGCGGTGACGATTGTACGCGACGGATTAATCACTTGTTTACGTGCACCCATAACAGCTGTGCAAAAGGAACAACAGATTTTAATTAGTATTTATTCATTACTTTTTGGGCTTCTATGAACGCGGTGTCGCCGATTTATGAATTTTGAATACCGCATACCGCAAAAAACGGTGGATTACTCATTGCAGGCGTCTGATGTCCCGACATGGCGTCCGCCGTTCATGCGGTGACTACTACACCGCATTTGGCGCCAATTTATACGGGCGGGAGTGATTGTGCTGCTCACCGTAAAAGTCGACCGCAACCAGTGCCGTGCCGAGCAGCCGCTAAAACTGCCGAAACACAGAGAGATGGGTGGGTGCCAATAACGCCGGCGGTTGCTTCCTACTCATAAGGGCTCGCCTCGGCGGGCCATGAACACAATTCAAAAGTTTTAATACACGCATTCTGAAAATTTGAAATAAGTCGTATGATTTCTTATTCGTCGCTTGTACCTTTGTGGTGCTTAAACTTCAGTAATAATTCATTTAATAATTAATAAATGCATTTTATCGATTGATTTTAATTGAAGAATTTGTTGTTAAATGTGCGATATTGGCATCGAAAGATAGTCTGCTCGCAATATGGGGAGCCGAGCAGATCAGCTGGAAAAGAAGAACCTTATTATTGAAATTACCAAATATTTCCGATTGAATGGCGTTAACGTGCGAAGGTGCGTAGCTTGCTGGAAGAAATTGTCAGCTGTTGCAGTATATATATTACTGATGCAGTGGCGGAGTGGAATATCTGTGCGACGCACTCGTGCACAAATCCGCGCAGGATCGCAAAGTGGTTCTTGAGCAGATTATCCGTTTTCTACAGCGCCAGTCAGGTACGTCCATCTGCATCGTAAACGACTGCAGCCTCTCAATCTGACTTTCCCTTTTTACGATGGTATCGATGGCATTAATATTTTTTTGCAATAAACAGAAAGTTCTGTGGTGATTTCTCAAGAAGAGATCGTCTTGGCGTATAAGGAATTTACTCAGCAAGAAAGCATTGTCGAGTACGTGAGTTTTGTGTTCATCGGACGGAATAAGCTTAACGCGTGATTTTCATTTGCTTACATTATTTGCAGTACAGAATATTTTTGGGTTTATGACGTGTTTACTCTTCCGAGGCTCATCTATGACGAGGAAAAGAAGCATTACACACAGTAAGGCGGCTGAACCAAAAATTTGTAAATAAATTAAATTCTAATAATTTTTAAATAACAGTTTTATAAAATAAAAAAATTAAATTTATTTGTTTAAGAATGGAATACATAAATTGTATAACTAAAGCAAATTTTCAGGAACATTTTACGTATGTTTTAGTGCTAACGCTCTGGGCCAGTCCGCTCCGCGCCTGCATGAGACAGCTGACTGGAAAACTCGTGTTTTTGTCGAACGTTACGAAATTCTGTTCCAGGTGAGCGTAGTCTAGTCCAAATCGGCAAATCCGTAATAATTGGCATTATAATGGTAATATTTTTTTTCGCAGCGTTGCTTACGCAATCCGCTTTTCGTCCGCTCTTCCTACGAGCAGGAGGAAGAGCAGCGCCGTCAAGAGGATGAACGGCGTAAACGCCGGGAAGCCAAGCGCAAGGAACGCACGCTGCTGCAAATCACGCAAAACGCTAATGATACGGCGAATTCCACACTGCTATTCGACGATGATGACGATCATGGACCGCAGACGTTTGTTGTACGTTTTACAACGCTGTTTGGTTGGGTTTCCGTTAAAATACCTTCAATGACAAAAAAAAATTTTTTTGGGACAATTTTTAATGTGTTTTATATGTTGTAATTGCATTTATTAAAATGTACACAGGAAATTTAAAATGCAAAAACAAAATTTATGGAGTTTTTACAAGGAACATTTCTTTAAATTTCTATTAATTTCTTTTTTCTGGATTTTAATCTTTTGTACATAATTAAATTTTAGTATGTGTACAAGTATGTGCATTTCTGATCCTCAACACTTTTACAATAGTTTACAAAAATGGCAGCATGTACTGTATATGGTATACCTTTCCTTTTTGAATATTTATGCTGTTGGTATTATATTGGATTCTTCCTGTATTTTAAGATTTTAATTCAGCTGGTGACTTAAGCATTTATTGTTTTAATATATAGTTGCGCACTGTGGAAGAATTGCTCAGCTCATCCGTTCCGATTTACAACACCGTTGTACTGGGCATGTTGTCGTCCCTGACGGAGACCAAATACCATCTGGAAGATCCTACGGGAGCGGTGGAGATCGACATCGGCATCGAAACGGCCTTCCACTCCGGATTGTTCATCGAGAACGTGTTCGTCATTGTCGAGGGGTGGTACGAGGATCGCCTGTTTCATGCCACCGGAATGGGTATGCCGCTTCCGGAGCCACGCAGCAAAACTCAGTAATTCTCGTAGTTCTGTAATGATATTTTCTAGTGTTCGAAATTAATGCGACAGGGCAATGCGAATTTAGTTGGGTAGGGCTGAAAAATTAATTGCTTTTGTTAATTTCAGCAGCTTTACTCTTATTGCCGTACATAAGTATTGGTATTTTAGCTGGTGTTTGTAAGTGGAAAATAGCGTAGAGGAATGGCATACAGTCATGCACAATGCAAAGATAATCGTGCTAATCTATCATCCAGTTTGCTCATGCCTTTTGCACCGTTAAGGTACTGTTTGCTAATGATTTGTAAATTTTTTGTAAATTAATTTTTCCACGTGCATTATCGTAAGATAAAGCAATTTTCTCAGAAATATTTTGTGAACATTTTTTGAGAAATTTTTATGTTTGTTTATCTGCTAAATCGTGTATATATTATTTCTTCCATCTTTGCTGTTTTGTAGGTTGCATTTTGGGGATTTCAATTTTTTCGGTGGTCCATCGCAAGTGTCACTCAAATTATCGTCTAAATTAAAGCGTCTAGAGCAGAAGAATGCGGACGATATGATTGTGATAGTGTCTGATCTCTGGTTGGATAGACCGGACGTAAGAGGACTTGAATGCATTTAACCGTTTGGAGTTATGGCCTTTTTGAAATTACAGGTGCTGTCCAAGATCGATGTGATGTTTAAAGGGTTCCACCAACTGCGGCCGTTTTGTTTTGTGTTCTGTGGGGATTTCGTGTCACAGACCGAACGAGTAGATCATGGAAGACTCTTGCAAGGTGAAATTTTAAAGTCTGGTTGGTGTTTGTTACTGGTTTATGATACCGAAAGCTTGCAGAGGGATTGGACGAGCTGCGAAAAATCATTCAGAAGTATCCAGGCATTGAAGAGTCCAGATTTGTTTTTGTTCCCGGTCCGGCCGATATTGGCTCGTGTGGATTGCTACCTAGGTAAAATAATTCTTTCGCTGCCGTTTTGTAAATTTTGTTAGTTGGATTTTTTTCAGCACATAACGTAATGCAGAGAAAAATAAGTAGTTTATAAACAATAACAAAAGGCATTTTGCCTGAATTCACACGTGCACCGCCTAGTGCTTGGCTGCACGGATGTACGTGGCACAAATACGAAAAAAGTTTCGCGCAACATTCTGGCATTTTGTATGCTAATTTTACTCATCCGCAGAATATAGAAGTATTTTTGCCACTTTACAACGATCGCCTTGTCGTTTTGTAGGCAGCGTCTTCCGCCATCACTGACTGCCAGTTTTGAGTCCAAAGTGAAGAACGCCATTTTCGCCACAAATCCTTGCCGCATTCAGTACTGCACGAAGGAAATTGTCATTATTCGAGAAGATATCCTCACCAAGATGTGTCGCACTCTCATTCGTGATCCGGTTCATGATCAACGCACCAGTCGGTTCCGCAGCCTCACTTTCAATGTAAAGTACCTATTGGTTCTACCTTTTGCTAACATTTATACTTTTATAGATGCGGCATGGTTTATATAACTTTGCAAAAGAGTTTATTAAAAGATCTTGCAATTCGGAATAAGTGACACCTGCTTTTGGTGATACAGTTGCTTAAAAGCTGCGAAAATATTACAACAAATTTTCTCGATAAATATTTTCTTGCAAAGAAACTCATAGCAGATACAATAATTAAACGATTTAAATTTAGAAAATAAAATATCAGTTACCCTGAATTTATTGTCATGTGGATAAGGGCGAGTTAATTTGCAGTTGGCGCGGACGATCGCCTGTCAAGGCCACCTGTGTCCGCTGCCGCCGCACATCCTACCCACCTACTGGTCCTACGACCACGTTTTCCGCCTGTACACCCTGCCCGATCTGATTGTGATCGCGGACATTCAGGAGCCGTTTGTGGAGAAGGATGTGTTTCTGCGGAAGAAGCCCATGGAGGAGTCCACGCAGAACAACAGCCAAAGCCAGCGTGATGCATCCACGTCGTGCCTGCTGGCCAATCCCAGCTCATTCCCGCGACATAATTTCCAGTTCCATGTGTACATGCCGTTTTATAACAATATTGAACTGAGTCAGATTGAATGAATGTTTCTTATCAGCAGTGTTCGGGTTGTGGAATTAGGATGAAAACGAATTGATTAAATATGGTGCGGGGTTTATGTCGATCGCAAGAAGAAAGAAAAACAAGTCGCACCACTTTTTGCAAAGTGCAGCCCAATACAGTAACTGAGCGCGTATTACGCATAGTATTTAGTAGCCTTTAGAAAAAAAATTAATTTTGATGCAAAGGTCGCGGTTGACGTGGTGTCTGCATACGAAGCCACGGCTTTCTGTGAAACTTGCAATTTGTAACAGCTTATTGTTGATAGTTTTTTACTAATTGTAAGTTCTGAAAGTTGGTGTCTTTATACCATGGACGTTGGTGACGAGGAAAGATATTCCTTATCCGTTGATCTCCCAAGAGGTGTATGTGGAGCCGTTAATTATGTCAGTAGTACGATAAGCCTAGAGATGACACAAAAAAGTGTAAGTAGGAGTAAATAATAAATGCATTGGATAATGACCAAGCCCCATTTTACCAGGTTTTAAATTCTCATCTTTTATTGTATCTGTCACATAAATTAAATAACCTGAAAGCTTCGACGGTTCACCAAATGCGTGAAATATTGATTACATATTATTCGTCAATAATATGGTCAATTACAATATACTCGCTAGTAGCCACAAAAACCAATAATGTTCGGATATTCGCGAGCAGGATTAGGATATTATTAGGAGACTACTGGAGCAACTGCAACAAAAAATTTTTGTTTATTATAAAAAAGAAGCTTCCCCAATTCCGGACAATTTTCAGGAAAAATTGTATAAGTATTTGGTGGGGTATCAGTTACGTACCGTGTCAACAAAATCGCCATCCCGATACACTGTGGACTGAATCAAACGGGTGATGGTCGAATTAATGATACTCGTGTAGGTCTGGTTAAAATCCGAATTCAGAATACTCCATGCAGTGGCCGAATTATGCGGCGTCTTGTTGGCCTGGAAGAAGGTTATGGGTGTGGGATTAATGGCGCCGGCTGGAATAGTACGCCACTGTCCATCCACCGTGCTGTTCGACAAGCTCGGTACAAAGGTCACTGTTGGCACCGGTCCAAAAAAGGTCCGCAGAGGCGCGAAGGTCACTGTTGCTATGGTCGCTGTGCCTGCGGCAATTTTGGTGTACGTCGATAGAGTCCAAATGGCGCCGCTGTGTGTCTCGTAGTGAAAGGTTCCTCCAATTGTATATGTCGGTTCGCGTCCATCGGACATCGTGATGGGATGCAGGTTGTTCGTGCCGTTGACCTTTGCACAAATAATTAATATTAAAATATCGGCAAGAGCGAATATTCTAGTAAGTTGTTGCATTTTATTGTTCTAGTAACGTTCTACTGATACGCGTCTTAAAACCCCAGAGTAGTTTTTTCAAGCCAGTTCCTGGTATAACATAAAGATTTACCGGTGAGGAGGAAATTCCGGTGGCATTTGCAGGTCCACCGGATGTAAAGTTGAACTGAGCAGCTTGCTTAGAACGGTCGTTCACGGGCACGGTGGCATGCTGGTTATGCGACTGCCCATTTTGGGTGCCGGGAAAAGAAATGGAGGATTTGATTTGACTAGAAATTTCGTCATCCGCACTTGTATTGTTTTTCCCGTCGACTTTGGTTTGGCCTGTCGTGAATAATGCACGTTAATTGTACAATAACTTTCCTTATAATTTCTAGAGTAATTATTTTACAGACCGAATATTGGTGAAGTATAGGATATTAATAACAAATTAATTTAAACACTGAATAGTCGACTTCTTACGTACCGTCGCCCAAGCCTTTTACGGAATCCGCAGTAATGAAAGCGAGAAGTATTACGATGCATAAGTGATGCATGTTGCTTAAGGAAACGAATATGTATATTTGAGGAATTCAGGAAATGAACACTAAAGTAAACTGCAGTTGTTCTCGCGTAATTGTGTTCACCGTTCTGACTATTCGTACGAGTACTATTTGTCGTGTTTACCCTCAGACTCCGTTATTTTAATCCCATAATGTTGTTTTGCCGGCAATTCGTTTGCATTCCGACAATTACAGCTGGTTAAAAACTTTTTTGCCTTTAGGCAGGTAATCGCTACCACGCTGTACACATGTACGAGTACTTGTAATGCATAAGGATTGTCCATCATTTCCGGCCACACCTATCTGAAAACGCTACACTGTTGAGTAGCATTGTTAGATTTCCCGGTTCTGCATCACAGCAAGGCAGTATAAAAATTAATCACATAATAATTATGCCTTCCAGGCGTCGACATATCATGTACTCGTATACCAGTTTAACCCTGTTGCAGTCGTACACCTGTTGCAATTACTTGCAAAACGGAAGGGTTTGTTTTAGAAAACTGCATAATTACATACTAGTCTTTAATACACCATGCATTGACCATAGGGAATTGTTGCTGTTGGCAGTTTTCTGAGTGCACTGCTTGTCTGGTACCTCATTACCAGCTGTCGCTGCCTTAGTGGACGTTTTAGTCAAATCGCTTCTTAATTTTTTACCGTTCAGACTTTCGCTATAATATATATAGTACGAAGTACAGTATTACCACTGTATTTCAGTATTTCAGTAACTGGCAACTATATAACGTAGCAAAATAATAACTCGTACTAACAAAGGAAGCTACCAAAATTAATATAACTAGTACGTTGCGAAACAAATCATGGTGATTATAATCATTTGTAACAAATAACAACCAGTACAATCCAGGGTATAAACAGGACAGAGATACTGAAATCGAGTGATACATCCGAGTCATCCGACTATTAAAATTTACAATAGTTCGAATATCAAGACTCAAGCCGCTTACTATACTGGTACAAGCATACTATAAAACTTACAAAATAAAAGATATCTGGGCCAGAGTAAAACGATAAAACTGCGGTTTCAGGAAACTACTAGGAACCAACTAAAAGTTTTGGAAACAGTATCTCGTCAATACTAAACTAACACTGAAGCATAAAAGTGCAACATTAAGTAGAGCAAATTCAGTTCATACTCTGTATAGAAAGGTCTGCAGTAATTAAAGCTCCTTTTTCTCGTCGGACACAACCTGAGAACGACTGGGAGAAGAATGGGATTTCCGGTGGCGCTTAATGTAGGCTTGCAAGTAGAAATTGGAGAATAAGATGATGAGGGATACCATAAAGGCTAGTTGAATGTATCCCATGGAATGGGGATACGCACAGTTGCTGTACAATCCGTTGGCTGTCAGCGTCAGCAGAATTATGAATTGAACCTGTTGATAATTACAGAAAATGATTTACTTCGACCTGAAGCCAGTTCAAAAAGGGAGTAAAACAAACCATAGAAAAATAATTTCGGTAAACATCGTTATTTAAAAGGTAATACTGTACTGTACACATGCTTATCAGAAATATTAATTTACTGATTCGGATATCGAGCAAATACTGGTTTATACTGTACATATGCTTATCAGAAATATTAATTTACTGATTCAGATATCGAGCAAATACTAGTAGTAGAGTAGAATAGTTCTGATGAAAATCACATGTGCGGTAAATCTTTTAAAGTTTGCCACGTGAGTATACCGCACCGCAGACAGATAGACCCAAATTCCGAGATAAGGATGAATTGTAAAAGTTATCACTTAAATTACCACTTAAATTATCACTTAAGTTATCGCTAGTTTAATTTCTGAATGACCGTCGTACGTACCAGCTGAAGCTGTGTGAGATACTTTTTCCACCACAAATATGGCTGTAGCGCCGGGAAGAGTGACATGGCATAATATGAGTACATGACGACATGTCTGCAAAGACAAATGCAGTTTCTTTACTTGTAAAGCGCTACCTCGGCAGTTTCGAACACTGCACCACTTATCAACTTTGTCCCCGACTACAAATAGTAAACGCTGAAATTTGCACTTACACAAACGTATTCATAATCGGTCCCACGATGGCTGCAAAAAAGTAAATAAACTGTAGGTATGAGGTGATCGCCGGCTAAAGGTTATGCAGGCCGACGGACGTACCTTGGCCGCATGGTCCAAACAGCACACCAAAAAACAAGAAGGGAAACATAAAGGTATGATGGTACACATGGAGAAAGGTGATCTGGCTGTTCTTCTTCTTAAACACCATGAAACCCGTGTCCAAAAACTCCACGCCCTTGGATAGCCAGTAATGCCACATCGCATTGACAATCTGAGACAAGAACATCAAAAGTCAGTACCAGAAATCTCATATTAATTTTGTAGAATAGAATCAAAATCTGCACAGTTGAACACGAAGCACTTAAGATTAAAATTACGCGTACTATGCTCATTAAGATTAGAACTATGAGAGGAGTAACTGTGCGTGTTTGTGTGGATCAAAGCAAGAACGCCCAGTAATTTCCGCCCGCCGATCTGACATTAATTTATTAACCAATGTAATATACAGATAGAAGCGTAACTAAAGGTTGATTTACCTATTTAGCATAATATACAATTTCTACAATACTACAATATACCGCAGAATAGCGAATGAACTTGCTATAGTTTCAAAGTTACGTAAATGAAAGTACAGTAATATCAGCACATATGCGACTCCCGATAAAAATATTGGCACTGGACAGATCATAGAATTTTTATCCTTTAAAATAAGGTGTGTTGTTAACGTGAGTAAAAGCATCTTTGAATGCCGGACAATCCCATTACTAAAGGGACTTTGTACTTTGGGTTTTGCCCTAACATTCGGCAGATAAAAGAAAGTCAAAAGCATGCCAAGTTGTATAAACTGTAGATGTGTGTATGTACTAGCTGGGAGCTGGCAATCAACGTTTGTAGTGTATGCCCTCCGCACGCATAATCAAATATTAATAATAAATGTAAATTTACACGGTCAACGCTAAACGGGAACAAAGTACATCTTTTATTAGCACAATTTTACTGACATTCTTACCCGGAGTTCAGAAGGCTCGTACGACAAAGTGTAAGGATCACAGATGTAGTTGTAGTTGGAGATACGGGAATTGATCAACAGCTGTAAATAAAGAACGTAAAACAACAATGTTACTCCACATTCCAGGTGACGAATTAAATACAGTTATTTATCAGCTAGCATTTTTGTGCTTTATGGAAGAAAGCGCATGCACGGAAAATCCCTTAAATTAAACAGTATTAACCAAAATACTAAAAAAATAAAAGCACCTAAATGTTAGATAAATTTACCTCTAGAAACATCCACAACGACCAGATCGCAATGGCAACATTGTAGGCAAACATGGGCCATTTTAGCTCCAACGGTTTATAACGCGCCATCAATTTCGGACCCAAAACGGCGAAAGCGATGTATCCCAGCAGCACCATTATAACGAGGTCCAAACGGCGCATAAACAGCATATCCCGAGATCGCACATCTGCAGAACATGCTCCTTTCAAAAACTTGAATTGCTGTTATATTAGTGATAGACATTCTACTATGATTACACAGTAAAACTTTCGCGTCTTGCAGTGGTCACTCATTAGCACTGTACGGCAAGTCACACTTAATTAACAGCAGTAATTTTTTATCGCGACATACCGCTGTTCTCATAAATGATGTCCGTGAGATTTCGATAACGCTCCTGCAGGAGGGAAAATCCTGTCCCGTTGACCATTTTTCCGCTGGCAAGGGAATCAGAGCACGCAATAAATGTGGTGCCTAAAAAGTGGAAAAATTCCCCGCTGCAGAAGATCCACAGTAATCGATGTTGTCCAGACGGAGCTCTGCCCGGGAAGAGTCAGATCTTGTTGCGTGAGTCTGCAATGCGCGTAAATGCGGTTTGCTGGAAAACCCTTTGACAAACAACCACTGGACTGTGAGAAAGCAGACTGAAAAGCTTTTTCATCGATTATGAAATCGGCTCTTATCACAATTCCATGCTGCACCGGCTGTCAGATGTCTGTCTGGTCTGTAGATCTTCCATGAATGCACGAGACAGCCGGCGATAGCATTTGCCGAGTCAGCGCTTTTATTCAAACACAAGCATGAATGTGCGCAGGCACAAATGCCGCCCACTGTATATCGCTGATTGGTGGAGCGCTCTCATTCGACTGCTGCATTTCCGGCGGCAAGGTAATTACCGAAAACCACTTGATCAGTGAGCAGGCTTTTACTTTCCCGGCTTATTAATTAGAAAATTACACGTTTACTTGTGTGATTTCATGGTTTATACTCCTACTTCAATAAAAGATACATATCTGTATATACCGAGGACATGCATAACTGACAACACGATGAGGCTGCAAATAGGAAAGGCTTTCTGGTGGTGGTTCTGGTCAAGATTATCCGTCTGAAGTTCTCAACTCTTCTACTGCTTCGACGAAAATCCGCAGTTTTTTTTCGAAACTGGATGTTGCTCAAATCTTAATGCCATTTTTATAAAATAACCAAAGCAGCCTCAGTTTCATATACGATTACGAGCACAAATTGAGTGCAAATTTTCAAAGTCTACACCTATTGTTCAATGTCTAGCTGTAAAAAACGCTGGCCCTGAGAGTTTTGGAGACACTATCCGGTCTGTGTTCTGCCCTTTGGCTTTAAAATAAACCAGGCTTCGCATTGGGAGTAGTGCGTTTTCTTCTTGTTTGCGTCATATTTTGCATGACCCTGATAATTTGCTCATGACCACGCAGAAACCAACCATGACGCATCAGCGCACGCAAAACCGACAGGGCGCACACTGACCAAAAACGGTAAGTACTCGTATGCTACAGTTGCTAAAAACTGACGTAAGAAACATTTCTGCAGGTTTACTAATTGGGGACAGAGACTGCTGTACGATAGCCACGGAAACAGTTAATTAACATATACGTATTATCTGTAGGTATCTGTACTTGCAAGAGAAATCATGCATAGTAAACCGTCTCGCCAGAGAAACTGGAGGATTATTCGAAATCTAGCTCTACGTAGGCTCTATGATGGCTTAATTTAACCTAAATTTTCTTCAGTACGTACTGCAGAACCGAAAAGTAGTACGTATCTTTATTAAAATACCGGAAACAACATAGCCGTTATGTGACCCTTTGTGACTTACATGTTTTGAGCTATAGAAGCTGTATCTACAGATTCTACACACAGGTGTGTTACTGTGCATAAAGGTAGCAGAAGCGTGCATATGTGCTTTCTGGTTAGTGCTATTGGGTTTCACGGTACCGTGACTGCAACGCTTATAATTACCATATAAAACAGTAACTACAGATGCTTACATCAATATACTTGCACCCTTAAGTGATCTAATTAAACACTTAACTGGCTAGGCAAGCACAAATGGCAACAGCAGCAACATAATTTTAGCTAAATTTTGTGCTGAAAAAAGAGGTCTTCAATCAAACAACCAAACGCATTGAATACGCCTTGTCATTTGAGCGACAAGGAGTGGTGTTGTACCGTACAATATTTACAACACTGCGAAGCCAGTATAACTGCGCTGCATATATTAACAGGCTGGTACCGGTAGCAAAATAATCCACAAGCAAATTAACTACTATAACATCATGCCGGGATTTACATTATGGTTCATAAAACGATTTTGCTCTGCAAATGCAAAACTTCGTGCTAAATTATATAAAAGTGCTTTCTTGGTAGCCATATCGTCGTCAATGTGGTTGTTATATAGTACTTTGTTTGCCGATTTAAGTAATATTCCTTTTAGTTCCGGTCATGGCTTGCATTCCAGATTGATTTCTTTGAAACACGCTAACAGAAATAAGCGTGGTGTAACTGACGCAGGTTTCACTCATTCCCGAAGTGTACCATACCAGTTGACCATGTGTATGATGGTGACAAACAACATCCCTTATTTAGTCGAATGGATTGAATTCCATCACTTACAAGGCGCCGATCACTTTGTATTGTACAACTTTTTGGGCACTGATCTGGTGGAATATTTACCACTTTTTTATGAACACCGGCGTAATCTCAAGGTTCGTGTATTTCCAGCCCGCTTCTACACGGCAATGAACATGACAAAGCACGAAGCGACCAATTTAGCGATGGTGGACTGCTTTGTTCGCTACCGCCATCAGTCCCAGTGGATACTGTTGACCAGTCCCGGGCACTTCGTATACTCGACGCAATACAGGAATATTAGGGAGTACTTCGAAAGGCTCAGAATAGATTCAGCCGGCTATGCTGTAAAAATACCCATCGTTAAATTTGGATTGTTAAAAGACTGCAGTCGGTTTCGAGCGTGGTTATCCCCTAATCCCTACACCGGAAGCGTTGACCTTTTGTACGAACCCACCAGTTTAAATTCCACGGATACGTTTTATCCCCTTGTTATCGCTGCCAGCAGTTTTCGCTTTCCGTATGCCGACCTGGATGGAACGGATAGCTATAACCATTATCTCGAAAAGCAAAACCATGAGGTATGGTTATAGCGAACATACTTCTAAAATTATACAAGCACGATTGGTTGTTACATGTTAATATTTATATTATATAGAGCTGATATAACGCGCCCGAATAAAAAATTCAACTGTATATTTTTGGGTTTTGTTTATTCGAAATAGCTCCGAGTTCACACTTAATTGGTCACCTTAATTCTATTAGTTTTACTTTTATTTTTAGTTTTTTTTATTATAATAAAAAGGTCATGAATCATGAATTGTAAAACAACTGAGTTGTATAACAATTGAACTGTATAACATTTGTATAGTCATGAATTGTATAACAACTAATAATTATTAGTTGTTATAAAATTCATGACTTTTTATTGCAACAAAATATTAGAATGTGTAGGATATCAAAGAAAATTGATCCCTGAAAGTAATTCTAAGGCTTCAATAACTAATGTAAAAGGTCGAAAGCAATGCTTTCAAAGCATGAAAGCATATTTTTACATTATAATGCAGTACATAGTACATTACTACATACATATAGTTGATATTTATATTATACTTCTTGCGTACGAGTAAATTGCGAAAATCTTTTGTACAGCCACAATCGTTGCAGGAAAATTCAAATCCCGAAGAAAAAGAATACACAACCATAATCAGCGGAAAACGATATTGTGATAAATCCAACATGTCACGTTGCTTATTTCCGCAACCTGGTCACCCAAACGTTATTTCCGCCGAAAGAAAAGACCTGCGTGCGGACGAACAAAGCTGTACAAGCACTGGCCTTTTAAAGCTTCGCAATAACGTTGACAGGACTCTTTCTAAAGATCAACCGGGCTCCGACAAAAAACTTCCCGCTTTTTTCGACTCCGTAAAGGTGTCGAGATTTGCCGCACCAGTTCGTCAGAGCATCATGGAACTCAAGCCTAAGGTATTTCAGAGTGTCGACCGGCATTGTGATAAGCAGGCGCTGGACAGTGGTCAGCAGGTGATGTGTCCGGCTTCCCATCCTCATCCGTACGGCGAACTAAAGTATTTAAAATACTGCTGCAAATATGAAACCAAGTCCCGAAATTCATCTCAATGTGGAAAAGGTTTCTATGTGGAATGCAAAGAGCCACGCGGAACGGCAAAATGGTTGCATAGAAGCTGTTGTACTCATGAAAATGCTACCCTAGAAGCTGAAGCGCTATCAGTTTAAACAAGATTACGTAGTAATACGTACTACAGTCTGCAATTCTGAGCAAAAGATGGTAAATATATTTTTGTGATGTGTTTTAGTTGGTCAAGATAAAATCTTACATCAGCAGAATCCATGTTCTGTCCTACGGTGCAATACTACACGAGTAAGTATAATACGAGTATATTATGATATTATATCGCTCCACGGTTTTCATGGCGCGGGATTGCGGACACAAGTTGTATAATGGAAAGAGCAGTTGTTCTCCACAATTTGCAGTTGTTTGTGGAAAACTGTTATGAATTGTCTGCTCAGTCACAGCCTCAGTGCACTCTAATATAGTCGGAACAAATAAATGTTGTACCTGACTTAATTGCGAAACTGGCATTAAGAGCAACCGTATAACCATCATGGTTACAAAGTAGAAACTTGCAAGACGTCATCGGATGCGCATGGCCAGTCTTGTAGAATTAGTTCTCGTTTTGGGGGCAGGGATGGTCCATCATTGCTTGCGTCATAGATGCGACACTAGCTATGTACCAGAACAGGTTCACTGGGCAAAAAGCAGAACAACTTTAGTGCGACCGTCACTTTCTGCACTCGCAAAATACGAGTAACTATTTAGTAACTGCCATTAACTTTTAAAGTTCTAACAATTCATCATTTGTACCGTGTCCTTTATGATAGGTCACCGCTTTTGCCTGGTCGTGGAAAGTGGAAACTATGGTACGTAATCCATAGTGGCCAGTGGTCATTGAAAATTTTTATTACTGTACTACGTTTATTTCCTTATGATTGCTACGCTTGTTACCTGCACCTTAAGCTACTGTAGTCATTAAAATAATATTCTTTTAAACTTCTTGACAGTACCAGTCATTTCGAAGAGATGCAATTTCGTACTGTTCAGCTTTTATGAAATTAATAATATGGCGCATGCACAAACAAGTTGAAACAACCATAGAAATACACAAGCAAGGTATGTTGCAGAAATCTGCCTTTCATATACAGAGGTTTTTCCTTGACAAAAGTACGGTATACCCGTATTCCCTATATGGTTATTTACAAGTTATTGCTTACGGTGTGGCATTGGTGTGCTGAAAGTCAAGTGTGATGCGACGTCTATTGCAATTGCTTATCACTGTTTTACTTTATCTTCTCTTGATATCCGCCAACGAGTCCATCAACAAAAAATATGCCCTCACAGCTTGTGCCATGATCAGAAACGAGCTGCATCTCATCCTGGAATGGATCGAATTCCACCGCATCCAAGGTGTCGATCATTTTATTTTCTATGACGATGACAGCACCGATGACATTTACCTCCTGCCCCGTCTGTACGCCGACCAGGGTCATCCCGATCTCGTGGAAGTCTTCCCCGCCAATTTCCGTCGCTACAATCAGGCATCGAATCGCCGGTATGACGATTACCTGGAGACACAGTTGCTGGCACTGGATCACTGCAACTCCCGAATGTCCAATGTCAGCCAATGGCTGCTGATCACTGATGTGGATGAGTTTACCTTCTCACCCAAATATCACACGATTGCCGCATATCTAAGGCAGTACGCCACAGACGAAACAACTAGGGAAATTCATGTCCCGACTATTCGGTTCGGGTCCAGCGGCGTTCAGAGAGAAAACCGAATGCGCTTGTCGCTGGATCCATATGAAAATTGTATTACAGTTATCACTGAATTCCACAACAATCATCTGTTACTTACCGCGAGAAACACAAAACGAGGACCAGTCAAATCTTTGGATAAGGATTATAATCAGCGTTTTAAGGAAGTATGTGCGCCACCGGTAAATGCCAGCGATTGTCACCACGCTGAAGGGAAATCCATTTGGCGACCGGAAATGTGTGGACTGGCCGGTATACACCGCTGTCTGCGTCCCCGGGGTGGTCGCGCCCTTCGCCCGTCCGTAAAAGAACTGCGCATCAACCATTATGCCTTCCGGTCAAAGGAGCATGTGGGACGTCTGGAACACCAGATAGCCGTCGTCAAAGGCGCAGTGTTCGATGCTCTGGATAAGGTGTGGTTTTCAAGCGTGCCTGATAATTCCACGGAACCGTATCATGAGGAACTTATGTCTAGGTTACGCTTGCTAATGACATAAAAACAAGAGTGTTAACGCTGTAAGCCTGTGTAAAAATTACCAAATACAGCACCAGCGATTCCGAAAATCAGTACGAGTTATAAGGACTAAAACATCAACAAGGAGAATATTAAAGGCAATTATATATTGAGGAGAATTTGTACTGCAACTCTTAGTGCTGCGACATCCCACTTTTGTGTTTCGATTTATTACAAAAAACTCCTCGAAGTTGGCCGCTGAAACGGCATAATTAAATAAACAAATTATCCAAAATTATTTCAGCCAGATAACTTCATTTGATTGCACGCAGTTCGAAGCCATGTGCTCACGGAATTACCGGTAGATGATAGTTAGTTGTCAAAGTCAACATCCTTCTGACATGAATTATCACTCATAAAAAAACTAATAATATGTAAAAGATGGTATGTACAGCTTACAAGCTACTTCTTGTTACATCACAATAAGGGTACCGGCTACAACCGCAATTTTTGCCGTTTAATAGGACTGAGCGCGACAAATAACAACACGGCGCAAATTCGCGCAAAACGTAAACGAAAATAACATTTTCTGTTATCAGTTTACCAGAAGAAGTACCTGCCATTTCACACGTACAGCATTACCAAATTTACCACCTAGGGACAAACTGCCACAAATAAGTACGGCAGCAGCAAGCAAACCCCGAAACCTTTGGCCAGTAGATCAGCAATGGAAAACCAACAAAACCCTGCCTCATTCCACATCGTCCTCCACCAGCGTCACCGTCGCTCCGGTACTCACCACCGTCTCCTTCAGTTCTTCATCGAACACCACCCCACTGGGCCCGGTGGTGGTGGTGCGCACGGTGGTCGACGTCTTGGTCGGGCCGCCCATGGCCCCCGCGGTCTCGCTTTCCAGGGCCCGGACAATCAAACTGAACACCTGCGGCGGCAGGGATTCAGCCAGGATGCGCAGTAACTGTGACGGGGACCCGGAGGCCCGCACGGCGTTGCTGAAGTGCTGCACACTCTCCTCTACCATCCCGTTCATCAGGCAGGCCTCGCCGCGCTGCAGTTGGATCATGAAGTAGCGCTGCATGGCTTCAGGGTCCGTCGGGTCGGGCATGCCCGTGGCACGGTTGGCCGCGGCGCGATTACGGGCGCGTTTCTCGCGGACGCGCTGACGGTACAGGGGATGGCTGCGGCGGGTATGGTCGAAGTAGATGCAGTAACCCACGACGGCGGTGGCGCCCGCCACTGCTCCCAGGAAGAGCTTGGATACCATTTTGGCGTGCTTTGGAATAACTAATATGGCAATCAAAACTATTCAAGAGATAAAGGAGCACCAATTACGTTAAAACACGCAAATTTTCCCTAAATTTCATGATATTTTCGTCAGCTTGCTTGAGCTTACACTTGCAGCTGGAATGATCAGTCGACTCATACATACAGAGTAACAGAGGCCTATACCAGCGAAACGCTACTAACTGCCCCCCGCGTTGCTTATGCACACTGTACTGTGCGGTACTTCCGTTTCCGGTTTCCATGTCTACTGTATATTCATCGTCAGCACCGCTTCCGGTTGAGACCGTTGGGCATGCTGCAAAACCTGTAACCGCTATTGTGGGCACTCGTACTGATTTTAGATGCAATAAAACATGCGAAACTAAGATTTTGGACGCTACCTGCATACTCGAGACTTCAGGTACGTACAAAACGCTTGTAAGTTGACAGCCACTTTTAACCATAAGTATCGGTAGAAAAATGCTACAATAATTTTTTGTTATCACCTGACACCTACGTCACGTGCAAATACTTCCACTTTTAAAGCTGGATTTTCAGTAAATTTTGCCAGACAGTACAGAACAGCATCATTGCGCTATAAAGTGCTATAACAATTTTATTATCAGGTACGCACTTTGACGTGTAAAATGCCAGTATAAAACTATTTTGCCAGAGAATACAAAATTAGCATTAGCGGTGATTAGCCTTTAGGAGTCTCGACTTCTACCCTATTCGTTGCGCACCGAGACGGCACCGTATAAGGTTTAGCATTATCTGATCAACGTAAGTTTGCTTGAATTTTTGGTGACTGTTTATACTTTTGGAGAATTCGGTGAAATGGATAGTAATAACAGTTTCAGCAATTTACCGTTGAGCATCTAGCAGTAAACTTATTGCTAACTGAAACTACTGATTTTCTTCCTCAGCAGAATAAACTGGTATCGAATTGCGAGCACTTCGCACAATTTCCCAAGTGAGCCATCCGCGTGACACTGGGAAAACGACATTGTTTCGCTACAGTTAACCATGCCGTTTCATAAATTTCGGAAATACTGCCGACTCAAGCAGAATCGTCAAGGTCAAGTTCAGCTAGGAAGCACGTTTTCGATAGGGCACCACCGACTGTATAAAAGCGGTACATGTGCCGGCCGTGTATGTAGTACGTTCGTTTCGCGGTAACCTTTTTCCATTAACACCATGGCCGCTTTCATGTGGATCTGTGCCGTTGTGGCAATTCTCTCGGTGGCGCGCGGACTTCCGTTGGACGGTCCCCTGGAGCCGTCAGATGAATTCCACGAACAGCCGCCGATGAAAGCGAATGCCACTGCTGGGCTCAACGTGACCGTCGGATCTGCGAATTCAACGGCTGCTCCTGGTAACGCAACAACCACGTCCAAACCGAGCGCCGAGAATGCAACCACGGCATCACCGGCAAACGTTACAAGCAACGCGACAGAGTCCGTTCCCAAGCCGACCACGCCCTCATCCGCTAACTCTACCACCGGATTCAATGTCACTGAATCACCTGTGGATGTCGATAACGCAACGCTAATTCCTGATGGGGAATTCGACAACAGCACCAGTTTCGAAAATTCTACTATGGGTTTCAACGTCACCGAGTCTCCCATCGATACTGAAAACGCTACGGTAACGGCTGATTTCGAACTCGACAACTCAACCAACTTCGAAAATTCCACTTCCGGTTTTAATATCACCGAATCTCCTATTGACATCGACAATGCAACGCTAGTTCCTGATGGGGAATTCGACAACACAACGAATTTCGCCAACTCCACCGGCGACGGGTTCAACGTCACGGAGTCGATCCTGGATGCCGAAAACGCAACGGTGACCTCGGATATCGACCTGGAAAACTCGACGTTCCCTGAAACCACTCCCGAATGCAATACCGGTAATGCGACAGCGGCGTGCAATTCCACGGACGATGGCGGTTTCGAAGAATTGACGACATTGGGTTTTAACTCCACAGAGCCGGGAAATGTCACCGAAAGTACCCTGGATGTGACAACCATCGATGCTAACTCCACCGCGACTACTGACGAGGAAATGATAACGCTGAGCCCGATCGAAACCGGGAATGCGACGGAGAGCGGATCAGTGCAACCGGAAGTCACCACCGACAGCGTGCCGGGTAATTCCACGGATCTGTCGGTGTCCACCACGGAGACGGCCGTTAACGGGACCACCGAATCGAGCAATTCAACGTAAAATCCCTCGTTATAATTAGATTATTCTGTTTTTCTAGTTTATTCACACCTGTGTACCGCAAAATGCGGCAGTAGTATACTTTTATTTGTCAGAAAAATTTGTTGGTTATTTAAATCAAGTGCGTTACGAAATTAAGATTATTAATTCCATCTGGTGCTACGAAAAACATCAGAAACAGGTTATGAACACACAACTGTAATCCGCATTTTTGTATCGGTAGGACACATTCGCATTTGCGATGGGTACACGCTACAAAGACCACCACACCGGCGCCCGACGACAAGTTTACGGTCGCCAAACCCACTATACCCGCTGGAAAGGGGGTGCGCATTTGCACATGGAACGTTTTCCGCTTTGGTCCCAAAAAATTCGACGACGACTCAGATGATTTTCCGAAAAAATATGGCAAGCCAAAAATCCATATGATGATCGAGGTAATTAAATACTGTACCGAAACGGCAAAAACGGGTGCGGCTTTTCGAATTCATGTACATAATCTGGGGCATGTTAATAATTTTTTCATGGATACATAATTAGGTACATTCTAAATAATCTGTACATACGGATGTACAGGTACATGGTGGATACATGTTAATTACGACCGCTATGCATTTCGTAGCAAATCTCCAACTGCGACCTGTTGGCGCTGCAAGAATACTTTGATCCAACGCTGGGTGTGCTGAATCGATTGGTAAGAGCGTTGTCAAAAAATACCGGATCAGCATGGAATTACACGGTGAGCGACCGTGTCGGGCGTACCTCGCAGGAGCAATATGTCTTTTTATACCGGTAATTAAGAGATTAATACAGAAATCGCGCTTTATCGGTCAAAATCAGATGAGCATAAATTTTTTGCACGGCATAGAACGGAAGTGGCGCAGCATCAGGACAACGAAATCTGTCCCGACCCGGACGATGTGTATAGTCGTGATCCGTACTTTGCCAAATTCAAAATCCTCAAAAAGGATACATGTGCGTGATGAGAAATTTTGACACCCACTTCGCTATATTTTTCATAGCAAATGCTGTTTTTTTGTATATCAGGCTTTTCCGATATCGTTCTGGGCACCATCCACACAGAACCTGGTAAGTGGCTTGTTTGTTCATTTAATAGAGTATCACCCAATTACGTATTTGCTGTCAAACGAAGGTAATAGCTACTTTGTGATTCTTGCAGAGAAAGCCGTGGAAGAAATGAACGAACTTGTTAAATCATACGACTGGGCGGAAAAGAGGTTTGGAACGAAGGTAATAATGATATAATAAATTATATCTTTTTAATGGAAATTACAAAAATAGAAATAATTGGAATTTTGATCGGGTAAAATTCAAATCCTATACAACAGGAGGCAGCCGTGCAAAGCTGATGAATAATAATTATGAACCTTAGGCAAAAGTAGTGGATTAGGCGGAAACAGAACATCTGACCTCAGTAATTTGTGAAATCTTTTCAAGTCCATGCTGTTTGTCAATTTTTAAAATTAGTACAGAATTTTTAACGACGTGCGCCATAGAAAGTATAAGGAAAAATTCATCTTCTTTGGCAAACGTTTTGTGAACAAATGTGATAAACAATTAGGAACGCGGGCGGGCGAAACGAGCCGGCTTGATCATGCTTACAAAGGTTATATAGAGGTACTTACACAATTAACGGGCACATCGTAACAGTGCCTGACACTGCCTGTTCAGCAATACTAAAAATAAATTTTAATGTAGAAAACGTCGAGTTAGAATTTTTCCATCAGCTCCAAGTGCGTTTTTTTTGTTAGAATGTTATGGTAACGGGTGATTACAACGGCGACTGCCAGTATGTGCGCAAATCCGAGTGGCCCAATGTGAAATTGTTTACGGACCAGAGGTTCAAGTGGATGATTAAAACCGGCACCGACACCGCATCCATGGCTTCCGAATGCACATTTGATCGGTATTCATTCGTTTATTGTACTTATTTATAGCTGTCGTACAAATTACGACGAATTAACCAGTGTACTGTACGTTAATTTTAACTGTACGAGTATATTTTCAGAGCTGTGGTGCGGGAGGACAAACTATTCAAATGTTTTGTCGATGTGAAAGTTTTGGATTTTGTCGACAAGTACAAGATTAAAGTCGCGGAAGTAAGTATAAAGACAACAACAAAGTCTCCGTTCAATATTCAAGAACGCAAAACGAATACTTCGGAAATAATGACTGATTTGCTCGAAACAGGATTGCTAACACATTACTTTTTACAGGCCCGGCAGCTGAGTGACCATTTCCCAGTAGTACTCAACTTCAACTGAAGCAAGAGCACGTTCCCATCAGTATTGTCCAGCTAGCACTTGTTGCCGGGGTTTTACACTGACAAAATATCCGTTTACATCTTTGCATTAAATCGACACATACGTCATATTTTTGTTACTGAGTTGACCCCGTGGTGCATATTATGAGTTAACATTTTTGTTGCAACCGGCAGTATTCGATGCGTGTTACTGCAACATGTGGCGCATTCCGCGTATAAAATAACACGGCAACACAGAACAAGAATAAAAAATTCACTGGTCTTTGGGAACTTTTCGTTGCGAGCGGGCGGGTGATAAAAATTAAGGTGAAGGCTCCGCATACCTTCACGAAAAATTAATAACTGTTACCTTTGAAGTTGATCATACTATGTGACATAATTGTTCGAGTAGAAATCACTACACACTAATACCTTCGAAAGAGCATGTAGTGACACTGCGCTACGATTCTATCATGCTACTCATTGTAATTTTTTCAGTGGCAATACTGTAGTACGTACTGTACAATCACGGAACCGAAATAATACTAATTAAATACAAGCGCATCCATAAAAAATGTTAGCACAAAATAATATACGCTTTAACACCCATAATAGATTGTTTTCACAAAACAACTCGGCAAATGCTGTATAATAATACTGCGATCGGAGTATCCAGTTACGAGCTCCGTTAAGGTAAGCTTATGAAGTGACACTTTTGCGGTAGAATCCCATCGTATCTGTTTTCCGTTCCACCGGTAATCGCAATTTATCGAGCCGACTACCACACAACACTGGCATTGTGTTCCTTCCCCACAATGCCGGTATCGTTTTCCACTACAGCGCTTATCGGCGCTATTGTCTACCCGGAGTGCTTTATCGCTTCGGCCGCCACTTCGTAATAATGACGAAGTCACACAGCGTGGTACATGTTCAGGCATCTCGTGATGTCGCAGATGCTCCGTCACCGTGACATGCTTTATAAGACGGATAACCACTGTGCAGATCGCGCAACGGTTGTTTATCGTAAGAAGAACATTAGGGTTAAGCGAGCGCAGTGCAAACTAGTGCGTCTTGACACCCATCAGGAAAGTTTTGCTTTTTTCCCATCCGTGTTATCTATCGTGGGAACAAAAAATGACGGTGGAATCCGTGGAGATGGGGATGGAGAAGAAGCCGATGATGCGGCAGCAAGTAAGGCGGATTGCATCATGAATTTATGACTACGTATACTTTAGTTCAAAGTGTCTTCATTGATTGCATTTCTTCGCGTAGAAGTTCACACGAACGTTGGCGTTCTCCATTTTTGCCGCTGCCTTTGGATCGTCTTTTTTATTTGGTTATAATCTGGGAGTCATCAATGCACCGCAGACTGTAAGCAATCATGAGAGGCATGGATTACGTATTAACAACAATATTCAAATTTATAAATATCGATACAAAACACCGTCGCTCGATACATATCGATACTGAAAAAACTCGCTTACGTTTTCTTTGAGCTTTAAAATTTGAAAGTGCATGGATTATGGATATTTATCTGTAAAGCATGCTGTTTATTCTCAACATGCCATAAAAATTGTCAGAAACTAGCCATCTGACTGCGAAGGAATCAGCGACAGTAAAACATTTATGAACAGCAGCAAAGTGACCTTGATAGTAGTCTTCAGTTACTGTTATTCGTAGGCTATTGTATTACGAGTATGTTTATCGTAAAACAATTCCTAGGTGCGATAAATGCACGGGTTCTTTGTTTTGTGTGATAAATTCGCTGTTTTTGCTTTTGTAAGGCTAATGAAGAATCGATATTTAAATAAAAGACAAAAATACCGACTTTTTACTTTTTTGCGGCTGACAGTTATATTTCGAAAAAGTTGCGCACAGTTTTGTTTGTTGTTTCCGCTATATGATAGTTCTACCAAAAAGAAAACTGTGTTAAATTTTAAAGCTATAGTTTTTGAGGAAGCAGAGCGAAAACGATAGCTGTAAAAAGACATTTTTACGGCTACGATAGTTTTACTATCCGAACAGGTTATTGGGCTATGGATTCGCGACACAACTTGTATTGCCAACGGCGGTGTTCCCAGTCAGAAGGATGGGCAGACGGATGACATCTGGTGTAAGAAGTTGGACCCTACTGGACAGGCTACGATGTTCAGCGACAACGGGACGCTGAATTTGATCTGGGCCTTAATCACAGCCATATTTTGTGCCGGTGGCCTTATTGGAGCGCTATCTACATCGTTTTTTATATCGCGTTATGGCCCGTAAGTTCAAGAATACTTACGTACCGTGTACCTATACGTAAGAGGTATAATTGCTATGTACACAGTTTTCGGCATGACCGTACACGTACAGTAACTTGCATACACCACTGGAAACGGAAAACAATTATGTAACATTAGTTTATATTTTTTGTTGCTGTTTGTTTTGTATACAGTGTACGGTATATGTAGCGCCTCGAGCGTACGCTGAGCTACCGATTTTTTGTAGGCGTATGACAATGATTATAAATAACGCCGTGGGCCTGATTGCTGTTGTCCTGTTGTCCATACCTCAAGCCGTGGGATCCTATGAAGTGCTCATTGTGGCACGTTTCGTCGTCGGGGTCAGTTCGGGTGAGTGCCATACACTACTCTGAAAATTAGAACTAAATATATTGTGCATCAACGACTTAATTGGTAAGAAACAATTGACACGCGTACTGCATTAGGCGTGAACTCGGGCACCCCGGCCGTCTACTTCAGCGAGATTGCTCCGGCACATCTAAAGGGCGCACTGGGTAGCGTCCATCAACTTACCGTGACCATCGCCATATCGATTTCGCAGGTCCTGGGTCTACCCTACATCATGGGCAACAGCAGTCTATGGCCCTATTTATTTGCCGTATCCGCCGTACCCTCCATTGTTCAGCTGCTGACACTGCCATTTTGTCCAGAAAGTCCCAAATGGCTGTTTTTGGGCAAAGAAGACGAAGAGGCTGCCCGTGCCGGTACTGCTATTATGAGTGCATAATACTTATCTACTTGAATTTTGAGTCAGTAGTCTTCGTATTTAACGCTGAATAAGATTGTTTGAGACACATCGATTTGCCGCTTTAGAATTGTATGCAGATGATTTTTAGTAATATTTTATATTCTAAAAATTTTTAAATTTCCATATACCGGTATATACTGACTGTTACATATAGATCAACACCTGAGGTATCGTACTGTTACACGCGCATTGATCTTTTAATTTTTACCGGTAGCGCTGGTGCGTCTGCGCGGCACCACGGATGTAGAGGATGAAATGAGCGAAATGCGAGCTGAACACAAAGTGGCCAAAGCTCTGCCGAAAGTGGGAGTAAAAGATCTCTTCACCGATCCATTCCTGCGCAGCATCACTTTCATCGCCATCATGCTGATGGTATGCCAACAAATGTCCGGAATCAACGCGGTATGTCTCAATTTTTGGCACAAAAAAATGAGTTTTCGTGGCACCTGTATGCTGTATGGTAACAATATGCGTATGTACTATGTAGTATACATATCTAACGTTGTACGATTACTACCTTAGGTAATGTTCTATTCCACACAAATTTTCCGCTCTGCTGGACTAGACGCCCAATCGGCTCTGTACGCCACGATCGGGATGGGTGTGGTCAACATCGGTATGACCGTTGTATCCGTCTTCCTTGTGGAGAAAGCCGGACGACGGACTCTCTTGTTGATCGGTTATGCGGGGATGTTGGTTACGTGCGTGCTTCTATCGTGTTCCATGCTGATCTTTGTAAGCCGGCTGCAATTTACGATTCACATAGACATCTGCTGATCATGACATTATTATAAATGAATATTACTTCTGCACTCTCAATGATAAATTTGACCAAAATATTTTTCAACTCTGGAAATCTGACGCGCGTCAAGAATATAGTACGGCTACATTAAACTAACAAATTATGTTATCGCGTTAGCAAAAACTTTTTTAAACGAACTTCCATAGATGAATAGACCGCACAAAATTGCAAAGGTCACACGGAAGCCGCTGTTATCGAAAAACCCTGATTCTTGCAGGACAGCGGAGTCGCACCGGTGTGGAATCCCGCCGCGGTCAATCCGTTTGGTTTCTTCGCTTATTTTAGCATCGTATTCGTGATTGTTTACGTTATTATGTTTGCCACTGGACCTGGTGAGTTTTCCTGATAACAATAATTACCCCTGCCAGCGTAGACATCAGGTTTTCCCAAGGCAGTTTTTTTGTGACGGAAATAAAATCTGTTGGAAAGTCGCCGATTTGAAATTCGAAGTTTAAAATAATTATTTTTTTTGCAGGATCGATTCCATGGTTTTTGGTATCAGAACTGTTTACGCAAGGACCACGTGCGGCAGCCAACAGTATTGCTGTGGGGACCAACTGGCTGTGTAGTCTGATTATCGCTATTGCCTTCCCTTTCGTTCAGGTGAGTTACAACAGTTTATCAGGGGCTTTGCATAAAGGATTATGTGGCAGAAAATTTCGGTAAGGCTAGTGAAACGCGCGCATATGTACGTAGAGGCGCTCCGACAATAATTAAATGGGAGGTCATAAGACTCGCAACATGTCTGCAACAAACCGTGTTCCAATCCTAATTATAATCGCGAATCTACGCGTTTAAATATGAATCTGAATAATGAAATTTGTTTGCAGACGGCTATCGAAGAATACACTTTCCTCGTGTTCGCTGGACTCTTGGTCATCTTTGTGGTTTACACCCGGCTGAGGGTTGTGGAGACTAAAGGCAAAACGCAGGATGAAGTGCAGGCGGAACTCCGGCAACGATTCGAACAGTGATCAGGATTCTCACAGTCTTTATACGAGACGTTCGGAGTTCTTTTGTTGCTTGTTGGCCAGTTAGTTTTACGTGAAAACTCTTACTTGTATGATATAATGATACGTTGTAGGTGTTGCAGTAATTAAACACACAATGTTTTACTCTGTTTATGCATAACTGGGGCGCACGGCCAGCAGTGTGTGGAAGTTAACAAAATGTTAAAAAAGTTGTAATACTTGGATTGCGAGACATATGTAAAAGGAAGCGTTCATCAGAAACCTGTCGTTAATTTCGATTCATAAGTTGAAGGCTACAACCAGACACAACTGCTTTAGATTTAGAATAATAGCGCATTAATTAAGCAGTACATACATTGTACACGATCCCTTTTTGAATAAATACCCAATTTATGTTTGCAATCGCCTTAATTCCTGTTTAAGTAGCTAACTGAGCTTTGCAAAGTCAATCTTCAGTTTCTTATGTAACCATCGAAGACATGGTAAAATCAAAGTCATCGCCACACTATCAAATTCTCTGTTTGGCCTTTGATCTTCTTTTTTGATCACGTTTTTGCTAATAAACACGAAGAAACGCATTGGCTTCCAAGCATTAATCAATGTTGGGGGTGTTCTTTGAAAATGGTGAATAATTAAGCGTTATGCAACTATCAGCACAGACGACTGCAACATCACATTGAAAGGCTACCAAACAAAATTTGGTTACGGCATGTTTTATGGGCATTGCCGCATTAGATGGTTAGGACCTATTTTAAGCCTGCCTCATTACATAATTGACGCAGTTGTAATTTTTAGAATAGAAATTAAGATTAATAAAATCTGGATTTGCAGGAAAATGTACCTGTTTTACTGGTTCGTAACCATTGGTAATACAGAACCTAGAAAACTGCTCAGTTTTCGAAACTACTGTTTAAATGAAAACATCTACATCAATTCCGAATATTGAATCCCGTCTGTAAATTTCAGGTGGTGCATTATTTTTTGTCAATGGCCAATTGAGAATGAATTACAATCAAGTGCAGTACCAACTACCAGCGCATCTTCCATATAACCCGCCACCGTTCTATGCTGCCGCATACCCTCAACCGCCTCCTGTAGCGAACACGAGCACCAGAAAATGTGGTGATTATCCTGTTCGACTTCCGCCAATGCGGAACTTTCAACCCGAAAAGGTAAGTTGCTACTGCGACGCTTTTTTATGCAGCTTCTGACTTCAGAGTTTTACCTATTTCAAAAGCAATAACCTTGGCTTTGCAATAACCTGCTTGCACGCTTACCTACAGAACTTCTGGCGATATGTTAATCGTATAAAAATGTAGTCAGTTTGCGTGCGTAGACAGATGGCATATGGCACACTTACCGGGTGCTACTTCCCGGCGCCCCTGTGATGACCAACCGGCAGCTGACCATTCAAAGTCTGGGTAAAACAGTCGTTCCATTCTCAACAATACCGGCCGAATACCAACTCCTAACGACATATTCCTGTGATAATGACACTGACGCAGTTTGTTCATGCAATTCAGAATTCTATCCAGGCATCGCTGGTACTAACGGCTACCGATACTTTAACAGAATCACCATGGACTGTGCGATTCGTAAGTATTGTGGTACGAGTATTACGTTGATATTATATATAGCACGTCTATTTCTAGTTGAAAAGGTCATGGCGATGCCAGTGCGATTGTGCTGCTTTTTTTTAGAACCGGCATATATCACAGTTGTCGCCTGCAAGTACCACACATATTGCATCGCCTATAGCTGTGCCGCACCCAACTACGTTACCGACACCTGCACCAAGCCCATTATTTTCGTCAGCACCCGGGCCCGCCCCGATCATATGGCCGACAAAGTTTTAAAACGCATTGACCAAGTCGTGGATATGATTTTCGCTCCGTATTGCAAGTCACGCGACGATATCCCCAAGCAGATATATACGGAAGACAAACCTTTCTGCCCACTGGATACACCTGTACCAGAATGCGTACAGCAGATAGTCAAGGGACTGGAGGACGATGCGAAAAACACGGTGGTACCGGTTGCCTTGGATGTAGCGGCAAAGGGCTCCGGTTATTGAAGACCTGTCCCTACGCGGCCAAAATTAATTGTTGGTGTATACGCTACCAGACATGCTTGCAATTTGTGGATACTTGACTAATACGAGTATAATCAGTTGAAATACTTCTAGTGGGAATTATCATATGAGTACTAAAGCACTGCATAATCTACATTGTATAAAGGTTTCAACTTGTTTACTACTCTATAAAAATGTAGAGCCAGTACTGCAACTATGAGAAAATGTAGATACTCTGCAATCTGCACCATTCATATAATAGCTATTACTTATTACAAAGTAGATCGATATGGTTCGAGACCGAAAAATTTGTACTCGTACTTTTTTAATAATTTTTATAATTGTACCCGGTTGTCGGGTACTAAACGTGCCAGAAAGCGCATTTATAAGTATTTTACTATTGGTTTGTCTGAAGTGGTTTGTAATTGATAACACCAATAGTATTATTCCCATCCTAAATTAATTAAATATCGCTGGCGCAAGATACATGTCAATTCGAGGCAAAAGTGATCCAGCCAATCAGATACACAAACTCGAACTGGCTCTAGTTGGTTCCAGAACTTCCAGTAGCAAGTATCGCGGCAAAGAAACCGATAAACGTTGTGTTTCGGAAGTGAACGAAATATTCGAATTTGGTGAAGTCATTGAACAAGGGGTGGTAACGGGCAACGGTCAATTGATTTATTTTCGGATATATAAATTTTACATAATTAATAAACTACGCCGTATAACATGTAATATATCCATTTCCCATTTAAACCCCAAACGCCCCCAAACCTTGATCAAGGAACCCCGTACCGATTACCGAGAGTGTGATCAGGGTCGGGAGGTTCCACTGTATGTGTTTTGTATGTAATGTACTACTGAAACACTGAAATCGAAGTTATTGTTCTGCTATCTCGTTTTCTGTTTGGCTTTTTCCATTCTTTTTTCAATCGTTTTTTGCTAGCGTACAAAATAAACGTACTGGCTGCAAGTGCTACATAAAAAGTTATTTTATGGAGATGGTTATGGAGATGTTAACCGTTATGCAATCGCCCAGGCGGCTAAAATATGCATCTACAAAGCTCCCAAACAATCTTTGATTACCACAAGTCTTACTTTATTACATAATTATCGATTGGGCCAGCTGAAATAGTTAGTATAGAAATCCACTGTATGAAACTTGCATTTGCAGAAAAATGGAGCTGCTTTACTGGTTCGTAACCATCGGTAATACACTTGCTTGCAAGTTGCAAGGGAGATTACAAAGAATGCTGAGTTTTTTCGGCTGCTGTTTAAAAGATGTTTAAAAGATTTTTGGTAATTCTATATATACGTGTGCTTTTGCATGTTGAATCAAATTTAAGCAATTTCAGGTGGTTCATTTTCTTTGGTCGGCGCTCAGTATTACAACCAACTGCCGGCGTATCCTCCGTATCAGACACCGTTATACGCTGCTGCGTACCTTCCACCGCCTCCTACAGTAAACACCAACACCAGGAAATGTGGTGATTATCCTGTTCAGCTTCCGCCAATGCACAACTACCAGCCCGAAAAGGTTTACTTAAATTACTCGTACTGCGACGAAGTTTCTTTTTGCTACTGCTTACTTCAGTCTGTGTAAATCTGCATATATCATACATTTATATATGTGCTACAATTCAAATTTGCTTGCAGCTGTAGAATTTCTATAGATGTGTAAACAATAAGAAATTGGTACAATTTGCCTATTATGTTGTTTGTTGTTAGACGCAGGGTTTATGGCACACTTACCGGATGTTGCTTCCCGGAGCACCACTGATGACCAACAGGCGGTTGACCATTAAAGGCTTGGGTAAAACAGTTGTTCCGTTCTCTACAACACCGGCCGAATACCAGCTGTTGACGACATATTCCTGTGAGAATTCTTCTGACGCAGTTTGTTCAGCCACCTCTGAATTCTATCCAGGAACTGCTGGTGCCAATGGCTACCGTTATTATAATAAAATCTCCATGGACTGTGCGATTCGTAAGTATCCTTCCGTTGTTTAAAGTGGTGTATATTTCAAAGGTCATGACAATGCCGGTGAGATTGTGTTAGTACTTTGCAGAACCTGCATATTTTACGGTGGCCGCCTGCAACTACAACACCTACTGCATAGTTTATAGCTGTGCCAAGGCGAATTACGTTACCGAAATCTGCGTCGAGCCCATTATCTTTGTCAGCACCCGAGCTCGTCCTGATCAAATGCCCGACACAGTCCTAAAACGGATCGATCAGCTAGTAGATACGATTTTCGCTCCGTATTGCAAATCCCGCGATGATATCCCCAAGCAGATGTATACGGACGATAAACCGTTCTGCCCGCTTGATACACCGGTGCCAGAGTGCGTACAGCAGATAGTGAAGGGACTGGAGGAAGATGCGAAAACAACGGTTGTTGCCGATGCAACGCCAAATATTAGTGGTTCTGGTTATTAAAGAAGACCTTCTACCACTACTGCTTGGTTTAAACAGCACAATACATGATTTGGAGCACTTGTGAATGTTTGCACCAAATACAAAACGGTTTTGCACCCCATAAATGATAAAGTGGGAGTAGTGAAATGTTACATATTATGAAGTAAAGCTGACTACTATCCTAATATATATTTTGCAATAAGTGATCCGGTTATTTGGGGTGTTGGAATTGCTACACCATTTACAATGTCAGTGTCGATATTGTTTGGCATCAAACACTTTTTTAGCATGCATCGATCGTTGTATTGCTGGTTCGTCGAAATTGAATTGCCGTTTGTAAAATTGAAACATTTTATACTTCAGAGTAGTTTAGAACGCTAAACTGACATGAAAAAAGCCAAATTTAAGCTCAGTTAACGCCAGATCGGTAGATTTGGTACAGTTAAACGTTCGCGAAACTCAAATACTTATGTACGCACTCTATAGTAAGGTAGTTGTACGAGTATTTAGGACTCGCTCTGTTGTCTTCCGCCTTTGGGTCTTGAGAGGCCGATAGCAATTCTGTTATTCCGATAAGACGAACAGCAGTGCCCTGAAGATGACTTGTTTTTGCACTGGAGCTTATCGACTAAACAGTTTTCCTAGTAAGAAACGGTCGATAGCGTGACTGGGCAGTTTCCACATGAAATATTTACTAGATCCTCGAGGCGCTTAAAACAAGCTGGGCTCGAAGTCCAAATTCAGCTGTCCTGGTTTTATGGTCTGCCATAGTAGTAAATCTGCAATACATCGTCACTTTGGCCTAGTCGGATGGTATTAGCAGCGTCTACGTTTTTAAAAGATTATGGCTAACTGCGAGTAACTGAAAATCACAACAATACCTTGGAATCAAGTCGCTATATGTAAAAAGAAGATCCGGTGTTTTTCAGGAGATTTGGTGCCGTATATACGGCTATTTTCCAAAATGCATACGATTGGAAAGGTAATATTATTTGTGCCATCGACACGTCCCCGTGCTATACGTATGCTTGCATTCTTTGTTGTTTTTTTTTGTAAAAATACCAGTACACGTATAACCGTGTTGCAGGATTTCGTAGCTATAGTGACCGGTGGTGCTTCCGGTCTGGGTAGAGGAGCCGCGGAATTTCTCGCAGGCAAAGGAGCAACGGTGTTTGTCCTCGATCTGCCCGACGCCATTTCCAAATGGGCAACAGACAAGGACAACATTTGTTTGCGGGCTGCGGATGTAAGTGCACTGAAATCATTTGTGGTCATATTTTGTCCACTATTTTAGGCGCTGACATAAAACTGTTTGTTGGTAATTAAGAACTGAAGACGACGTCCAAATTGGCACAAATAAATATATAAAAACTGCCTCTAACGCCAGGGCAGAAAATATTTAAATTTCAAATATCAACGGCTAGGTAACTCATTACTTACAGTTGATGTGAATCTTGGCCAACAAGGTTACAAGTGAGGAACAAGTAACGGCAGTGATCGACGAAATCCGCAGCAAACACAACCGGCTGGACTGCGTTGTGACCTCTGCTGGAATACCGGTAACGGGTATTCTAACGTACGATGCCAAAACGAACACACCACACCCGATGGAAGATTTCATAAGATGCTACAACGTAAGTGCTTATTTATTTCAATTAAGTATATATAGCATATGTGCAATACATATTATATGCATATGCTGAAACAGGTGAACGTTTTCGGTACGTTCAACGTCATCCGTTTGTCCGTGGCGCTGATGAGAGAAACACAGACGCGACAAAATAAAGAAGGACCCGCTGTCATCATCACAGTCTCCAGCCGTACCATGGTTGATCCACCGGCCGAGCATGTTGCGTATTCATCCGGGAAGGCGGCCATTGCCGGGATGACCGTGCCGCTGGCTCGCGAATTATCGGAGTTTGGAATACGTGTCGTGGATATTGCACCAGGTAAGACTCGGATGTGCGCTTTGCATATATGTACTTACGGTAAGCAAAGGCAAGCATCTCCGAGCAAGAAGTTTGAAAAAGAGATGTTACAGTGGTACGATCCGCAATCATATTCGCATTAAGAACGTCACCGGTATCCCGACGATTCAGTAGGTATGATTTTAGGTCCCATGTTGACGCCCATTTTATTTCGTGATGGAGCCGGTGTTATTGCTCGGGAATCTATGCGATCGATGATGTTCCCGGTGCGCCCGGGTACACCGGAAGAGTTCGCCGATCTGGTGCGCTTTATCATTGAAAATCCCTTCATCAACGCGACGACAGTATTTTTTGACGGAGGCTACAGGAATCCGGCTGGTTCCACGTATCGTTATTCTAGGGAAGAATAGACTGCCATAACTGCAAGCATTGAGAGTGTGCAGTGCATTGTGCATTTAAATGGTTAGAATATATAAATGAAAACTCTGTAATTTTTACAACTCTCCGTCAGGTTTGCCAGTGCATACTAACATGTACTGCTCTAGTATGTCTACATACAGAGTAGTTCCGATGTATTTCGCTATCGGTACCGCTAGTGTGATAGTCTACTTGCAGTACTACTGTACTACCGCATGTGCAATGAATGATCTGCTCAGACGTGGAGTTGTGAATTAAACGTGAACCTGCTGAAGAAAGCTGTTGCTGCTATTTTCAAATATGCGACACTAGCGTTGTTTATACGCACATTTTCTATATAATGACGCGTTGCTACATACTGTATTAACAAAACCGTTTAATCGATTAAACAAAACAAAACGAACACTGAAGCCTTGTCATCCAGTGCCCCCTTGAATTATAATGGCAGCGATTGAGCCAATTAAAGAAGAAGACAGCGATAAATCGCAACCGACTCCATCCCGACCGGAAGCAAACAATGACGCGCGAAAGCCCTGGCTCCGGATTAACAAGCATCTGGTCTCGGTTAAATTACTCATGCTGTTGTTATACGGAGGTAATATTTATACTTCGAAGTACAGCATCACTGTCTAATTCAATAAGGGCCATCGTCTACGCATTGCAGGTATGACGGCCTTATATCCTTTCCTAACACTGCATCTGCGGAGTCTGGGTCTCACAGTGACCGATGCAGCTGTCATATACGCCATCCTCCCGTTCGTCAGCTACATTGGTCCACCGTTGTTTGGATATGTGGCACACCGCACCGGCAGCGCAAAAAGTGTTCTTATCCTAATCAGTCTTATCAGCATTGGCGTGCATGTGTTACTATGGTTAGCCGTCCCTGTCGTCATCCCCACTACGATCACCTATCAAAAGGTCACGCAGCAAATCAACACCGAGTTATACTGCAAAAGTGGGAAAATAATTTCATCACATGTCTTCCTTTCTCCTGCCAACGAAATTTGTTCAATTGCGTCCTTCGATAACACTTCCGTAACTGCAAACTGCCACGGAAATACGAGCACTTCTAATCAAAACAATGTGCCGAAAAATCATTACATCGTTAATCCCATGGATTTAGTACAGCCATTTGAGAATAAAACATTGTCGGATCACTGCAAAATGCCAAACCAGGAGAAAATCTTTTGTGAAATTCGCTCCAGTTTTGTGCTATCATGCAATAAAAGTGAATCGAGATTTTCAAGCCGTATGACGACCTTTCTCATATACCTCACACTGCGTATTGCGGCAACAGTTTGTATCAATACGGTGTTCTCGGCTCTGGATGCCACAGCTTACCGGCTAACAGAGGAATATGCAGGCGATTTGAGATTTCAAAGAACATTTTCCCTTCTGGGAGTCTGTATTTTTCCTGCCATTTCCGGGTGGATGATTGGTGGAGTTAGCGATCCTGACAGCGCTGCGGATTACTCGCCGGCGTTTAATATTTACTGCGCGGCCCATGCTTTGGCTACCGTTATCGTATGTTTTATGAGTGTTCCTCTTCCGCAAAAAACAGAAATCATTTGGGCAAATGTACGGCGAGTTTTGGAAAATCCCCGAATCTGTGGATTCGTTTTTATGGTATTCTATGCTGGCTGCGCTTGGGGATTCCTGGAGAGGTTTGGCTATATGTACAGTGCAATTTGAAAAATTTCGTCAGTTATATATGCTGTATTGATGCCTGTTGTACAATTAAAAAATAGATTTTTTTATAAAGACATTTTAATTTTTTCAGGATTTTTATGGTGCATGCAACGTCCATTTATTTGCAGCTATCTGTTTTTGTTCATGGATTATATTGGCTCCCCAAAATGGTTGCTCGGTCTGACCAACACAGTTTCGGCTGTGTCGGCGATTCCGCTTATTGCTGCTTCCACCATTATCGTCAAATACGTTGGCCATACCAACCTAATTATCTGCTGCGTTATGCTGTACGGATGCCGATTTATCGCTTATTCCTTCATCAGCAATGCTTTGTTGGTGTTGCCGGTGGAAATCTTGGAGGCCTTCACGACTACATTGCTGTGGGTGGTCATTTCCGTGTATTGTGGCAAAATCGCGCCGGCCTATTTGGCTACAATACAAGGCATTAGTGCCAGCGCACATAATGCTTTCGGTATTAACATTATTATTTTGTACAATACGGTATAATCCACAGAATGATATAAAGTACATTGACTTATTAATCAGAATGAAGATTTAAAAACGCCTCAAATACGTAGTGATAATATTATATTTACAGTACAAGTACATAAAATTTTGTTTGACCTCGACAAAATTTAATAAACAGTTACTGTGCTACATCTGTTAGAAGTTCAATGATTTACAGAAACTTTGTTCAGTAATAAATTTACAAATGGCTGCGCCTGCTAAGACAACTTTCTAAATAATAATAATTACCGTAAACAGGTACCGTAGATAGTAGATACTATTAATGCAGAATGGCGAAGGACCATGATGTAGAATAGAGTGCAAACCTTAATTAACTCTGAATAAGATCTTATACGTACTGTAGCAGATTTTGGTTTATCCGTGTACAAGGATCACCTTGCAGGTAATCCTGTTCTTATCGCCTCTGTAAAACTATCACGATAAATTAATAGTGTCTGTGAGTTTGCACTTAATTTATATTACATTTGTTGTGCAGGACGAAGTGTCGGTAGTTTGGTTGGAGGAATACTTTTCGAACAATTTGGTGCACGACTGACGTACCAAATATTTGGAGGCGTATCCTTTGGTGTGGGTTGCGCTTATGCTACTTTGTTCTATTCCTGTCTTCGAAAACTTCCGTATATGAGGCCGGAAACAATAGTGCAACATGGTACGCTTGTTCAAAGATTTCACACAATATGCTGTCCACAGAAGTATACTAACGTATTACACTTCATTACTAATTATGTACAATATGTGCCGTATGCAGCGCGTTATGGCCTGTAGCTAAACATATCAGTCATTATAATGCATTGCTTGATTACACATAAAATTAAATTGTATGTAAATACTGTACATATATATCTTCTTAAAACTGTAATGGAAATACTTGCTGCGAACTCCATCAAGTGCTAAATTTACGCAACAGTTCCATTTTTGGGGAATTGGGACTTTGGGAGCAAATACATAAAAAACCTATCAACAGTGCTCTTGTTAATTATTGGTATAGGTGAAAAGACAAGCACTCCCGGTGCCGAATGCGAACTAATTAATTTGGATGAGAGCGAACATCTACGACAATTAGCGAAAATGGATGCTTTTTCTCGGCGGTATAGCTTGGGTGTTCCGCGCGTGACCCCACGATGTTCCCGCGCTGATCTGCGCTGGAGCCCGAGGATATCCCGTTCAACGGACAATCGTCCACCCCGAATAAAACGTAAAGTTTACGCAATTCAGAATTTGCAATTTTTTTTGTAATTTTCCACATGATTCATAATAATTTTTATGCGCAGCTAACGCTAGGCGCTAATTGTACACCAGGCTTATACACATTTTTATTTATCGAAATTCTTGTACAAGTACAGTAAGACCTTTTTTACAAGCATTTAATGTTTAAAACAAATTCGTCAGACAATGCTTTTGCATCTTATAAGCAGCAGCGAGGGCCAGGAAAGACAGTCAGCGCAAGATTTCCCAACTGAGCAAGGAAGACGAGGAAGATTTACAAAAGTTCGCCCGGATGGACGCATTTACCAGGCGTTACAGCACGGCTATGGTTGTTTTGGATAAGAGTACTAAACAAAGCCGTCAGGGATCTGTCGCGGAATCGTCACAACGATTAGACGTGGCAAAACCTCGAAAATCTTCCTTGCGTGTTACCATTGTTTATTAAAAAATGTTCAAGATATAATACTAGTATCTGCAAATGTGACTTAATTAATTTTTCTTATGATCTTTAGATTGGCGTGGCTTGTCCCAGCTGCACATAAGCACAAATATATCAAGTTTAATCTGTGTAACGAAACCGGGCGCTTTAGTATTTGCCACTTTTATTTCGATCTTTTGCTTCGTTTTTGCATTTTTGATAGTTGCTCATGCATAATTAGTGGCAACCTGTGTGTTTCGCAAAAACAACATTTTGCATAAAAATCTCCTGTACCCAGACCAATTAATTAAAACCGGTAAAAAGCAGTGCGTGAAAGCTGGAGAAGCGTAAATTTAGTGATTTATTTGGAGTACATGGTTTCGGTGATCCAGTCGAGTACGTGAGCAGTGCGACCGTAGACGCCAGGGTAACCAGCCTGAGCGCAGCCACTGTAAGAACACCAATTCATTAAATACATGCACAACTGCTCCACTGATTAATCACAACTTACCGGCCCCACGAGGTTACACCGACCAGGACGAATCCAGGCTGGCCATCAGCGCGGTCGCAGACCAATGGGCCACCACTGTCACCCTGGCACCTGCAACGCCAATCATCATTAAGCGGTGTTCCTGACCTTTACACGGATGCGCCCATCCCTGTTGCCACCCTGTCGCTAAACGAGGAGGACCTTGGTAAAAAAATAGTGGTACTTACGTGTCTTTGCCGGGAGCAGCAGCGCAGACCATGCTGTCATCGATGACACCACCGTACTGGGTGTTGCAGTAGGACTGTTCGCTGATGTTAACGTCCACCTGGTGGATGACGGAGGTACCGCGCAGCATGTTGGCCACATCCTTGGGCAGTTTGCCGGCATCGGCGGCTTCGATCAGACGAAGGTATTCGCCGAAGCCCAGAGCGGTGCGTTTGCCGGTGTTACCCCAGCCGGTGACGTAGCATTTGCTGCCGGGAGCACCATCGGCGGCGGTGGGCAGGCAGACGGGGACGATGGTGCGGCTGAATTGTGCAGGCTGTGGAGACAATACAACGGTACGGTCAATAACAGTGCGCCATTAATTACGGTGGGGATGGTGTACCTCTTCCAGTTCGAGTAAGCAGAAGTCGTAGCGGGTAGCCGGGCGACTGCCGTAGGTGGGGTGCATAACGATGCGGCGCAGAGCGTGCACCTTGGAGCCCTCTTCGGGGTTGGAGTAGCGATGACCACCCAACAGGACTTTGGAGTTGGATGGGCTGCGTCCGGCACAGCAGTGAGCAGCGGTCATCACCCAGCGGTTGCTGATCTGTAGATTATTCAGTTACTTATAACCGTCTTAAGTCCATTCTGGACTACAAGTAGTCGCTAGTTTTAGTTTTTAATGTTAATTGGCAAATACTTGTAAAAAATTATACATACATATTTCTTACTTTCCAGTGAATGCAGTTAAGCATACAGCATCGTACAGTACATATCTACGTATTATGAAGTGTTGTAAATCGGCGCTCTAACTATAGGAAATTAGAATATTTAAGAACCGAGTTTATATACCAGCGTACAGAGCAAAAAGTAACACGTACCACAGAGCCACCGCAGAACTGCGATCCACTGGAGGTGAGGAAAGCCACCTGCCAGGGCCACGAATGGGGAGTAGCTTCCTGTCCACCGACAATGCGGGTGGGTTGCAGATTGGGCGCAATGGGAGCGATACCGCATTCGGCGTTGCAGTACTGTTCATCGATGTTACCAGGGCATTCGTCGGCGACGTTGTTGCAGTAGGCCGAAGGGGCGACGCAGTGCGTCTCACTGCCGGGACACAGGCTGGTACCCGGAGCGCAGAACTCGACTATATGTAAAAAACATTCCAATGAAGAAACACGAACCCAGACATCCACACAATCATATAGGTATGATAATTTTTTATTGTATGAGACAACGTACGTGCTGGTGAAAGCTAATATTTTGTACGATAATTTCTGCAGCTATGGAAATGAAGCTGTGATTTTTTTCGATACCAACGGGGTCCGCAATAGTCATGCACGATATATACAATATGGCTTATTGTCAGCACTGACCTTTGATGGAGACGTTGAATCCAGCTCGCTGGACGCTGCTGTCAGATCGGAAAACAGCGGTAATTTCGCCGGTGCGGCTGCGCACTTTGCTGGGTCCACTGCCGGAGGAGCGGGAGAATTCAGTGAGGGCACCGTTGACCACTTCGCTGAGGGCCAGGTAGTCGTAGTTGCTTTCGGTGTCGAAGCTGACGGTGTTGAACTGCAGAGCCTTTCCAGCCGGGCCACTGATGGTCCAGGTGCAGTCGGCGTTGTTGGGGTACTGGCCAGGGAAGCCAGGCGACGTGATATAGGAGGTCTTTCCATCCTCCACGGTAACATCACCTCCGCAAGCGCTGCTGGCTGCACAAACGTACGAAACACTTTGTCACAATGCGGCAACATAGTGACGATCCGGCACAATTAATGCCACAGATATGTTTTTGCAGATATTATTGTTTCCATTACAACAGCAGATTGCACTAAAGATTGCTACCAGTTGTTGAAAGTGATAAAGTACTTACGGGGAGCTCCGTCGGTAACCCGGATGGCCACTTGGAAACCAGAGTACTGGACACTGCCGTCCGTGCGGAAAGAGACGGTCTGCAATAAAACAGCAATGATTATTTGAACGTGTAAGGTAGGAATATATACGCAAATTGTAATATATGGTTTCGAAAATTTTGCCTTACCACAGAGGCACCGGTAACGAAGTTATTCGGGCCACTGGTGCCACAGAACGATTGAGATCCAATGGTCAGGGCATCGTATGTGCACGAGCCACCTTCCAGGTTGAAGGCGATGGAGCTGAACTACAAGCAAGAGCGACCGTTGTGTCAGTTTATATTGCACGTCAATCTACGCATGAAGTGAAAAATATTTAAACTATGTTTATATATAGATATTAAACTATGTAAGTACATATACGCGAGTACTAGTATATTTGGAGTAGACTCAGTAGAGCGCACAAGCGCGAGACCAGAAGTAGTCGTTACTTCAGTTGGGCTGCTAGATTTCCTTTGTCAGTAACAAATACTACTTATATTACTCGTATTTACATGCTTTTTCTTAATTTTTTAACGATGAATCAGTAATAGATCAAGGTATTATTTATACGAGTATTTATTCTAGCGGTTGAAGGTTCATAAGGAGATGTGATAGTACATATAACTCACCTCAAGTCCCTTTCCGGCAACTCCACGCACACTCCATGTGCACTGGGCGTTGTTGGGATACTGGTCGGGATAATTGGGTGACTGAATGAGGACTGGAGAGCCTTCACCAACGGTGATGGAGCCACCGCAACCTAAACAAAATTTCCATTGAACATCATTTATTGTATAATAAATTCCGGATGCTATGTTGTTTACTTTGCCCGTTGACGGCAACGGCCGCAGCCAGTAGAACAGCGGCAATGGTCAACATGTTTGCAGAGGTAATAATTCCGTAGCGGAGAAAAGAAAATGGATGCTGCTGTTGCTGATAAATATGTTCTTTATATAGTCCAGCAACGTTGCCACAAAAATTAGAATGCGGATATCAGTGGCCTTTCTGGTTTCCTGGTACGGGCTGATAAGAAGATTTATTAGCGATTGTTGTAATTTTCACGAACAATCTTGGAATATCGTGTCCTTATTAGTGAGTCAAAGGCAGTTGGACATGTGATTGTGATAGGAAATAGCATTATCCCCAATATTTATGAAGTAAGCGGTTATCTGTTAAGACGACATTTATCGTGTGCTCAACCATATTAACCGTATGTGCTCACCTACAATAATTAATTAAGCGCTTCCATTTTACAGCACAGTAATTAGTATCTAAACAAATCGGCTTCCACACAGTAGTGTGATAAAGAAACTAAACATACAAATCATACTGATACGGATACTGAAATCGTGCGCGGCACACCATCGCCCGTGACCTCGAAAGTTCTAAGGCTTTAATATCGCAAAAGGTCTTCCGACCTCGTAACACCCTTCTAGGATCGTTGGGTTTAAACTGCATTAATTTTATCAGTTGTGTAACTCCAATCCTACTTTAATTTAGAATTTCCACTTTTGACCGCTGCATTTCAAATTACCAAAAAATAACTGCGACAGAGTCCAATTTATTGAGTATTACATAAAATAAACATACAGTAACTCACCGCTTCCCTTTGATCTCCGCATCTAAACAGACATAATTATGCTAAGAGTACATAAAACTGATTAAACGAATCAGTCAGCGATGCCGCCGGTGCAATACAGTATTCTAGAAATAATTATCGAGTTCACTAATTATAATTTTTAATAAAAATGGTTAGTCTGCGCAAGCGACGCTTTAAGTTAACTCATCTTCAGTCAGCATCTGTATTGAACAGTACAGAAGTAAAATCATCACAGAGACGAACTAGCGTAGTACCAAAACCATCTTGCAGAAGCGGTAGTTTCAAGTTATTCCGCAATTCACAGGAGAATTTAGAAGAGTAACAATTAACCTGTGTCAGGCAGCAGCGTTCTAAGACAGCCGTTCTTGCTGGGACAATCGATTACTTGCAAAATCAACATGCCTACACCAAAAATTACCCCGAATTACACCAAAAATTACACCGAAACCAAAAATTATCAACATCGCTGAGATTATCCCCGGGCAGGACAAACTATCTGTACGTTATTCCTCTTGACAATCCGGCAACAAAATTCAGAAATTCATTTTCCAAAATTCTGAAGTACAACAACAACAAAACCGCTGCATAACCGCTGGCGGCAGTAGAGATATATATATATATATATAACAAGGCGAACGCAGCAACAACACTTTGTACCTCAATATTCTGCCTAAAAACAACGAAACTTACAAAATGTCCATCGACTACATTTTATCACAGACTCTAAAGTGAAGATCGCAAAGCAAGGACGCGGAAAAGCTCTGCACGCTTGAATCGCCATGATGGAGGCGATCCCAACCGTTATTACTGATAACATTAAAAAATGGTTTTGTGTGGAAAACGTTTACGTCAAGAGAGATTTTCAATTTTGGATTTAAACTACAAAAAAGATCTAGTTTAAAACGGTTATTCCCGATTCTAAATTTTAAATTCTCGGCGAGAATGTACTGGGCTAAGGAATGTTCAGTTCCAAGTTTTCAACTGGAAAAAGCGGTGTAAACAAGTGTTTTAATTTCGATGTTCTGCAGAGTGGGAAATTTAATTTCTACATACTACTTGTACCTTTCCGCATCCTTGCTTAGCGTTATTATCAACAACCAACAAAACAACAACGTCATTCATTCTTGCATGCTGGTATTCCAAGAGTCGGCCTTCAGCATGGAATCGGTATTGCAGTTCTGGTGGCGAAAACTGTCGGACTGGATTTTCCAGGTACCGCTCTTGGCGGTGATGACGAAGGTCTCGAAGAAGTTCAGCACGCCCTTCAGATTCGTGGAACGCTCATCGTAACTGGAACTGGACGGATCACCGCGGTTACCGTAGCGCACATGTCCCGCAACCGAGATGACAATGGCTGGCGTGCCGCCCAGATACTTCTCTGCAAAAACACAACGAACACATGCAGTTTGTAACCCATTCGACAAAACTAACCCTGAAAGTAACAAGTCCCCACTTCAGCAAAAAAAATCAGAAAAAAGCTTACACCATCTTCACACTCTGGCTCACCGATGTAATTATAGCTAGCAAAATATAGCTTGACGTACTCGTACTTCTGATTGTGTTCATACCGTCAATCTCGTGGGCATCAAAGCCTTGTATCGTCGGTGTGCATTTGGGTAGATTTTCGTAGAACTTTCCAATCGCCTCCGGACCGCAATACCCATGGCCATTGAAAATCAGTTTACCACTTTCTTCGTACATACTCTTCACCAACTGCAAACAAATAGAATCCATAAATAAATGCGCTGGATGGGTAGATACGGGCCAGCGACTTACGTGTCGCTCGGTGTTCAAGCGCTGATAGAAGCGCTCCGTGAATGCTTTGGCTGTCAGACAAGTCTGAGATATCCGCAATTCGCGGGCTGTCAATGCTTGCGATGCCATGAATGATACGGCGAAGGATTCACTTAGGAATTAGGATTGTACTGCAACTCTCGAATGCGGCCAACAGGGACACAGGGAATAAATTTTCCAGAGATTCCGTCCCAGACTTTCCACACGCACGGACGATTGACTCAGTTTGACTGTTCGCTCATGCAATGACTGCAACGAATCCGATTCCGGATAATTTCAGAGGACGAAATCAACACTTCTGCGCTTCCGTTCTGGGTCCTTGTGGTAAATGTATAAACCTAAACACTACACAGCATAAACTGCAGAAATTGAAACTTTCTATACCAGATTACCAGCACTCAATAAGAACAATTTTGAAAAATAAAAATTTTAAAACTTCAAAGTTTAAACAATTAAACTGACCAAAAATGTGCGAAAACTCAGAACAGATACGAACCCCAGCAATCTTTAAGAGAGTCGTACCTATTCTTAAGCCACCCGCCGAGGACGTTGTTTAGTAACCGGGCAGAAAGTCAGAATCAAACCCATCTCTAGCTCGCTACCTGTATCATGTGAACATTAATTTTTACTGTGGCAATAGTTTTCATTTAAAAAATAAAAGCATCGCATCTTTTTTGGTTTTTAAGCTATTATTGTGGGAATATTTTGTTTTTATTGCAAGGCGCAGGTATGATCCTATATAGTTATATAGGATTGTTTAGTGTTGCATCATAACTGTGGTTTGATCTTTTGTTGGAACTTGGAGGCATTGCGTGGAGAGTGTAGCTCAGAGTTTGATCCCGTTATTTTGCTGTTGCAGGTGCTAATCCACCAACATGTCGCTACCAGCTCACGAAGAACGGGAGGAAAACGATGAAGAAATCCGCCGTAAAATTATGGCCGGTGAATTCTGGGCGCCACCCTTTGATCCGCGATTTCCCAACCAGAATCAGGCCAAGCGCTGCTGGGTGAACTACCTAGACTACCAGCGCTGCAAGAAGCTGAAGGGCGAGGACTACGAGCCGTGCTACTACTTCAAGAAGGTGTTTCGTACTATCTGCCCTCATGCGTGGGTGGCCAAATGGAACGAACAGCTGGAGGCCGGAACACTACCATTTGATTTTGAACAGGATTTGCGGGAACATAGTGGAGAAGCCACCAAGGATCATGGCAAGAAACATCATTGAAACTTAAACGAAAGAGCAAATTCGGTGCTTGTGGTGTGTTTCTGTTAGCTGTCTGGTGTGATTGATTCGCTGTACAGGGATTCGGATGTCAAACGCCGTTATCGTTGGATTAAACATGGTCCCACACTGTCGATGGTATGCTTTGCTGCTTTATTATCGCAGTATACATTTGTCGCTCATTCATTTATGAGAGATCACTTTTGAGTAATAAAAGTTGATTGTAATCTTTTAAACTAAATGCAGTTTTTTCCGATGTTCATTTTGTCGAAATCAGCATTACGTTTCTGCAGTCCATGACTTCTTTGCTCTCCTGATTTGGTTCTGTAACTTCAGATTGGAACCTGATTTGGTTCTACTACTCACCATCAGTAGTTTTCTAGGGTAGTTATTCTAAAACTTAAGCAGTTTTATAACTTGCTAACTTACTTTTTACGAAGGGTTTCATCTCAGCCAATACACTCGCAGTTTGTCATTTCAAGCATTTCGATTTGGAATATGCAGATTTGCATTACTGGACTTGCAGAAAATTTCCCACAGTTTTATCATTCACTTCAAAATTCAGGCTGTTATTGAGCCATAACCCGAACCAGTATGAACGGCCGAATCATTATTCTCATCTAAAAATTATTAGCACTCTGACAATTATGCGCTGCACGGTGCCGCAGAAAAACTATCATAAGGAGTATCACTGCTACAGATGCATTTATACAGCTGATCAGAAAGGCCGACCACTCAAAGGATATCACATCAATTAGCGAACCACCAATTAACGGACCGAGAAAAGCGCCTAATGAGAATGCGGACGCAAATAATCCCGATCCCAGACCGTGTGTATTCACATCATCTCGGAAACCGTTTCTCCTAAAAAGAATACACTGCAGTTACTAGTATGTGGACAGTTTAATAGACAGTAACCACTAACCGGTGAAAAATCGCTACTCACTGCTTACATGAAATTACAACAAGTGGTTTTAGTAATTACGAAGTAAACGATTTCTACCGCATACCAGCACTAAACGCCAATGCGATGGCGGACTTGACACCTGGAGTACATATGTAATGCTTGGTCTTGAATACAACTACCGTTCGTTATTAATAATTCAACACCTTTGTCATTTCATCAGCCGGTATAATTAAACATTATCGTAAAATTAATTTGTTAATACAAATTCGCTACAAAAACCATCTATTTAACAGTTTTGCGTATGCCGTAATGGCGTTGCCACTTACAATGCTGCGGTCAACATATCCCGCAGAGGCGGCACCAGCTGACCGCCAACCCCGATCCCATGTAACAAGAGTGCCAATATGACGATCCATAATTTCCTATCAAGCCAACAATCTCACGATACCCATACTTCTTCCGGAATCGGTATTATTGTACAGCCCACACTACAGTGCGTATTTTATAGTCTATTAAGATATATATGTGGGCATGCGCTGAATCAAAATTAAGTCTTGTCGGCTAACATAAGCAACATATACGGCAATTATAATTTTTTTATAACAAACTGTAAGCGCGTGCGTACGTTTTGACACCAAGAAACGGAGCCGGTCCCATGAGTACCAAGGCAGTGGACACAATACAGCTTCCACAGATCATGAGATTCTTTGGCTGCTTCATCCGGTCCGCCGCTGCGCCCCACAGAGGCGAAAATAGAGCGTAGGATCCGGCTGATGCGAGAAAGACCAATCCCACTTCGAAAGGTGAACTCAGAAACTAGCGGAAAAGAGAAAATTAATTCGAAACACCTGCCAGCATGGAAAGGCAGTTTGTGTAACCGATTAGTCTACCTTATCAATATGCAATTCCAGAGATGGCTCGTAGAATCCAATGGACATAGCACCGCAGACAATTGTCATACCGGAAACGAGTACATCAGGAATCCTGAGCAGATCCCACAGGGATCCGGATGCATGGTTGATTACTGCAAGCAACCAGACGCAACGGTGTTAAAAACCAGCAAAGACAGTTCAATGAGAATTTCACGGGCATCAGTTGATTAATTTTCTTTACCCTTCCGGTGGGCACGAGAATCATTTCGAGATCTAGAGTGCATTTGCAACGCAAATGTAGAGAGCAGTCCCGTAATTACAAGAATGCTTCCTACGACAGCGAAAGGCATCCAGTAGCCGCCCGCCTAAACACCAGATCCGTGAGACATCTTCGGAACTTCGACAGCAATATAACTGCCCGGTTTTACAAATTATCAATGCAAAGATCGGTACTAGTTCTACGCAGCAAATAGTAAGCACTGCTGTTGCAGTATATACAGCCGGCAATCATTCAGCTTACGGTATATAACGCACCGCCAATTGTCGGTCCGGTACTCAACCCCAAGCCGCTCGCTGTTTCCAGCAGACCCTACAAAAATATTATTATTATTATCAAGATTGTATTAAACTATATAAACTGTATTATATTTAATATTATAACAAAACATACAGTCACCGTAATTTGTTTTGTGACTGTACGTTGGATGTGAAACTTCGTCAGTTATTTATTGTTGTTTAAAGTCTGAAAGGTAACCACTGTAAGATTGGCACATCCGGTACCAATTTCGCTCTTGTTTATTAATTTATCATTTATGGAAGCCCAATCAAGCACTAAAAGTTGCTACCTGTACAAAAGCCATTCTAGCTGGATATTCAGTTGCCGCGATGCAGAATGACGCGGTCAGGTAGGCACCGGCCCCGACGCCCTCGACGATGCGGATGGCAAAAGCCAGTGCGATAAACGCATGAAAATCCTCTACCATCGATAACAATCTACAAAGACCGGAAATTACTCCATCGGCAGCGAACGCGAAGGATACTTACTTAGACGGTAATCGTAATAGTTACACAGACAACGCAGTACTATCTGTGCAACACTACCGTACTATAGACCACTACGCATTTCTGCTGCATACTGCACATGTACAGTTCACATTCATAGTCCAGTTACTTATTTACCCGAAGAGCGCACAGGCGGTGCCGGTTACGAATGTTCCCGCGACAAACAGGAATGTCGTTCCCAGGTGGCTGACCTAATAATGCAAAGCCAGGAAAGTCAGATGCCGGATTGAATTTCGTACGCAAAATACAGTAAATGTGCCGTGGCCAATATGGAGACGTACATGCTTGCCGACTTGCGGACACACTAAAAAGACCACCAACTGGTAGCAGCCAAAAATCCATGAGGCCAGCGCTTGTGTTCCTCCTTTTGTAACAACCTGGAACATTATTTGTCAGTTTTATGCACAGTGTCCCAGTTTGCGGCGATCTGAACATGATACATCATATAAAAAGAAACAAAGTAGAATTACTCGAGATTAAAGCATGCCTCTTTAGGGAAGAATGGCGCTATCAAGGAAAAGCAGACAAAATTGCAGTAGTTAACCACGAACATCATCCCAATTAGATAGACATCCTGCTTGCGCAATCTCCCTGTACTGCGATCGGGATGAAGGAGGGGATCGTCTTCTTGGCACACCGCACCAGGGCTGTCATGATCAGGCATAATAATATTGTAGCGATAGAAATTAGATGTACCGCCAGTAGGAGTGTTAATTGCCTTTCTCTACCGTTTATTGGTTGTTGTGTTATGAGGATCAGAATCCTAGTTTTCCTACTTTCACCGACCGCATCTCACGGTCAGAAACATCTTGAAATTAGTCTTGCTGCAGCTTGCTCCGAATCTTGCTAACGCGCCTTCCGCGCTTCTTGCTCAACGCTTATGCGTCTTGCTCCTCAGCTTGCGTTGCTCGCCGAATCTTGCTAGTGTACTTGCTAATAAACTCATGCGATGACCTTGTGTTGTGTTGCGTAATCGCCATGGGATGATCGTGCATCTCCCATCATTGCCACCATGTAAACGGTAGTCAGCTTCCGGTCAGCATCGCTGCCGACCGTGCCAGCCTTTCCCACACTAACAGCCGACAGATCGTGGTAAGGTGGATTAACCAACCCACTAGAACAGCAGTCAAACCGGCTGCTGTTACATGGCGCTCCTGGTTTCCGAACCAACCCGACAGGATACCAGGAAGCCGACCGACGCCATCATTTTGCCAGTTGTCGTTCAGTGAGTTGTTACTTTTTTGTAATCATCGGTAGCACTATTGCGAATTTTCGATTTTAGTGTATAATTCTGGCCAAATTAGACATTTGAATTGCATAATTCCCATTTTGCCGCTGTTTTTTGCATAATCGTACATAACTTTCTGAGTGGCTTTTGTGCAAAAATATTAACATAAAATTTCGAAAGTACATTAGCGAAATTATTTACTAAATTAAAATTGCGAATAGATTGATTACTGTAACTGTTTGGCTCTTAAAAAATTGTTGGAAATCATATTATTTTGTCATTGCCGATAATTTTGCCACACCCTGTCCTTTGTCTACAGTACATATATACAGTACATACTGTAGCAAAATTATTGAATACTGTGTTCCCGCATCCGATGAGACTGTAAGAGCACAGACAGATCTTTTCTCCATGGGAAAGCATTAAGCGTTCCGCTCAGCAGATCCATGGAATCTTCAGAGAAGATTCTTCTCCTGTCTCTTCTGAACTGTTCGTCAAAGTCAGAGCTGCGCTGGCTTAGCGAACAATTCAGTCTAAACATTAACAAAGCGAAGAAGAGACAGCATTTTGTGGAAAAATTATCTGCATACATATCGGCAAATAATATTCCATTGTCAAGTGTGCAGCAGCATCTGTTACAAGCAACAACTGATGACCCAAAGCAGGCACACCGAGAGATTTCCTTGCACACTCTTCCCGTGGGCAGTCAGACAGCCGTAGTCACAGGCACAGACAGTACACAGCCACAACCCGTGCCTGCAAGTTCCCCTGCTTCCAGCACAGTGAGCGAGACAGAACAGACCACTGAATGGCTAGTGCAGCGTCGCATCTTACAGTCTCTTCCCTGAACCTGAGCTGTATAGAGAGAAGTACCAAAATCTCAGTCGTTCGCTAACGGAAGGAAAGCTACTTTCTGGATAACGCAGTGCTTATGCAGATCCGCCGTGCTGCTCTATCATGCATTCAGCAGACTGACGACAACTCAGTCATTGCAGCTATCCGCTGCCCAGCACGCAGCCAACTTTATGCAGTGGCTTAAGCAGCCCACCACAGAAGCACGCACAGATAGCACTGCATGCGCATCAACGGAAGCGAAATTATCTGCGCATACACACCGCGCCCATATTGATAATACGAGTACGAGTAAAATTAACGCCGGTAAATTAAACGTGCACAGTGCACGCATATTATCAGCTGTTTCAACAGAACCTACATTAAATGAACTGGAAGATTATAGAGCAACCAAATTAAAACTGCTGCGTTGCAAAAGTACACAGACGGTACCGATATTAATGATTTCTTTAATGAAATGGAGAAATTATTCTATGAAATTAATCCTGACATGCCGGAAGCACAAAAAGTCGAAGAAATACACCGTGCATTCGACTACAAATTAAAACACCGAAAATTTATGATCGGTTTGAACACTGTTCACAAAATACGGTTAATGCTCATAAGATTAGACAAGTTTGAGCATAAAGAACAATCTCGTTTACCACCAGACCCGGTTGAGATTACAACGGCTAACCAACGGGATGATGACTACGACTACAATAGTCATCGGTCAGTACGTGCACAACGCCACTATGCACCTGACCAGCAAAATATTACAATGGAACGTGGTTTTGACCGTTACCGCGACGCCGACGACTATCGATACGAGCACCACACTCCAAAGCAAAGGAACTGTTCCCAAAATTACCGAAGAATCCATCCTCGACATATCGACTTCGACAGCTACAGACTGAAGAATGGAAAGCTATTTTGCCCGAAATGCAAAGATTTCCTGCATTCATATCGAGAATGCACAGAAGCCGACTACGACGATAAATACAGTATTCAACGCATATGCCCGGACCATGTCAAAGCCAGAGTACAAACTGCATATGACGACTACATCTCCTACATGCTCTGGAAATATGGAGACGACTTTTGGTTCACCGCTCAAGGAAAACGGATGAGACGTTACGGAAAAGGAGGTCCATATGGACGTGACTACGTTCCACCTGTCTGCTACACTGAAGCCGAAGTTAAATTATATAACCCTCAACGGGATGCCACTACACCACGAAGTACACGAACATTAGGCCAGCGTGTACGGATGCCGACTGTGCATTTCAATGTGTCCGAACCGCTAATTCCTCGGACACCGTACATTAAAACTGATCGCCGTCACTCTTCCAGTGCGAGTCCAAGTTACAACAATGACTCACAGTATCAGCCCACTACGTCAACACCAGAACCTTTGGAAACATTAAGCCCTACACCGCTCGCCGGCACCAGGAACAACCCGCCGCCACTTTCCATCATAAAGTCTACAGTGGACACAATGGATGCCACCGTGACCGCTTCGCCGTCTCGCCGCGACCAGCCGACGTTGCGAAAAGTTAATTCGAAAGCATCGTTATCACCGCTGAATACAACAAGACCTGAAGTGCTAACGCCATCCAGCTGCACTTCCTCTGATTCATGCATCTCACCTTCCGATTCTGAATCGCCGGTAAATGATCCCTACAAACCGCAACCGGCATGCGATTTAACCAGTTGTACAATGGAAAACATTAAAACGGAGAAAGCCGGTACACCACAAAACGGCTATGATTTCGTCACAATCCCAAATGTGCATAAAATTAAAACTGCAAATGTGTCATATTACTGCGCCATGTGCTACACCATGCACGCCACAATGCGGACAATATCGAAGCGCATATGGCACGACATATATTGACGTGGGACACATTAATATGACATCCGTCCTACATCCTACGCTCTATTGCGATCTGTTCTAGAATTTACCTCAAGTCTTCCACTAATCGCCGCAATTTAAAATTTTCCTCCATAATTTCCTCGTTTTCTTTCTGAACAGTGGAAAGGACGGATTCATCAGCCATATCGTCCGCTTGAACCGATTTGTCAGTAACTTTTGACCTTACTATAACCAAGTATATACACAATGTATTCTTTGTAAATTTAGAAAATTCGAACCTCGATTAAGAGAAATAATATGTGAAGCATAAAGTATGCGAATCTCTGATCAATATTGGCCTCAATCAATATGGCCAGGGTCAAAAAGATCTCGGTGGCGACCTCGGGGACCCTGGTTCGAGGTCCCCGAGCACTTCAGTTCGACTCAGCCCTTCATACTGTGCAAATAATGAGAAAATCTTGGTGGCGACATCGGAGACCTGGGTTCGAGGTCACTAAGTACTTCATTTGAACTTCGAAAAAATTCCTCCCTCTTTTTGACCATATCAAAATTCCTCCCTCCCTCGCTTTAGAATTCTCCCTCTTTTTGACCAGGCAGAAATTCCTCCCTCTCCAAATTCCTCCCTCTTTTTGACCCTGGCCGATCAAGGCCGACCGCTTATGATGGTTCGATGTGGATAACTAAAGTTTTTCACTTTCTAGATTGTGCCAAATCTTGTAATAAAAAGTGCTCAGATCAACAGCTGTTGTATTAATTTCATAATTTCCGGTTATATATACGAATGATAGACAACTTCAACGAATATTACAGTAATCATTACTGAAACCGCTCTGCAATTACAGTGCATTTATAAACTATACATACGGTACTTCTATCAAAAGTCAAGGCGTAACTATTACGCCTGAACAGCAGCTAATAAAATTATGCTCTTACCTTGAATTTCCACATCACAAACCGTAAACACATCCGTCCTGCGCGCCGAAGTGCGATCAGAAAGATGACCCTGATATCCCAGATCTAGTTCATCATGCTCGACGGTGCCGGTTATGGACAGAGCGGAAATGCTGCTGGCACCGTTGGAAAATGTCCCCGGAATGAACCCACTACTTAACGATCCCGATGCGCGTGTACCTAATCGCACGATACGTGCAACAGATTCATAGTATAAATGATTACTTAATTGCAGATGGGTTGTCCTGGTTTTCGTTACATTACAACTACGTACTATTATCATACATTGTATCTACCACCGCGTATGCAACATTTCAACAAATTTATGGGTGTTTCCGCGGCAATCAACAAATTGGAAAGAAACGTCGGTAAACATAACAAAATTCGCTGAACTGACGCGCACGCTGAAAAACATCCCAGCCTAAATCATACTAAACAAAACACTTACGGGGGACGGCGCGACCTTTGGGTAGGGTTGATGATAGGTGCGAAGAAGGCAGGGAGGGACGCGAGCGAAGATGTTGTTGTTGTTGCCGTTCTACTCTGCGTGCCGCATTGGTGTGGATCTCCCGGATGTACGGGCTCTTCGATGTCGATGCGGGATGATCAATTTTGGAAGACTTGGTCGACGTCTCAGACCAAATATGGCCCACGCTGCTGGTGGTTTTACTGTGCAAATAAAAACACGCGCGGTGGATTGCAGTTCGATCAATGGACTTTATTTGCCATGTATTGTTGCAAATGAATCCATTGTAAATAATACAAAGCTGTATAACGTAATTTGTTGAAGAGTAGAGTAGTGATATTGGTGCGCATCATCTTTGCGCGTGCAAACAAACGCTAACGGTTACTGTACATATTCCGTGCGCCATTAATTAAGTACAAATGGGGTGCCATAAATAATACATTAACACTTAACTGCACAATATACGTACTATAATCAGTAGGATGTGCAGAATACAGTTGTACGGCTCTAGTTATTTTTATTCACATAGTACTTTAATTACTCACTTCATATTTTGGACCGAGATGGAAGGATTTCGGGATACCACACTCATTCTTTCGCGTATGGTGTGCTAATAAATTATCCGTTCGGCAAATAATTATTGGTGAAATTATTAACTATGTCATAAATTGACGAATGTATTTCATGTAGAAGTTCCGCAGATTATCACGCTTATACAGGATCCAGTATATGGAAGTTCCAGGATGTATGTAATGTGGGACACGGACGGCGCTCCGGCAGATGTTATAAAATGAAAGGCCCCATGTGAAGTGCCATTTAACGGGGAAAATCGTTTGACTTTACTCCCCACACAAGAACACGTCGTCGTATCACAGGTAAACACTTTTTTTCCTACTGACCGGCGTAAATGCAAACTTAAAACCGGATCGTCAGATGCGTTGAACCGGCTGCACAAGGATTCTGGTTGGATGCCGATGGTGCGCCGCGGGACAACGCATTAAGGAATTTGTTTCATAATACTCCAGCCTACACCTGAAAAAATCGATATATTTGCAACAGCAGTCATCCACACGCCAACAATCCCGTTCAATACGTCTAAGCGGATCGGATTCAATCTTACGTGAGCCTTTAATGTTCTCGGCAACGGTAAGTAATATTGACCTGGACAAACATGTACAGTTACACAAAGGTGATCGACGGACGTCGACGGTAGTCGAGACGTCCATACAGGCGTCTGCATGTAGCTGGTGTTCGTGTTCTTGTATGCATCTTTACATCACACGTACTGACGCATGCGTAGGTTGACTGTACATACATATTTTGTAAAAAATATAAATTATTTTAACCGACTCGTTATTTGCACGCGGTACTTACGATACATTTTTGAATTCGGATGACGCAATTTTGTAGTAATATAAAAGGTCATTATTGTCGGAATTCGTTGATGTACAATTAGAGTGTGGCGTACCGCACCGTTGGACGTGCTGCCGTTGTACCTTTAATTTGTGAATATTAAGCGAAACAGCAAAAACTCTCAAATTGCCGAATTAGTCCTGTGCAGCACCTTTATAGTAGACAATACAAAAAACTTGAGAAATCTCCCTAGACTTTGCAACGTGGTAATATTATGCAAAATGGTTTAAAATAAAAGGCAATGCATTATTACGCATTCATTCCGTACAACGTAAAGAAAAGAATTGATTCGCTCTGGCTCCGTAACAATTACAAATTAATTACAAATAATTATTATAGTATTTTAATTGTGATTTACAATAATAATTATGGCCCATAATTTGCGGGTATGTATTATATGTTTTTAACCTGGTAAGTACAGTACAATAAGTGCAGTCCTTGCACATACGAGTATAATATAGATAATAGATATTCTTAGTATTGTACTCGATCGTACTGTATTCGCCTCTATCGCGATCGTTGTCTGCAGAAGCGTTTTATTGATGAATTTCCACTTCTTCGGTATACTCGCATACTTTGTATTCAGAGCTTGAGTGATCGTTAGAAGCTGCAATAATACCACCACCTCTGGACGTTGCTGTTTTTGAAAACCTAGAGTAGGCCGCAGTGTGCAGGACTTATTGTCGCACTTCCGGTCACAGTACACTGTGCCACTGTGCCGGTTGAGCATGCATAACAGGTACCTAGTCGACGTTCTGCGTGTTTTGCGTTCATACCCTGAATGACAGAAACGAAAATTACGCATACTTTAGCAGTTTTCTCCCATCGTCCAATAACAATAATACAAAGACTGTCAAAGAGCACGAACATCCTGCGGCACGTGCCCTTAGTTACTGTAAGTAGGTGCTTAAATCCGAAGTCTCCATAAATCCCTGATTTATTCCATCCGAAATCCTTCGCGATGCGCTCGCTATCGTGATCACGCGAGCGTGCCACATGGCAGTGGGCGCGCATTGCTACCAGCAGCGTTAAAAGGGAAATCCGCAAGCGCGAAAACCGGTAAAGGAAAAAAGCAAGCTGCAAGGCATGCACAGGCATTAGCGCAAGCACTCGAAAAGAAAAAAGCTGTATGGCACTTCCCACTGGCAGCAGCAAACCGTATCCCATGTAGTTACGGCCGGAGGGGAGCTGATACATTTCTCGACCAATGAATACATTATACAGGTATCGCACTAAAAGCCAGTAAACTTCAACGGCATCATTAATAAAAAGATACAATTATTTTATCTAATTTAGTTGACTAAATCCAAAAGTAATACTAAAGCTGCGTAATTGCGTAAAGCATAAATCTGATGACCGGTTTAACGATTTAATACTTCGTGAACCCCACCGTCCACCATTGTTCTACTTGGCAGCCGTACGGCAAAGTCAAGCGTATTTTGCAGTAGCAGCTGGGCTGGACTGCATCAGTCGATGCCTGCGCGCGAAGCTGGCTGCAGCACATGAAAATGTTGATTTGATAGCAGGCCTCGCTCCTTGTCAACCCGGAAATTTAATCTTACCTCCTTCCACCCGTTATTATCCTCATCCTGCGTATATTCTCCATCATCCTACCTCTAAGGTAACCGATCATCTCCCCGTCGTCTGCACAGGAGTGAGCAGGTTTTCGGCAATCGGCCAACAGCGAACCAGCTGTCGGGATTGTCAGGAACCCTTCTGTTGCGCGCCGCAGCACCGTAGTCTGCGTTATTGCATAAGAAGCAGGGAGTTTTCTGGTAGACTGCGCTTAATGATTGTCTTATTCGGGGCTTAGGGAGCAGGCGCATGTGCTGATCGGGAGATTGCGCCACGGCTGCCACGGTACCGTATCATCGTTCTGCATCGCTTCAAGTTATCTTGCTCCCGGTAAGTAGACTGCGGTGTAATTTATGAGCGTCAAAGCGGAATTATGAGGTCGCTTATTAACATTGTTAAATTTCCTCAATAGTACCGTAATCATGAAAAATCGTTGACGAGCATAAGGTTTGATAAACCTGGCTTGCAGTATTCAACAGCAGCCTAAATTCTGAAGCAGGGTTTCTATCTAATAGCAGCGTAGATGTTGTTAGCTTGTTATGTACGAGCCATGAGTATTACGCATATAAAAGTAATAAAACTCTAATTTACTGTTGTGTTAACGGATACATTGAAGACTGTTTTAATCGAAAAATCGATACTTTATTGACCACGCAGTTGAAGAGTCTTTTTTAAATGTAAAGATAATGTCAATACTTTGTCTTTGGTGTTGGCATATGCATTTTTAGGAATTCGGAGAAAATTAAAATATTTCTGACATTTACATTTTGATTTGCATGAGTTAATACTGATTACTGAGATTATTTTGACTGACGTGTTTGTGGGGTAATGGGGTTTGTACTTTGTAGGTGAATGAATTGAGCGTCGGGGAGGATTCGGGAGAGCGTAGACCTGGTTCGTGAGCAGGTAAGCGGGGCGCGGTTTCTGCACGCTGTTTGTCGCAGCATTTGGGCGCACAATACGTCCAATTTGAAATTAATCTTGGAGAGCTTCCAAGAAGCGGGGAGATTGTGCTGGGGTAGTAGAGAGTTCGATCCGCTGCCTCGGTCTGTACGTAAGTGCACACACATGGCGCTCTTAATATCCATTACGCATCACTTGAGCCGGCACGTGCGGCAAATTTCATCCTGATTGACTGGCTGCGGTTCGTTGTGTATTCCGCAACTGGTAATCTTGATAAGCGGGGCCCGGCCATCGAGGCATTCTAAACCGGTTATCCAGCGAGATTCAGACAATTTTTTCCCGCTCCCGCTGATTAACTGATTATCCCAGAGTGCCCTTGAATTGTTCAAATCTCCAGAGGAAAAATTACACAGTATTCTATAAAAGTTAAATCGCTTTATTAAATCATACTAGCAGCGCTTGCCCGTTCATTTACGCTCCCCTTATCTCTGCATTCTAGGCAAGAAAATTTAAGTTACCCGGTATTGTATGCTGCTGATATTCAGAGGAAGAAAAGGGAGGATTTGGGTTTTCTTGAAGTTAGATTAGCGTTAAAGCAGTATATGTATTATCAATCCTAGCCGTGTATTTCGAGAGCTCCTGAAACGTTCTGCTGTTAAAGAAAAAATTCTGCTTTTTGTTGATTTTGTCTACTGGGAAAGGAGAAGTTGCCTGCCTGCATGTTGCCGGCAGCATCCGGGTCGAGACCGGGCCGGCTTTGCAAACTGTGTACACACAAAAACGCCAGTGGGATTCTGTAGCACAGCTGGTAATCAATCCTGTTCCGCTGCTGGCCGGGCTGTGAGAGAGAGATGAGGCGCGCTGAATACACTATCGTGCGTCAGTGAGATTGCATTTTGTATGTTATCGTGATTCATTTTCGAAGAGGTAGAAAACGGTCGTTTTTGACACACTCACCACATACATACACGAGCCGCCGACGACGACATCCCGTCTCGTGTTTGTAGATTAACCCTATTTTTAACCCCGGAGAGCTCTCTTTGATAGAAACTCCAAATCCACCCCGGCTTTTTGGATGCATGCCAGACGACTTAAGCCTCCTTTTAACTTTTCTCTCCCCTGTGTGTGTAGAGTCTTTCGCGGTCGACAGCCATGACCGAGCCCCAGTACGACGCCCGCAGTACCATGGTGAAGAATAAACTGGAGAAGCAGGATGAAATTGAGGTGCAGTCGGATGAGGAGGAGGAGACGGTCAAGGAGCAACCGCCAGCCGTACCACCGGCCAAGCAGACATCACGACGTAAGTCCAAGAAGGGCACATCGCCCCATCCCGAACGACCACCCAATCCGCGGATTGTGGCGGAGAAGCTGCCCAAACAGACGGTGAGGATTATCTTATCGCTGTTGTATGTTGTCGCAGTTAAGCTGTCATTTTGTTAAGCGCGACTGATAAGATAAACGCCGCTTTGTAAGGCTGTTGTAGCGTCTCTGGTTAAACTTTTATTGCGTCGATCATTCATTGCTTATCGTATGTTATGTTTCCGGTTTCTCGTATTTTATAAATATTGCGTTTGAGTCTGCGCTCCTCACTCAGTCCGCAGCCAGGATCACGTTAATTGTCTAATTTGTCTTGTTACCATTTTTGCGGTTGTTCAGTGTGTTCGTGGTTTTATCTCAGTATCGGAAATATTTTAAGAGATCAGGTGCAAAATTATTCACGATATTGACATCCTCAGGACGAACACTGCCCGTCACACTCTGCCTTTATGTGAATGTTTGATTAGTAATTCCAAGGTTTAATTTTGTAGAGTGCTCCATCGGGCGGTGAAAAGAGCCTGATGAAATCGGAAGGTGATGCGCACGCGAGAAAATCATCGGTGCCCGTGGCACATGTTCACATTACGGAAACCGGGGAGTTTCATAAGCGCAGCGAGCTGGCCACACCGCAGCGCCATTTAGGCTCGCTGGCCTTTTCGAGCCTGTCAACCGGTAAGGCATAACTTAAACAAAATATTAAAGATTGGTAATTGCACAGACGTGATCAAATTTGGAATAAATTATTGTAACGATAAGAAATGGTACGGCAGATTAAGGTTGGATTTTGACTTGAGTACATGAGCGCGATTTTGTTATACACTACTGCGCTACGATTTCTGGATTGAGACGGCACAGACAAATAGTTGATTTTACAATTGAAATTAAAAAGTCGGGTGTGTTTTTTTACGAGATGACTGAGTGGTGCATATGTTTCTCAATGAGCTGCACCCCGTTTCAGAAGAATCATCGATCTGTGATGCGGATGCTTTAAGCCGGCACATGGGAACATTATCCCTTCAAGGATCTTTACAAGGTAATTTTTCAAAATGCCAGCTTGATTGGCGACTGTCAATGAGATAGAGCAGCGGTGTTCAATCACTGACGGCACTGTAGACGAATCTTATGGAACGACTGACCGGAATACGGAAGAGTTTGCTACGACGGCGGAGTTCCTTATGCACACATGGCACACCAATCATAAGGATCGACAGTTTCTACTACAGAATGAGAAACTCTTGGAAGATCTGGTTAATGGGCGCGAAGAGCATTATGTGGGCGGACTGAACTCCTATTACCGCATGCTACTGCACCGTCTGGCGGATGTGTGGGGTGTGGAACATAATCTTGTCAGTGTCAATGGCCAGGCGAAGATTTCCTTGAAAATTACGGAGGATAGTAAAAAGTATGTTGGCGTACTGTTGGGTTTCTAACGCTAAGTAGAATGCCGTCTTCATAGTTATTTTTAAAGCTTTCTGACATTTGTCTTTTCATGCTTGGACGAAATTTTAATTTTTTTCCTGTTTGATTTATTTTACTGTAAGAACATTATGTAGTTTTCTGTAACATTGCCGGTAATATGCAATAACTGTTGTAATAATGCAAGTTTAGTAGTCCGAGTATGCTGCCACGGTACGTTCCTGGATATTGTTATATTGTAGTCGATGTGGTATTTATCTAGGGAGAGAAAGTTGGTATTGTGTGTGGTGTTGTTGAAGTGTTGATGAATGTTTATTTTGGCGGGACTTATTGTAGGCCGGATCAATTATTCCGTGATATGGCCGATAGAGTGCCTGATGAGCCGGGCAAGGCATTATTGAAGCGGCCTAAAAATAATTCCCTACCGGAAAGCAACTCACTGCCGGCTCCCGCGCATGTCATGCGTCCGGCCAGATCCCTGGAAGAACGTCAGGCCCATTATGATCAGGTCCGCGAACGGATATTCAACACCGCGGATCACGGGACGGTAAGTCTAGCTCTGGCATCGCCAAATTAACAACAGTTAGAATTTCCTTTAACGCATAAGGTGGCATTTGATTCATTAGTTAACGAGGATAAGTTCATCGGAACGATCAGCGTAGCAGTTCTATTTCGAAATTAAAGCATTAATAATTTCATAAATTTTGTTCCCCTTGATCACGTAATGCAAACTGTCGCAGGGTGGTTTCGTCATTTGTTAACCTTAAATTGATAGATACTAAATGGATTTGCTGAAAATTTTTAATTTTACACTTGTAAATGAGAGTTGAAAAAAATTAAAATAGACTCCCGTTTTTTAAATAGACTCCCGTTTTTGTTGAAACTGGTGCAACTGCGAAATTGGAACGTTCTCACATAATAAATGATCGAATAAGAGGTAATTGATTGGCCCGTGTCAATTTTGTTGACGAAGTGGTACAGAATCCGTGTTTCACGAGTGCCCAATTAAAAACAAGGGTTTGGTACATAATTTTCCCCGAAGAGCCTAGCCGTAATTATTTTAAAATTGTCAAGAGCAGGAGGTTATAGGGCTAGTAAATCAGCTGTTTCTCTCTCTCGTTTGATACTGCCGCTCCTAGCCGCATACAGCAGATGTGCTGGGTCGTTATTATCGATTGGGTGTGCGTTTTTTGACATGTGCGCTTGGCAGCGCTGGGCATGTGCGAGAAGGGCACAATGTGTTGCTCTTGGCTTCCGGTCGGCTGACACACGCCCGGTTCAAGGACACATTTTACTCTGGCTGTGTGTTCTCCTTGCATACGCAGAGCTTAAGAGCTAGCGCTGGCAGCATCGATTGATGCAACGAAGCAAAGAGGGTTCCCAGGAGTGTGGTTTAAGCCGGGTGGTGCCGAGCAGTTGGTAAAAGTTGACAATTGCCTGGGGGCCATCCATTGGCAGGGAGCTGTTAGACGGGTAATGCGGGAAGAATGGTCCGTGTTGTGGTGGGTTTAATTAAAGCAGGTTTTTATGTGGAGACGCTTTTGCGGGCGCTAATGACCGTGAGGTATATTGGCAGAAGAATTGGCAGAAGAATTGACTAATGCTGTATGGTTTAATGTTATGCTTTCTGCTGGGTATGCAAGGACAAAAAGTAATGTAAAAGGCAGTAGCCAGCAGTAATCAGGGAATATAAATGCAAGCATTCTGCCTACAAAGTGGAAATGGGGATAAAACTGTTGGTCTTTTGTTGGGATTGAAACCGGCGAAAATTGCTGCTCCGGATGAATTATAATGTGAAGAATTCATAGAGATTGAAATTCATTTGAGGATTTTGAATTTATGAAGAAAAAAGCATTCGTATATTATGGAGTAGGCTTTTCTCCAAAACGGAAGGTTTTGTATATATTATATAGATATGTAATGTCATAGCGCAGCAAGTTGTTTAATGCTGAATATCCGGATGTACTTGCTGGCGTGGTTTTCGTCGCGCTTGGCAATATTCACGAAAATTGAAGTGCAGTTACCGTTATTAATGGAGCCGCAAACCTACTGTGGTACACAATACACCATGTTTTACGGTAAAAGTGTTGGCGATTTTCAGGATGGAGATAGCGCTTTATTAGATTGTTTGTTAGGTTTTGGGGAATAATGTAGTTCAGTGGCTGTTTGGACACTGGTGGGCTGATTGTAAGTTGGCCACTTGGGATATGAGTAAGATTGCTGTGATTATTTCGAATCCCGTTTTTGTGTGTTACAGGACGAACTCTGTTAAATCATTGCTGAAAAAATATCTGAAGATTTTTTTATCGGGCAAAACATGCGTGAATATGGGCGTAAAAGCAGTCACACTGCGCGTATCGTGGAATTATTTTACTGCAGGACAACATGCCAAAACCATACGGACTGGATCCGCATCATGGTGAGAGGTCGGATGGCAATCATGTTGGCTATCATCGGTCCCGGAGTGCCATTAGCGAGACCGGCAGTGAAGCAGCATTCGACGAACAGCACCAGAATCGGCTGGCATACGGCCAATTTGCCGGTAAATGCAACTTCCGCACGCTCTGCTTGGTACAGGGAGACTGAATTACTCTAATGGATCATTGCGGCAGGTCGACCTATCATGGTGCAGCCGATGGGCATGTACCCGTCGCCCTACATCTATCCCGGCCCGATGATGAGCTACGGGAACCCGGAGATGGCCGTGGATGCCAGTGCGTACGCGGGGGGCTACGTGGGCGCCCAGCCGCCCTACTATCCCATGTATGGACCACAGTATGTGCCCGCCCAGTCCCTGGTGTATCCCGGAGTGGCCTATGGGCAGCAGCAGACGTTCCCGCAACAGTACTTTCCTGCACAGGTATGACCATCACTATCTGTTTTAAAGCTAAGCACTTACAACAGTACCGAAACAAGCAAAAAATGCGATATGCAGTTATAGTTCAATTAAGACGATACATTTGCTTTCCGAGTTGGAGCAAACTGAAAGCCAGAGCTGTGGCCAGTTGTAGTCAGTTATCTAAGGCATTCAGTGAATGTAATTGGCTTTCACAATCTTGGTCTAACTGTTAATTTTTTAGCACTTGCAGCTTAATTATGTTTTGTCACTTTTAAGTATTTTCCAGTCTGAAAAGTATAGAGTATTGTATAGTGTTTGGTGTGAAGTATAGTTGAGTGTTTTACGCCTTTGCTTGATTTGAAACGCTTTTAAATACAGTAATGCTTTATACATAACTCAACAGATGCATTCGCATTTAGTGTCAAAGGAAATCGTAATAATGCTACTGAAGTTGCCTTTTTTATCCGACAGAACACGATGGATCCCAGCCAAACTCCTTCAATGTATGACCAACCTGCCGGCCAGTATCTGTACGCTCCTTACCCCGCCCCGCCCCTGGAGATGCCCGTCACCGGCCCCGGTCCGCATACTGCCTACCTCCCGCATCCGGCGGCCACGGAGTCACAACCCTATATGTACGATCCCAATCCGCGACAGGCGCCACCCACCCCCACTCAGGATCCGCGCTTCGGGCCGCCGCTGATCCGGCAGCCGCTGCTGGACCACCCCGAAGCGGCACGGGCCGTCGGCGGACATCCGCATGAAGGGTGGATTATTCCGCTGCAGCTGCCCGGTCAGCCGGGCGGCGGGATGTTCCTAAAGATCCCGGCGCCCCGACCGCCACCGCCGGCGGCCAACCAGGCGGCGGCGACGGGCGATGGTGTAGCGCGACAGTCGTCGAGTAGTGGACGGAGTTCGGCGGAGAATGTCGGGTATTACAAGCAGGAGTACCGGTCTCCGTCGCCCAAGGAGGGCAATCAGGCCGAAGGGAATTAGTGGGCCGTGGCGGGCGTTTTGCTAACCAAAGTGTGTGCTGTGCGGGATGTTGTTTGTTGCGCGCGCGTTTATTAACAAACAGAATGTGATACTTACCCCAAGTGGAACTTAATTTTGCTTCGGCGCGGGTGGGTTGACTTTTTAGAGATAATTGTCGTGGGGAAATGTAATGGTTTTATTTTTGCGATTGATGATGTGGAGTATTTTTGTGGAGAAACGGCGAGAGAGGTGCTTTTTATCGGGTGGTTTCTTGGTGTGGAGGAGGACGTGTTGAGTGTCCCCTGAAAGAATCCCGGCGCGTTGTCTGTGGTAGAAGACGTGTTATTTTGATTTTTTTGGGAACCGGTTCTTAACCTAATTTGTGTCTGTTTTTAATATGATAACGGTGATGTTGTTGTTTTGCGTTTTTCTGGATAGTAGTAATTAGACTAGTGAGAATGAGAAGGAAATGGGTCTTCACTGTCCTCTAGTCGTTTGGATGGATTTACGTTTTGTTTCTTGTTGAATAATAGTTTTAATGATTTACGAGTAATGCTCGAAAAATAGGTTGTTTTGTTCCGAGTGATGACATTCAGGCACTTTAAATAAATATAATTTTGTAAACAAATAACAACTTAACAAGTCACAACAATCAGGCACTTCAAAAACCGCTAAAAATCTACCGCCATAAAACAGCAGGAATGAAATTATAGGAAACAAATATCACAGAAATTTGTTCAGAGGTTTACATACGGCAAATACAGATTTCAACAGCTTTGCAATGGAAAACCAACTCCGCATGCGCGTCGCCCCAGAAAGCAAAGGATCTCTGCAGGGAAAAGGTACCGTTATCCGTAGAAGAAAAACAAAACCCGCACAGAAACAACACTTTCTCCAAACTTCTGTCTCGTTGTCTGCCTGACGACTGACGCGCCTGTTTACACATTGAGCAACAATCGGTGCATGAATCTTTACGGCGCACATCCAGTTTTTCCTGAATCCTCATATCCGGGACTCTCAGATCCTCAAACAGCGACGTTCAGCTCCACCTAGCCATATTTCTACTACCTGCATTTTCACCTGTTTTGTCTTCAGAACAACCAATTCTTTTGCAGTATTTATTGCATCGCAAAACTGCGCACCGAATATTTTCAATATTTTTTATTGTACAAACGGTACTGAATTTCCGAAATGTAATTTTTCGCTAGCGCAAGCTGTCTAGAATACCCGGGAATTGTCTTGAAATGCCTTTTCTCTCTTTTCTTTATATAATAATTATCATCCAAGCCATTAACAACTAACATATCGTGCTAATAAAATGCACTTGCATTAATAGTTAACTCACCAAATCAAGTCGGCGCGGATGCACGCCAAAACTATACAGATCAAATGTAAAAAAGGTCAACCAACCAACCAATCTGGACGCAGGGAAACCAACCTCGAATTCAACAGGAAGAATCGGTAATAGTGACAAGAATGTATGGAATCCAACCATGTGTACACAACAAAAAAACAGTAAATATTAAACCGCAACAGACATTCCCAAGACAAAAAAACGATAAATACACTCCTGCTATATCTGGCTAATGCATGAATCGCGGCGGATATAAGGACAACAGAAACGGTTATGAGATACACATGTGTGGGCTGCAGTGTCGCTGCTAGAACGCGCGATGAATATCAACGCAACTTTTCTCACTGAAACCTCCTGCAGAGAATCAACCATTGAACCGAACAACATAAGCTCGCTCGCGCGCACACGCTCTCCCTGCCTCTTCACTGATTTCTGACCTACACCATAAGGCAAACAACAACATCAGCACAATGCATTCTCAATCACAACTCACCTCAACTAGCTCAAGACCAGCAGAGACATCAATCTCTTTACGAAGTTCTTCTCTCACGCTGCGTTTCAGAAGTATTAAAGATTCTTACCGTCTCAACGCCGGAATCCACCGCCGCCGCCACCACGACCACCGCCGCGGCCTCCACGTCCTCCACCACCTCCGCCGCCGTATCCACCTTCTTCTAGAAATAATCAACGCCAACTCAACGGAATTCCCACCGTGAAAGAGTCAGTCATACAAGTTAACCAATACACATGATATACGAATTTGACGGAATCCGAAAATGCACTGCTAACGGAATATATCTGCTGTACGAGGGTGGTAGTATAGATCGAAATGTGGTTTTGATCACCAACCGTTCGAAACTGCGGTTGCGGTATCATTCTGAGTTTTGGCAGTATTCGGAATTACCAATTAAATTATCGTAGGAGATGCAGTTTCTAGATAGAAAGCTACACCGCACTGAGATATCACCTCATACTCTGTCGGTCGGTAGGACCGATTATTAAATTAACATTCCTATAGTACTGGCTTCTCCGTCACTGCTAAGTAAGATAAAATTACTGTTCTTGTAAAATAAGGAATAAACCACTAGGAAATACATACTGTTCGACAGAAGAAATAAACTATCTGTTCAAATAATATTACGTCAACAAAATTGCTGCTCATTCATCTTGGTTGTGACATTTTTGCTACTTTCAGGATTTTTGCTACTTTACTTATAATCTTCTACTCTCTTTGTCTGACTCTCTGTATGAAAAAACAACTGCGTAATCCATGAGATAACACATCTTTCAAGTCGACCAAATGCCAGAAAAAGTTCAATATTTTTCACGTACCAGACTTACGACCAGGATACGGCGACTTCCTCTGCTGATAGGGCCCAGGCCGACCGCCCCCGCCCTGTCCACCGCCGCTTACGGGCGTTCCTCCGCCTTGCCCATATCCGCCACTGCGCATGGGACCGCCCACTGCACCACCCCCGCCATAGTCATCTCCATAATCCATATTCTGCGCACCGACACCGCCGTATCCGCCGCCCCCATACTGCTGCTGTGGAGCTGCTTGTTGCTGATACTGCGGCGCCTGCTGGCTGTAGCGCCCGTAGTCATTGGCCGGCTGTTGGCTATAGCTGGAATAGGCGGGAACCGCACCACCCCCTCCGCTGTTGCTTCCGCCGTAATGCTGGGGCGCTCCACCACCCTGATTGTACCCGTACGACGGCGCCGCGGGGGCGCTATTCTGACCGTAGCCTCCGGCGTTACTTTGACCATAACCACCGCCATAGTCGTTTCCGGCCGGCTCGGCGTTCCATCCGCTGGCGTTGTGACTGCTACGCCCGTATCCACCGCCAGAATTTCCAGCTACGTAAAAGAAAGAAACATAATTCTACAAGATACGATGCACCACCAGAATTTTTAGCGAAGCAATATAAAATGAAATAAAGTAAAATAAATGTGCTTACATAATTCTACATAACGCGATCCACCACCAGAATTTCCAGCTAAGTAAAATAAAACAAAGCAAAGTGTTACACAAGCCTACGAATATGATGCAGTGATGCACCACCATAATTTTCAGCGCAATAAAATACAACAAAGTCTCATTGCTTACATAATTCTGCTACACGCGAACCGCCAGAATTTCCAGCTAAGTAAAATAAATAAAGCCTGACAAAATCGTACAAAAATGTGATCTTGCTGACTTACCAGGCGGGCCTCCATACTGCTGTTGCTGCTGGGGACCACTGCCGCCGCGAGATCCATACGAAGCGTACCGATCATCCCCGCCGCCTCCGCCACCCATGCGACCTCCGCCGCCGCCACCATGACCACCACCGCCCCGCGGGGAAGGCCCAGCGCCATATCCGCGATCGTCCCGATACGAATCCCCACCACCGCCACTGTGACGACCGCCGCCACCACCGCGACCACCACGGTCGCCCCGATCGTGCCGTCTTTCGCGCTCGCGTTCCCCACCGTAACCGCCACCTCCGCCGCTTCGGCCTCCACCATAGCGATCCCCGCCGCCACGGCCGCCATCGCGGTGGTAGTCGCGGTCATCATTACGCCCACCACCGCCGCCGCCACTCTCCCGCATGTCTTCCTTGGCGACGGCCTTCTGTACTTCTAATCTGAATCCTTTCACATGGTGATTCCTCATTACTATAAAAAAATGAAAATGTTTAATACTGACTATTAAATACTGTCTATTTATCGGCTGGAAAACTAGAGTACTAGTAGTTTTTAGGATACATTGTTCAACGTACAGACAAGTTTATCGACAACATCGTAGTCTTCGAATGTGACGAAAGCGAAGCCGCGTTTCTTGGAAGACCCCTTCTCCGTGATGATGTCCACACTGGTGAGGGCGCCGAATTTACTGAAATAATCACGCAGGTCCGCTTCTTCCAGGCCTTCTTTGATGCCGCCCACGAAAGCCTTGCACACTGTGGCTTGTGTACCAGGTTTACCAGACATCTAGATAAACAAACCGCATTAGTAATGCCGTTGAAATTAACTGCTCAAGAACGAATAATTACTCAGTACAGCCAAAATCATTTGTACAACTTCAGCCTTGCACATCAATGACATCATTAAAATTATTCCCACAACATTACTCATCATAATCTGTTTCATTACTGTTAGTCATTAGTGGCAATGATCGATAGATTCACGGTTCTAATACGTATCGTGATTCGTGAAGCATTTTTACACGGGCATGAAATAATAATAATAATATAAATTTTATCATTACAAAATAAAATGTTAATGCTTTTTCTGAGCGTTCTATCCGACAAGTATGCTTACCTCGCGGGGAATGGCTCGTTTGGGCTCGACAGTGCGGTCGTGGATGATGTGGGGCCGATTCTTTTGCGCCTCATCCACCATGGAGGCGCGTCGGTAAGTGATGAAGCCGAAGCAGCGTGACTTCTTGGTTTGCGGATCCTGCATGACCACGGCGTCGACAATGTCGCCGTACTTGGAGAAATGGCTGCGCAGATCCATTTCGGTGGTGTTGTATGTCAGGCCGCCGATGAAGAGCTTCCGCATCTGCTCCGGCTCCTGCTGGCCCTTATCCTACAATCAAGTCATACTGGTATTCACAGCCCATGATACCGAAGCGAAAACAATAACGTGACAAAATGAATAGCTGTAATCCAAAAGACTAAAAAATCATTAAAGCTGCATAGCATGGAGCGAGCGACGTTTACAAAAACGCTGCAGCAGTAAAAAGTCTAAAAACAATTCTTTACAAAAAATTATGTTGAAGCACTATATTAACAAAACATAAACTAAAATTATTAGATTGTAAATAAAGTTACTACAATAAAAAAAATTAAATCATTTAGAAATATATTCTTCCGAAACAGATTTTATCAATTCAAATCCAAATCTAAATGAAAAATAAATAGCTGTGGCTTCTGACTTATGAAAATACCACACTAACCACAGAATAAAAAAGCGCTGAGTAAGATGAATAATAATATCACAGATCTGCTGAGGTCGCCAACATGAAAGTCCCACGAAAAATCTCATCCAACACTCACTCCGCACTTACATTCTGAAAATGGGTTTGCTCAGGGGGGTTCTGGTTGGCATTCTCTGCCGGTGCAGCGGTTCCCCCGTTCTGGCCCTGCTCCGTGGGCTCCTGCTGCTGCGAGGAACCCCCCGTCTGTTCTGACTCGATTTCTTCTTCTTTGAACTGCATCTCACTATTCTCACCCGTACCAGTATCCGTGTTCTGACTGCTACTATTCTCCTCTTCAGCACCACCTGCAACGATCCGCACAATGCAATTCGTCAGCCGGGAAAACATGAAACAGATACTGCATGCAAGCGGGATCAATGCGAAGTGCAATGATTAATGTTAAGTGTTAACAGGAAAAACCAGCACAACAAATGGCAAAGCAGGAATCAAGGCCACATGAATTCGAATGCCAGCGTAGCAGCGCTCACCATTAGTGTGTGCTTCCGCGGTCGTTATATCGCTCGCAAAATCCGTCATTTAACAAGTGTTTAAGGTTAATCTGTATCCCAGAAAAATGGGAACGCAGATTGTACTATAAAGCAATAAAGGAAAACAATCAGCTTAACAAACACCGATCCAGGATTGCGCACTGTATTCGAAATGGCTGCGTATGCCGTACGGCCGGTACGAGTGCAATTGATGCGAGGCAAAAAGTGCAACGAAACGATGATGGCTACGCTTGCGCATATCGAAAGTGTTTTGGTGTATCGCGGCACAATCGTGCTTTATGCAGAGCTTTACCATGCTGCCTTGCGATTTGTCTGACGATAAGGATAACTCTATTCTGATTGGCTACCCTCAATGCACTGGAGTACAGTACACGGCCACCGGAACCGGAAGTACAAATGCAACTCATCTCTCGATTGTCAGTAAAGTAACCGGCAAATTTGTTTAATCTGCGATTATGCGAAGTGATGTTAATTGTTTTTCTGAAATACCATCGAAGTTTTAAATCTTTTAGTTTAATGATAATTAGAGAAGTATTTAAACTGTCTGCCGAAGTGCGAATACCCATTATAACCCATATACGTAAAACTTGGCTTTTGAAACATGCGGTTTATCACTTTTGTGTACTGCGATAATTGCGAACTAGCTGAACTTAAATGGGGAATCCCGAAATAAAGGTTAATCGGTCATTTGCGTTCCTGTTTGTATTATTTTTTCCAAACGGATGTGTGCCCTCACATTCCGGACATGAAGCAAAGTGGCTGTACGCCCGGCCGGTATCTGACCGCGAAGTATTAATTTTACTCCGCGTGTACATATAGTTCTATACGGATATACATTTTATATATTATTACAAATTATTAGGTTTTGAATATTATGGTATTACTTATAAAATAGAAAAATGTGCACTGTTCACTATTAAATTTTGCTGCGCTTATCATTGCGATATGCCGGGTGCGAACGCGGCCGACCAATAAAAGCGGTTCAGGATTTTAGGCAACGTAAATTCGCGAAAGCCCGAACGCCGGGTATAGCGACTCCCATTCAATATATTATGACACAGCCGTACAAGAGTAAAAGCAAACGGCGACGGTCCACGTGCCCCTTGTCGGACCAACCAGAGCATAGTTCTGTTAAAAGGTAAAGAAGTTTGGATGATAATCCCGTCGACGATTGCAGCGGCCGAAACCGCTTGGTGATGAACGCGGAGGTTTACCGTACGTACGCGCAACGGACCGGACATGCGCGGTTTCTTAACCACATGTGACACCACGAACAGGAAATACCGGACAGGAATTAGCATCAGACCGTCAGGTACGTCTCTCCCGTCGTTTCCTGATCGGCCCGTAGGTCCCGGTTGCATCACATGGGAACTCCTCACTTTCGGAACAATTTTTTACGGATCATATAATATTTCGCGCCCGGAATGTCAGACCTATAGAGTGCATAACATATGTTTAGCTTTGACCTTTAGATTTTGAGTGTGGATCTATCTTGAGAGGCAGAATCTGTCCGGATACATTTTCGATACGGGTGCTAGTAATCAGGCAAAACGTTTCTGCGCGTATGACTTGCAGTTAATATTATATAACTGTTTATTTTGAATACATTCTGAACAACTATCAGAAATGAATCATATTCTTTTAGAAACATTGCTCAGAATTAACGAGACAAGAACGATAATGAAATAAGGATGATTTATTACAATGGTACCTACAATTTGCTTTACTCTACAACGATGGGAAAACATCAACGTAATACTTAACTTGACAATAGTCAGCGACAGTTACTGCTTATATATTTCAGCCGGTATGTATCTTTTAATTGTTCTCTCACAGCCTCCGCCACACTAGCCTCATGCATCATGCTCAAAATGCGACAATCATTATCAGCAACCTGCAGGCAGCACAACGTTGAAAATGCCGGTATTGTTGTTTTTTCTGACCGGAACGGACTCTACCTGCTGCACACTTCTTTCACAATGAGATTGCAATTTTTCGATACTTCAAAAGTCAACGCCGCTTCTTGTTGGAGGTTTTGCGCTTCGATGACCCGCCACGTCTTCTGTATAGTAGAGTTGTACGATGAGTGAGAGTTGACGATGGGTGATGATAATTCGATGATGTTGCCGCAGTTGTTATAAATAAATGGTTTTTCGACAAGACTTCTTAGCGCGTCGACTATTTCCTTACATGATCGACGTCTGTAATTCCTTTCTAGCCTTAATACTCGGAGAATTAACCTGCAGAGCGTATTAGTTAATTATTGTCGTCAGGATCAGCTGTCAAATTTATGACAGCGTTACGGCGTTACATGACATTGATTATCTTTGCAAATTTGGGAATGATGTATGTCGGCACTATTTAGTCGTGAACTCGTAATTAATAAGTGTGCGGTTTTCCTACCGAATGGAATTTACAAAACGCAGTTGTACGCGTATATCGTAGCTTGATGCGAAAAAACAGTTTTGATTTTGTTGAATTTGATCCCAAATCCTGGTTCTTTATATTGTTGCACGCAAAGTTCCTTAATTACAAAGTATCTGCTTATACGGCGCTATGTTTTATTATACAAGATGTGATCGCGGTTACAGAAAAACTTCGTATTAAGTACCGACTGCAATTACTGACTTGCCAGTTAGCCACTTGTAAACTGCCATACTACCGGTTTTATACGGTTATAATGTACAACATGCTTGCATCCATCTATCGCCCAGTATCCAATTAAACTGTACTCGGATTTTTTTCTTGCCGGCAGCCGACATTTTATTGACAAAAAATTTAATGTGCCGTTTCTCGTTTTTGCCATCGCTCTTCTACGTTCAAAGATTGTTTTGCCAAGACTTCAAGTTATCAGTTTTTGATAGGTCTGCCACAACACTATGGTATTGGACTGATTTAATAACTCGATATCACATCAGGTTGTGGGATTGCACTAAGATTCGGGATCACCGATAATGAATTAGCACTACTACAGTTATCGATATCTGTCGGGATTTACAAGGTTGTTCGTCTGTGATTGTTATTTATAAACCTGCTGTTTAATTGCCTTTTATCTTGAAATCGCCTTCGTTGCAAAATGGAAGCTCCTGTAATAATACTGCGTTTTGTTGTATGGTTTATCTGTTTGGATTCAATATTATCGACAAATCGTTATTACAATTCCTACATTAGTTATGGAAGTGTGAGTTGCATTTGGCTTGCGGTCTGCCGGAGTTTGCGCATACATTTATCAAAACTTTAGTGTCGTAGATTTAACACCTGTTTAAAAGTTTTAAAAAACATGCCAGGATAAATATTTTTGCTGATATCCAGCGGGTTGTTATTGATTCACAAATAGAGTTGTAATAATTTTTAACCGTCAGTACATGAGTTATACATATTGATATGGAAGAACCATAAAATACGGCATACAGAATATCTGCAACGCAAACGGTTTTGACGGATTAACAGTAATTAGCGTAATTCGGTTGAATTAGTGTGAACTGCACTGATAGAGTAACACAAAAGTTCCCTTCCCATGTTAATTGGGACAAATTCTTCATTTGATCATATTTGTTGAGTGAAGCTCGCCTTGTACGTATTGCGAAATAAATTAACAACACAAATGTATTAATCGATCTTTTGTCCGGCCAAAGCTACGATCGTACCTGTTGTAGATTTCTGTGGTTGTATATAATTACGTATAATTACGTATACGTAGTTGTTATATATAATTACGTGTTCGGGATTACGGTTTCAGGGGGATACGATGATCCAAACATTTCATATCCATCTTGGACCAAATAACACTCAACACAAATGGAACGTCGAGTGCTTAGACGGGGAAGCTATCGTAAGTCGTTTTTTTAATTATTAACTGTGTTTTACGGATTAGTGGCATTGATAGGGATGAACTCAGCATAATTTACAGTATAGAGCATTCTGCTTTTTGTCTATTGCTTTACGCATTTGCAGTTTCTTCTGAAGCACACGAATACTTTATTAAACTGTATGCTTAAAAACTGCGTACCGGTACAAATGTTATGTACTTACTGTAACTAGTAAGTAAATCAACCGGTCACAAGATTACTTTCCTTTTTCAGATTGGGATCGGGTACGAATACGATGGGAGAACAGATAAAACAATAGATACCATAGTATTCTGGAGTTTTCCGTGTTTTAAAATTGCCTCTATACCATAACTGAAAATGCCAATCACCGCATCATTTCAGTTTTTGTTGTAGGGATTCCGTAAACGATTTCGCGGTGAGTACGCAATAGATTACGTATCTCCTTGCAGTAATAAGTTTTTGTTTATTTTTACTGGTATATGTAACGCGTAATACTGTTCTCGTACTGATGATGTTAGATTGACAAATCAGATAAAATTATAGATATTATGCGGCGTATTATTACTGCATTAAAACGTTCCATAAATTAATTGCAGAGAGTGGATCAAGTATGGTGCAAATTTATGTTTCCTTATAAGCCACCGGCAAACATGTATCCTTTTTATACTGGGTACGTATTCATTCACAAAGGTTGTATTGTAAAGTATATATAGATATATATATCTATACATAAAGTACATTTTAAACGGATATACCTACAACCATGAATGTTAATGCCGCTGTTCGCGCAATAATAATTATTATAATTTTTGCAGGTGCCACACTATCGAGTATTCGACAAAGTTTTTTTGCTTCGATGCAAACGATTCGCAGCGGACAATCCATTCTTTTATAACAGGTACAAAATCGAAAATGCAATTTCGTCCTTGGTTTTTGTACATTCAGAATTAACAAATTTCAAAGGTAAATTACATGGTTGCAGCAGCACTAATTTTTAAATTTCCCGTTAGCAAATGCAGAATTCGAATTATTGCTTAAGTACTCGTATAGAGGTATACGAGAAAACAGTGTGTACATATTAAAAAACAGAATGCGATGTAAAGAGCCAAAGGTTTATATTTCGTAAGATAAAGGAAACATCGATACAATAGAAGAGGTTTTCCGGAGGCGTAGCGCTGTATAGTGCGTACTTCTAAAGGCAAGATACGTACGTTTACGTACGTACGTATATATATATGTAAGACTAGTCTTAATATATATATTGCCTTTAGGCATGGATTCAGGTCGTTTCCTATCTTGGGAACTGTTAAGGCCGGCTCAAGTTCTGAACGTAGCTAAGTATGATGCAGCTGCTCCACCGCACGAGATAGCTACATGAAGTGTCCACGCCGACAAATACGGTTCGCAAAACCACCTCATGAGGTGGAGCTGCTGCACCGTAACCAGATCTAGCTGGACTTTGAGAGTAGCCCTAAGAAAGTGTAAACTTGTAATTCTGTAACACAAGGTAGCTCTGTTAATGTTAACACTGGACAGACAGCAATGAAATTCTGAGTTCTGTGACTGAGGAGACAGAAACGCTAACGCAAGGGAGATGCATGTTATGTGGAAGAAGGCAGGGCAATGGGCAATTGGACATAGCTGCCTTGCTGAAACTGGCAAAAAAAGAGTTAAGATTTGTAAAAAGAGTTAAAAATTTGCAAAAAACACTCACGCCTCCGGAAGTGTCCCGACGTTTACGAGGGTCGCCACGCTAGTGTTTTTGTAACGATTTCAGTATACCTACGTGTGTATGGACATATAGATACTGTATTGCTGAAGCTTTAAATGTTGGGTGCGATTATTGTCTCTCCCCGGCACCCCCTTTTGACTATTGTCACCCCCTCCCTCTAGGCTTTTGCCACCCCTATTTTTCAAATAAAATAAAATAACTTAAACTACAGTCACCACTTTTTCACCCCCTTTGACTATTGTCACTCTCATTTCTTACAAGGCACTGTTGCTTGGATGACCTTCGATGCAGCCTTTCCTTGCCGGTGGTGGCAGGAATAGAACTAAAGAAGAACCGCTGCTGGCGAGTTTATAAGATCTAGAACACATCGAAAGATGGTGGCTATAGCCACTGCAAAAGGGCGTTGGTAAGGACTAAAGAGTGACAATAGCCAAAGGGGGTGACAACAACCATTTCCTAAATGTTTTACTTTTTAATTTATTGAACTTCCGCTATTGTGGAGTCTTTTTCTGTTTTGAGCGGTCCACGCCTCGTGCAGGTTACTCCTGGTGGTTGCAGATATTAAGCTATTAAACAGCTACTACTTATTATGCGTGATGTGGCATTCTTTTACGATTATGCAGCGCTACTTATGGCAGGTTTATGGGCCAATAACTTCTTCTTCCACATCTCGGACCCTCCCAATCTGGCGCTGGCAAAGTGCTGCCGTGTCCCTACCGGCTACTACATCGACTACATGTCCTGCTACTATGTAAGTACCCACGATCCGTATTTTGAATTCTACGACAACGTCGGCGCCTTCCTTACTACATGCGCCACCGGCTACGTGGCCACCGGCATCGCCAAGAAGATCGAGCCCTACACCTCCAACAGCGCCCACCCCAGTTCCGTGGACTGGATGCAGTGCTGCCGGCTGGGCTTCGGTCCACCGGAAGTCCATCCGCCCCCGGTCATCTATGCGCCCTCGGGGGCCGCCACCTACTACACTGCCCGGGCGCTGACGGCGGATGAACTGGCCATCCCGACGGGATACAAGGGACAGTATCGCAGCAAGGAGACACCGGAGGATGCCGCCGTGCCCCGGGCGTACGATGAAGAGGATGAAAACGAAAATGATGTGACCAACAACTCCACAGCGTCCGGGTTGTCACGGTTTTCGGTGCGGGCGCCGGAGCGTCCGCGGACGGTCAAAACGGCAGAAAGCCTACTGGAACGCGATCGGGAGTTGCGACTACGACAGATCCATGTCAACCAACCAAATGTGCACATGTATTCCAGGCTGTAGATTGCAGATCTTGATACTTTTCAAAAACTGGCTTGTGACCTTTCGTATGGCTTGGTGTGAACTGTGAGCAAATGGCAGTCGTGTTCATCCATCGGTATTTTATTGTTTTCGGTCGAACGTGCGCTCGTCTTTTGCATTTTTTATGCTGTATTTGTCTGCGTTTTCAAAACGTTTTACGAGTATAATGATTGGCGCAAATCGTTTGCGTACAAGATGGCCAAGCGTACTGTGAAGGAAATTCTAGAAAAGTCCGCCACTTCTGGACCATGCCCTTTGAGTAAAATAAGTACGTTTACCTGCAAAACACGCATAAAAACCACATGGATTTAGTATTATTACCAGTAGGAAGGTTAATAACAAAAGTTTTTTGACAAAACCTACATTAATTACATAGCGCTAGTTCCACAATTAATGACGATGAAACATGGCACGTACGATGGGCTTTGGCAAACTGTTATTTAAATACAGATTTTTCATTACCACTAGTACAGTAATTTTATGTTTTAGCATGTTATCGCTTTTGGACAAATCCGTTGTCTACAGTGTAATATAGAGCGTACACTGATGTGCACCGAAGGCTTCATAAAAGCAACCGGAGGTCAAATGCCCTGGGGTGTGTATTAGCGCATGTTTTCTTGGGTTGCTTCCGTATACCGGCAAAACGTCTGTCTACGCTTTTACGAATGCTGAATGCGTCCGTTTTTACTATGTAATTCGCTGGACGACATGCAGGGAACTAAAACCTGTCCCTGTCGGAGTGACATTTTGAAGAAGAATTCTTATACAAGTTGGAAGAATGGCGGAACTACGGCTGAGACAACTGTTTCTTGGTTTTCTGTTATTCATTTGTGTCGACTGCAAAAGGAGTGCAACACCGACGACAACGATTGTCTACTCGGAATCAGTATTTGTTGACAGGGAGCCAGGATGTCCAAGAAGGTAAACCCACGCGTACGGTAGTGTTACATGCACAAAGTTTATATAGAAGTACATAAGTAAGCAGTTTTCATGCAGGAAGACAGGGTGGTAATTCGTTCAGATATTTTGTGCGTTAAGTTTTTCAAAAACTAGTATTAAAAATTATGCAGTTTGAGGGTGTTTTTGTTCGCATAGCGTAGTCGTAACGACTCAAGCGGTAGCGTACATTATATCCAAAAATGGCACCATTCATGGATCCATCCAGTTCGATCAAGCAGACGGTAAAGGCTTGGTATCCGTAACCGGCGCCATCACCGGACTGCAACCAGGTGAGGTGATCATCGACACGGGCACGCACAGTAAACTGCACCTAATTATATACTGATGCGTTTTGCTTCTGATTTTAGGACCGCATGGGTTCCATATTCATGTAAGTTCGCAGCGGTTATGTATATACACCTTACTGTCTTAGAAGGTAAATAGAAAATGACAATAATAAAGCAGAATATTCGACTTACTATTGCTTAAATTTGTTTGGCTTGATCTAAAATGCTTTTATTTTGTTGCTAATACGAAGTGCAGTCTGTAGGTACAAACGTTGTTAAACCGTAGGGTAGTGATGGTGCGTCGGTTGATTGCAGTATGTCATAATCATTGCGCTGTAGGAGTATGGCAATTTGCAAGACGACTGTAATGCCGCCGGTGACCACTACAACCCGGACAACTACACCCACGGTAACGTGTACGATGCCGTTCGGCACGCCGGGGATCTGGGAAACATCATTGCCAATAGTACACATAGCCTCGACTACTGTACGTACATCAAAGTCGCGTGCGGTTACAATGCAGTTTATTTGCAGCGGACGGTCTGGCGGAAATCAACGTCAACACCGAAGCCTTCACACTGAACGGTGATTTCAGCATTATCGGACGGTCGGTGGTCGTCCACGCCGATGTGGACGATCTCGGTCAGGGCAAGGCCAGCGACAGTAAGGTCAACGGGCATTCGGGGGCGCGGTTGGCGTGCGGGGTCATCGGGATCACAGAGGAGATTATCAATGGCGTTGATCTTAACACCGGCGAACCTGATATCGATAGATATGACCAGGAGCATGACATGGTAGTCGTGGGTGTCAGTGCGGCAAACGAGTGTCGACGCTGTATGGGATTGATTACGGCATTCTTTGTGACTATTAGTTTGGGACAATTTCTGCGGTAATAAAAATTAACTGGTTTTCGGTTTCTTCGTCAGTGCATTGATGACATTTTAAAAAAAGCTGATCGTGGAACGTGACCGTGAAACTCTGATTGCGGGATGTCTTGTTATTCAGTCTGATTAAAACACTTCAAGTGCGAGTCACTATATAGTGACTCCATATACAGAGGGTTATTCAGCCAAGTGTGGACACTTCGAAAAAAAATTCTTTAGAAATTTCATTTTAAGAGAAATTATGCCATAAGCATCTCAATATGACGACTAACTAATCTGAATGCGTTTTGCAAATTTTGGTGAAAATCCAGCGAAAAATGCTTGCGATATTGTCTGTTAACCAAAAGTCGCCGACTACTAACCCTTGACCAGTCAAAATTTGGCCTTCGGTCACCTGGCCTTAAAAAGATCGTCAATTTTTCCAATCTTCATGGTTTTAATTGCGAGAAACGACGATCCGAATATTTTTTATAGCAAGAACGATTTCATATTCTTGCGCGTTCTTACGGTAGGACGGTTGGAAAAAACGCGAAAACAGGAAGAGACCCGCAGGAGCCATGCCCATTGCGCGAACTCTTATGCACGCAGCTATAGCTATCCTTTCCGTCCCTCCATAAACTAAAGTTGTAAAACAAGTCTTTCTCTACCGTTTACAATGTTCATTGGTCGAGAAAGACGCTCCACGGATCAAGCCTGGCAGGGAAGAAGAAGTCATCCAGAATCCGAGACGTGCTCCCGGGAGCACTGCTGAGTAAACAAGGATGCAGCTTCCCAATCCTCTAATACTAGTAATTCCTTCAGAAAAAGGATTGTTCGAAACCCCCGACAGGTTTTTAACGGGTTATGGCGAAAATCCAAATTTTAGATGAATTTTGAATAAAGGGAATCCATTTCCTATAGCTGAACTGGTCAACTGTTGCCAACATGGGGGGCACAAACTTAATTTTTTCCTGAGCTACAGGATGAGAAAATCATGACTCGATTGAATTTAAAGTATGACTGGATGTTGTGGCTACCTGATAAAATTTTTAAAAAAGTAAAATGAGCGTGCGACGGCTAAGGAGAAATTTCCCAAAAAGTGTCCACACTTGGCTGAATAACCCTCTGTATGTGGTCGGTGCGGAATTCGAGCGCATCGGCCCAACAAATTGTAGTGCCATTAATAGGGTTGTTAACGGTGCGGTTTTTTACCAGTGCACCGGTGCAATTTGAAAAAATTGCGGTGCGATTTTGAAAAACAAATTGGTACAAGCGGTGCGGTTTTTGAGAAAAACCGCACCGGCGCACACCGGTGCGTTTGGGAAACCGCGTTGACGTACACCGGTTAACCACCGGTTAATCGACGATATTCCTAAATTCATAATTATCATAAATAATACTTATGCGATGACGCTGCAAGCTGTGCACACGCCCACGGGAAGCACGGGCTGTGACGATCGTACGTCTCAAAATCGTATGAAAACTGACAAGTACAGTACTCAGTGCTCACTCACACTCCCTACGGAACTCCCTAGTTTCAACTTGTAGCTGCTGCAGCAACCGGGTTGCCATAAGAAAGAAAATGCGTAGCACTGCTGCGCAAGAACAAGACAGCTTGATTTTCCACGCTCTACATTGAGTTTGTTTTCGTCACAGAAATTCTTAGAGAATTTGTTTTCGATATTTTACGTTTCGTGACAGTTTTGCTACGACTGGATACATCCTGCTAGTCTGCTAGTCATGCCCTTAGAAGGCTTAACGATAGCAGTGTCAAAATTGCGGTGCGATTTTGATTTTTCACCGCACCGTTTGGTGCGGTTTTCCCTTTACACCGGTAAGGTAAGTGCGATTTCTTGCACAAAACCGCACCGACGGCACACCGGTGTACACCGCACCGCACCGTTAACAACCCTAGCCATTAATATGAAGAATATTGATTAAATTGTCGTGTAAACGGTTAAGTTTTTAAAGTACTATGTTAAAAAAATAAATGCGAAGCACAATTTTAAATCGGTTGTCGTTTAGTTTTAGGCAACTCAACATTTATTATATATACAATCCTAACTCCGCCGTTTCTTTTTCTCCCTTTTCCTCCAACACTGTCCGGCGCAGAATTTCGTTCGATAGCTTAAAAAACGGCTAAAATCCTGTAGTTTGTCCCTACAACTTTAGTTTTTCGATCTTCTTTTTCTTCGAATTACGAAACATGGCCAAAACGAATTTCGCTGATTGGCTCATCAGAAAGTATTTATTAGTGGATAATGTGGATTGGCGGAAATGCGTATATTTTCGAACGGAAACTGCTGACACAGCGTGGCAAACTGGGACATAAAAACTGCGGTACATCAGTAATCAGTAAAATTTAATACTCCTGTTTGTCGAAATTTCGTAATTGGCAGAGCGATAATGCAGTATGATTTCTTTGGCGGAAAGATGAAAGGGAACCAGTATAGCGCAAATAACTGTACGGCAACGGATTACGTATAAACTACTAGGGAAGTGCACCGCTTTTTGCTAGCACTATTAGACCGAAGCGAAGCCGGAAACAAAGTTTTGCACAAAAATGCTTAGGTTATTGATATGTGGTTTTATATGCAATAGCCATCAAAATAAAATAACAAAACATTGCAAGCGCTGGCACTCTACTGATTAATCGAAGAGTGGTGTTTCGGTGCTCTCCCATTTCTCCATGAAGTCATTTCAGCACATGTAATAAATTTCATTATGCGGACATTCACTCGCGGCATCAGGCTGGACTTTCGTTATACCGTTGTTGCTTATATGATTCCGTAAAGGCGTAAACTAGATAATAGTTCTATCGATAATTTTATTAACTAATTCTTTTAGCAGAAATGTTTTTCCTTTAATACAAAACAAAGCTCTGTACTCAGTATTGAAAACAAAAAAATAATACTTAGAATTAATAAGGAATAATTATTTAATAATATATCTACTATTAGAAATAAACAAACTATAACAATAATGAATAATAATACTGATAATAATGAAAATCAGTATTTATAGTAATTGCCTCGAAAACCGATTGCTCAGTTAGCACGCGTGATCACCAAATGCAAAATACATGTCAAATTAAAAACATTTTAGCAAGTGGACGCACTTACTCATTGTTTCAGACGGAAATTTCGGCATTCTGATGGCTTTTTAAAATAAAGTCAATTCGGCAAGAGAGAGTTTAGCACGCGGACCGAGCAGCAATAACTCATGTTTCAAACGGGAATTTCGGCATTCTACGATTAGTGGTTTTGTAAGAAGAAGGGACCATCGCGTGGCGGAAGCGTGTCCGAGAAAATAGCGGACCGTGTCCGAGAAAATAGCGGAAAGTGCCTGTTGTCCGTAACTCTGGCGTAGTGTACAGCTACAGTGCCGCTTGCGCACAGATGTTTATAAATTATATGTAGTAAGTACTCGTACTTTACACAAGACAACACCACCGCCTTCCCGCTTTCTTTTATTAATAATTAACAATATTATGAACATAAAAAATAATTAACAAGTACTGTACATAAGAGCGATAAGACAACAAGTAATACGATAACCATAAGCAAGGTCTGCAATACAAACACAACATAAGATGCAGTACGGTATAAAAATATAATAACTACATAATACAAACACCCACCACCACTAACACCAACACGGCCACCGCCGCCGCCCATGCTGACCCACCATCGCCGCCGCCGCGCAAACTAACTGCCATCAATACCGCCGATCGGCATGTTAAAAAACCCCCGTCATAATCCCGTCACATTGCATCAGTTGTTCCATAGTGAGCACGTGTGGTAAAAAGACGGGTAAGTTCTCCAGAAACCCCGGAAGCGACTTATTATGCTTTTGGTTGGCATACTGTTGCGCGCACGCCAGTTTCAGCTGATTTGCCCGGGTCTTCCCGAACACATCAGCGACTGTTTCAAACTCCTCTTCTTCAGCTTTTTTCAACTTCTCGACCTCACGCTCAGTGTCATCTAACTCAAACTGTACCGCAGTGACGCGATAAGCCCATAATGCGTCATCCAGGTGCTCGTCTCTTTTTAAAGTTTCAAAACGGGTATACCGTTGATAAACACTCATTTCTTTTAAGTGCTTTAGGTTGCACGGCATGTTTTGCGGAGTTTCGCGCTTTTTAAAACAGCTCAGCACGTGCGTCAGCGACTTTTTATAATCGCGAGCCTTCTGACCCTCCCTCTGCAAACTAATAATTTTCCGCGAAATGGGAATAATCTGATTATTCAGATTACCATTCGCGTCGCTGCTGTTTATAACCTCGTCAGTCGTGGCCGCGATCCGTCCTCTTTCGGTCCGCCAAAATTCGCGTTCACTGTTTAAACGCGCCAGACAACCGTCGTAACTACTCTTTGATGCTGCTAGCTGAATTTCCAACTCCCGAATTCTGCTTTTGGCCTTCCCTAACTCGCGTCGCAACTGCTCCGTCTCGTGGGCATCGGTGTCGGCTCTGGCGGTCTTGACTTTCTTTGCTGGGGGTTGCGGCATCTGAATACGGCAATAGAGAATAAATACTCGTACACGATATAAAAAGAAAATAAATGTGTACGCGTATATGTAGCATAATTACATTGTTCTTACCTTTGTACAACGAGTATGTAAAACACTAAAATAATAGCAAGTATATGGCACAAAAAAAAATTACTTCTATATAAGCAGAGTAGAAGTAAAAACCAAATTCAGATTCGTAATTGCAGTATTTATTTAATCCAAGATGGCTCAGGACGCTGTTCTTAAGTATAGGTGGCGCGTTTCGGCTTGGTGTTTTACTCCGCCCTGCGTTTGCAAACAGACTGACCAGAGAGGACAGAACGGCGTCTTCACGCCATATTGCATCACTGACTTACGTAACATTGTGCATACTACAACGACAGAATAAAATGTGAAACTATTTCTGATGTGCAGTTCTCTTTTTTTTAAACCCTGTACACTTTTGTTTATCAAATTCCGAAGGAAGAGAAACGTTCTTTATGGTATACAGTCTGTATACGGCATGTAAGTATGCACATATACGTGGTGTTCTACATGTTTTTTCTCACAGCAACCGATAAAACGAATAAAACGACGCGTTTCTGAACGCAGTTGTGCATTATTTTCCCTGCCAACACTAATCTTGCGCTGGCAGATAGTGTGAGCACTCCAGGGAAAATGGAAACTTTAATAAAACAGGGCAAA